CCGTTGGATTAATACCGTGTATTATTTGTATTTGATCCATGCTTTTAAAATTACAGTATGTTTTTTTAAAAAAATATTCTTTTCTACCACATTGTTCAGACCGTCTGTTCTAAATTATTTATCAAGTTTATTTTTTAAAAAAATAATGTATTTTTATAGTTAAGTAGATAATTCACTATAATACTAGTAATGCGAATAACGTATTTCAAAATGATGGAAAATTGGCAATGTCATTATAACTTAGTATCTATCTATCTATCTATCTATCTATCTATTATTATATACTAAAAGTCCATTAAACTTCCTACAAACGCTCCTAAGCCGCCACTTGGTGCTCTAATAAATTAGAGAAATCAAAGAAATTCTAAGAAAAAAGCAAAACATCTAGCCATTGATTTTCACTTAAATTGGTGGACCCGATATTTTAGACCATTAGATTAAATCTATTAAAATCTTTCCTACTAATATGGATCCGATGCATATGGATGGTGATCAAGGTACGTATGTACGTACTACTCGCAAAAAAAAAAAGAATCATTCCTTTTAATATGGATCCGATGCATATCTATGCAGACTACTCAACTTTTACAAACGTAAAGTACGATTGGAAATTAAATGAGGATAAAGCCGAGAAAACCATAAAAACCATAAATACTTTTTCTTCCCTCGTTTTCATTCTTTTCTCCATGAGTACAGGTGAGATAACAATTAATATTAGTGATAATAAATTTTAAATAATTATACTAAGTTAATAGTGCCCCCTCCATCTTAGAATAGATTAATCTAGTACACTAATACTACGAATCTCATCATATGTCTGTTCAAATTCATAATGTTAAAATATGTCACATCTTATATTAATTTAAAAAATTTATTCTAACACGAAGGTTGCGCTACAGTACTTCTACTTCCTATCCTATAGGTAGCCACTCCGAACAAACACAAGTTGTGTTGTCACTACCCCATAGAGCAGGTATAATAGTAAGTTATAAGCCAGTTACAAACACATTTTAAAGAGATAAATAAGGAGAGAGAAGAGCAGTGAGCTACAGATTTGTAGCCAGTTGTAGCACGGACTTCAAGACGCAGCGTGTATATGACAGGTGTGATCAGATATTAATAGTGTAGTATATAACTATTATATGAATGAGCTATTAGATTGGCTATAGATAAATTGGAGCTAGCAGTGGGCTATATTATTAAACTTGCTCTTAATTATACCTGAGTTAATCTGTCATCGATCGCAGGCACTTCAATTGGCACAGTGACCTAAACCTGTATTCCTAGTGAGCCCAGCCAAGAAACAGAGGGGAAGAAAAAACATATAGCAACTGATATTGAGCACAGTGACAGGGGGCCCACCCAGCAGTGCCCCCTAAAACCAGATCAGTGGCTGCGAAAAGACAACACTACCCCTGTCCCTGAGCTCCCTGCCCCCCTTAGCCCTGTACCATCACGGTTTCATCAGATAAGAGACTCGTCTTCAGGCTTCAGCGTTTGCATCATGCATCAGCTCACAGCAAGTTATATAGCCAACTAATAACTTTAAATTATCCATAATTAATTTAATAGTTAATTCATACAATAGTTACATACTACATTATTAATATCTGATTCTATCCTATCATACACATATTGTGTCTTGAAATCCGTGTTGCAGCTGGCTATAAATCTGTAGCCCACATGCTCTATGCCCAGATTTATTGCGCTAGGATATGTCCCATCCTAATACTAGGTTGGTTTTTTTAAGTACGGAGAGAGTACAAGTACCTGCTCTCAGATGGGCAAAAGAAAAGCACAGCGGCAGGCAGGATTTGTAAAATCTCGCGGTTCTCGCCGTTATCATCTGTGCTAATCTTCTTAGGTTTTATAATCATAATAAACCTCACGGTAAACGTATGGTTTTCACGATAACCTTCCGGTTTTCGTAGAATGACGGTAATCCCATTTAAACGGTTTGGTGATGGCTGAGACGGCAGGCAGAGCAGCGCCGTATCCGTCGTCTACTCCGACAAAAACGGCCAAAAACCGGGCTTGGCCATTACGGTATCCGGAAGGATGTCGATGCCGACACGGATCATCGATCCGTCCGTCCGTCCGTTGCGTCGCACGCTCCATCTGCAGAATTCTGCACGCGTTCGTGCATGCATGCACGCACCCGCACCCCACACACACCCCCACTCGGGCGGATGCATGCGCGCAACCGACGAAACGAACTAAATTCACCCTCCAAGTGCCCCAGCCACATGCCTGGACCTGCAATTAAAACGCTGCGCACTTCTCCGTAGCAAACCATGGTAGTACACCCTTCCACACATCTGCTTGTTTTTGTTAGCGGTGAAGCCTATTCCCATGGCCTCTGACTGACTTGGATAAAACTTTTATAGTACATATCAGGTTTAAAGGATAAAGCTAGAACTTTACTCTTTTCGTTCAAAAATAAAGCAATTTAGTATAGAATAGTGGATACATCAAAATATTATAAATTTAGCAGATTTATGTCTAAATTCATAATAATAATATATGTCTTATCACGTATTTTAAGACAAGGGAAGTAAAAGACAAATATACGATTGAAAAAACTCTAAAATTTATATTTGGTTATATTTTGGTACTTTCTCCATGCTTAGGGCCCCTTTGAATTGCAGAATTGAAAAAAACGGAGGAATAGGAAAAATACGGGATTTTAATAGGATTGCAAGTGTAAAACATAGGATTACAAAACACAGGAAAAATATAGGAATGACCGTTTGATTAGACCGCAGGAAAAATACAGGAATGACATGATAGAGATAGACTAAGGAAAGTTTTCCAAGAGGTTAGAGTGGATGTTAACTTTCCGACGTTTTTGCTCTAGAATTGTAGGAATAAGAAATTTCCTACGTTTTTCCTTTTCTCATTCCTACAAATCAAAGGCATGAATAGTGTAGGATTTTAATTCCTTTGTTTTTTCTCCAATTAAAAGGAGGCCTAAAATGTTTGTAACATTTCCTGATGGAGGGCCTAGGATTTAATACAGCAAGAGTACTTACTTGGACACAGGGGTGTACGACGTACATATACATGTACTAGGGCACTGTTGGGTATTTATTGGCGAAGCTGTAGGAACATGAAGGAGCTGCTGCTAGTATCCTAATGTACAGTAGTAATAGTGCAAATCCCTCTCATCTTTCCGTTGTACTGGTAGGAGCAGTGCAGTGCAGGGTAGATCGGGGCTGGGTGTGGCCTGGCCTTTGGGTCCTTGGGTCGCTGGGTGGGTGGTCCCGAGTTGGATGCGTGTGGTGGTGGTCGCGTGGGGGTGGGCCGGTGTTGGGATGCGGTCGCCTGGGGCAGGCGTGCACATGGAGTAGGCAGGCAGTGGTAGTAGAAGTGTACTCCTAGCACCATCTGCCCAACAATTGACTCGTTCTCACCATGCCTCCTTCCTTCCATTGATCAGTCCCTTCCCTTTTCACACGCATCAGATCATCCCAATTCACAGCAACCGACCACTACCCCCAAGCTCCAGCCAAAATTTAAATTTTAAATAAATTTTACAGAACTGTATTATGCATTGAGGCTGTTTCGCTACTGGGTTTGGAGCTGCGTCACAATCACTAACTCTAGCTTTAGCCAATATTTAAATAATAAATATATTTCACGGAACTATAAGGGTAGCTCCAGCTCCATTGCTTCACCTAAAATGGGAGCGGAGTTAGATAAAATTCTCTCACAAAATAAACTAGAGATGTGAAGCTGGAGTTAAATTTATGAATTAGAGCTCTAACAAACAGACCCTAAGTATCAAGGTTGTTTCGCTAGAGGGTTTGGAGCTGCGTTGCAATCACTACCTCCAGTTCTAGCCAAAATTTAAGTTTTAAATAAATTTCACGAAACTATGAGTATATAGACTGTTTCGCTGTTGGGTTTGGAGCTGCGTCACAGCCAGCATGAACAGTACCGCACACACACACACGTAGCAGCAGTCGCCTGCTGAATAGCCCAATTTTGCTACAACTTGTAATATTTTGGATACTTCAAAAATTTACAAGAATAACAAATAGTATAAAAAATTACAAGAATAACAAATAGTATTTTTTTTATCCAAAAAAAGTAATTTTATACCATGTAGGTGAGCCTAGCTTGTAAGAACTTAAGTGTAGTGGCAGTGGCCCCAAATTTTTCGGATATATAGGTTGTAGGTTTCTAATAAAATCATATGCTATATATTCTTGTGGTAGCTCCTAATGCTTCATGGAATACGCAGCCTACTGATAGTTTTTTTATAAACTAGTTAATTGTAGATTTATAGAATTTAACTACTCTTTAAATTTTAATTTTAGATATGATTTTTAGGTATTTTTGGAGTTGATTTTAATGTTTTGATATCATACTTTATTTTCCGTACTTTTAAAGCACTAAGGTGGGGAGCTTCTCCCACTCTGCACGAAAAATAGTATGATTTTTCGTTAAAGTATGTTTAATTAAGTGTTAGCTAAAAACTTAAAAAATGATTAAATTTATTTTTAAGTAGCTTGTCAGTAGAATATTTTAGAAAATACAGTGTACGTGAAAAATGAGAGTGTAGAAGTTGTAAAACCTAATTATACAAATTATACCTGTTAATTATTGTGATTGTTTGGTGCTATTTTCCTAGAGCAAACGATCAATAGAGCAAACTCACGTTTAATCTGTCACTGTCAGTCTGACACCCAAATTACTATCTTCAAGATCACCATTACTGTAGTTAATTACCACTGCTTAATTAACTACAGCCTAGTCTAGGAGTGAGCTAGTGACTGCAACAAGTGGTGTAGGAGTAGCGTTCCAGTGCAGTGCAGTGCAGCAGTAGTAGTAGTGTGGCAGTGCAGTGGGGCTGACAGGTGGGGCCCACGCACGGGCGTGCCTCCTGGAGCGGGACGCGCTGTCTTGCCGAGCTCGAGCTCCCCACCCACCGTGGAATGGGTACGTGAAATCCGGGGGAGAACGCCTTCCGATGCATTTTGCCATTGCCCTCACCCCTCAGGGGCAGCACCGTCATTTCCCTCCCTCTCCCCCACCACCTCTTCGTGCGCTCGCTCGCCGCAGATCTAGCTACACTAGCCGCCCTATTTCAGGTCTCCAGCGCCATTGCCGCGTGTGGATTGGACGCTTCAAAAGCCTTTTTAGCCACCTCGTAGCCTCTCACAAGTACTACATTTTCATCTCGAAAGAAAGTGAAATCATCAAGAACTTGGTGAGAATCGATCAAAGAGCAGTGCCAGCTGCAGCTGCAGCAGAGGATCGGAGGAGGAAGGGGGAGAAGAGGAGATCGGGGAGTGGAGAGACGAAAAGCAGCAGCAGTAGGTGAGTTGGAAGTTTACTGCTGCTGCTTTGCCTTTGCATGGATACGTTTGATCTTTTGGTCTAAAGCGTGCTCTTGTAGGGAGAGAGTACAACGTCGTCGGCAACTGCATTGCATTGTCCATGGATTTGTTTATAGAATATATCTTGAGCTGTGCTGGCTTTCGCTTTCTTTTACATTGCCTTTCTCTTTTTTCTTGCAGTTGCAGCAGCAGCAGCATGGAGGAGAGAGTGAAGATTGGAGGAGACGGCGAAGAAGAAGAAGAAGAAGAAGCAGAGGAGGAGGAGGCGCCATTGGAGGTGGTGAGGGCAGCGAAAAGGAGATTTGGGGTGGTGGTGGTGGTGGGCCCACCCCCCAGCTGAGGAGGAGCAGGAGAAGGAAGAAGAGCGAGGAGGAGAGGATCTCCTCTCACGTCAAAGGAGGGGGAAAGCAGCATAAAGGCAGCAGCAGCTACTGGAGGAGAAGAGGAAGCAAGAGAGCTCAGCTTCACTACTTCACTGGCTCGGCCAACCAAAGCAGCAGTCGAAAGCGAGAAAAAAAGCTTAAGAAAGAAAGAAAGCTAGCTTCAGTGAGAGTGAGAATGTGGGGGGAGATAGAGAGAGAGAGAGAGAGAGAGAGTCTAGTGTGTCTTGAGAGAGATATATAACACCAACAACTCCCAGCTGTGTGTGTGTGTGTGAGAGAGAGAGAGAGAGAGAGAGAGAGAGAGCATCTGGTTCTTGTACCACCACCACCACTGCCCCCTTTGCATTGTCCCTCCCTGGCCACTTCTTTCTCCTTCTCCATTTTGTGCCTAGCGTACAAGGAGGTGCCCTGCTTGCTGCTGCTGCTGTTCGGAAGCTATGGCATTGCAAGAAGAAGAGGAGGATGATGAAGATGATGAAGAAGGGGAGAAAGAAGAAGAAGAAGACGGTGTCAGGGTGCGTGGGGAGCTCTGATTTCTCCTTGTCCTGAGGTGTGCTGTCCACTTGTGGATGTAGTAAGATATTGGCACAATAGGCTCAATCACTTTTTTCTTTTCCTCTCTTCTTTTCTCACTTCTGCTTATTTTTGCTGCTTGCTTGCTTCTTCGTCTTTTTTATTTTCCTTCTTCCCCTCAATTCATGATGACACGTTCTTCCTTCCTTGTGTAATTTATCACCGTTCTTGGCGTTTTGCCTGATTTAGAATGCAACTGAAAAAAAAGAAAAAGATCGCAGAGGAAAAAAAAAGGCAGCAGCAGTGGGTGGTGAAAGTATGGAAATCTCTCCTGCTAGTATACGTTTGTCGTGTCCTCTTTGTTGTGTTCTTGTCTTGGTGTGTTGAGATCATGCGAGACGAGAGGTGGTTCGAGAGCATCATGAGCAATGGGAAAATCCATATCTGCTATATCTTCCCTCCGTATCTCTGCCTAGCTGTTGCGAGTGTGAGTGAGTGCTCGCCATGATGTCCGAGGAGGAGGACGACGACGGCGACGGCGACGGCGAGGTCGGAACGGAGACGGCGGCCATCCATCTCCTGTATGTTGCTTGTTGAGTCTCTCTCTCTCTCTCTCTCTCTCTCTCTCTGTCTCTCTCTGCGTCGCCTTGTCCGTTTCGCCTCGGTTTGATCAACCAACCCTGTGTGTGTCTGTCACTGTGTGGCTGGCTGTGCACATTGCCATTGCCATGTCCTGTGCCATGCCATCCCATGACACGGTGTGTGCGTGAGAGAGAAGGCATAGTAGTGTGCTGATCCGTGGGGCCCACGGTGGAATGGTGGTGGGGCCCACCAAAGCCGATGATACCAATGATCATCGTCATAAACGCCTCTCCTTCCGTTTCAGAGTTAGGAGCATTAATGATGGGGGAGGGGAGAGGGAGGTCCGCATGTCAGATTACAGGTCTGATTAGCCCGGGCCCACCACTCCGTGATACTAACAGTGATTACGGATGTTTTTGGCTTAGCTTGCAGCTTTGCCCCCACTGCATGAATATATACTTTACCTGTGCAGTGCAGAAAAAACATGCTCTAATTTGGCAAAGGCAAATCTCTTCTCTTGCTAATGGCGAGTACTGTAGTACTCCACTTACCACTACTACTAATACTGTTGTGAGAAACATCTCCCATTATCTTAAGAAAGTACTGTAGTTAGAGTAGGTAGGAGTGGATGCATGGGTGTGTGTGGCCTTGGTGTTTTGCTGTCTGTATCATTGTTGTGATGGGGAATTGGAAATTTGCATTGGGGTTGTGGTAGCTACCTGTTGCTGCAGTGCGCAGCAATGCAGCATGGTGGCATAATCAAAATGGAGTAGTCAAGAACAGTGTAGATGATGGAGAGCCCCAAGAGGGCAGGGCAGGGCAGCAGCAATGCAATGGCGATGCAAAGGTTTGGTATGGTTGGTGGTGGTCGTGCTGCCTGCGATGCAGGATGGCAGACGCAGATGGGCTAGCTAACCGATGGATCGTGTGGAATCGATTTTGGGGTTTTAATTTAATTTTTGATTGTGGTGGCCGTACTGATACTCCTAATCAAAGTTAAAAGTGATCATCTGCTGCTATCTGCGACGTCACTGACACCATGAGAGAGAGAGAGAGAGAGAGAGAGAGAGAGAGAGAGAGAGAGAGAGAGAGAGAGAGAGTGTTCACTGCAGAAGAGTGCAGGAGCAGCTAGGTAAAGTAGGCAGCTATGCTCGCCCGTGCTGTCAACAGTCAACAGAGCGGCCGTTTCGGGTGAACATAGCCCCATTTGAACGGATTAGATTATTGTTTGCAGGCCAACAATTTTCTGCTACTCCTATCTCAATCAATGTGTTTAGTAATCGTACACTACTACAGTAGCTGCATATACTTGCATGTTGCATCCATCCGTTTCTCCAATACGAGGTGGTTTTTTTCTGCTTTGATCCAAAGAGAGTGGTGGCTACTAGCTTTGCTGTGTACTGCATGGTACAGAAGTAAGGCTTGGGACGGGACGGAAGTAAGGCTTGGTACAGTAATAGTTTTTGAAACCACGTAATTATACGATTTTTACAGTGACCGCCAAAAACGATAACCCCAACACAAAAGATTTGATAAACACTGCGAGGCAGCAGCGTAGCAGCTGCTGCTGGTGAATGCATGAGCTGCTGCAATGGCAATGCTGCGTGATCTTGCTTGGGCCTGTTTAGTTCCAAAGTTTTTTTTCTAAATTTTTAAATTTTCTCACATCAAACCTTTCATACACATACAATTTTTTTTCTACATCTTATCTAGTGGAGTACTCTCCTAGTGGAGTGGTGTACTCCTACCTGCGAAATCAATGGGAGTACGAATACTGGGCTAAGTGCATGCGTGCAGTGGCAAATGCAAATGCAGTGCAGTGCAGCCGGTTGGGTTGGGGCAGGGTGACCACGAAAAATCTGGGAGTCGCAGAGTGACCACAAAAGATCTGTGCGTCATGTTCCATTTGACCGCTGAGTTGATGCGTGTACTATTCGCTCAGATTTGAGGGGGGTGTTTGGGCCTGTTTGGTTTCCAGGACTTATTTCAAGTCCATGTCATATCGGATATTTGGATACTAATTTGGAGTATTAAACATACACTAATTACAAAACACATTCCATATCTTTGGACTAATTCACGAGACGAATATTTTGAGTCTAATTATGTCATGATTTTGACAATGTGATGCTACAGTAAACTTTTTATAATTATAGATTAATTAGGCTTAAAAAATTCGTCTCGCGGATTAGCTCTTATTTATGAAATTAGTTTTTTTATTAGTCTGTTTAATACTCCAAATTAGTGTTCAAACATCCGATGTGACATGGGCTAAAAAGTTTTAGCCCCATCTAAACACCCCCTTAGATGGAGCTAAAACTTGTTAGCCCATGTCACATCGCATGTTTGACGCTAATTTAGAGTATTAAACATAGACTAATATTTAGATGGGGCTAAAACTTTTTAGCCCATGTCACATCGGATGTTTGAACACTAATTTGGAGTATTAAACATAGACTAATAAAAAAACTAATTTCATAAATGAGAGCTAATCCGCGAGACGAATTTTTTAAGCCTAATTAATCCATAATTATCAAAAGTTTACTGTAGCATCACATTGTCAAAATCATGGCATAATTAAACTCAAAAGATTCGTCTCGCGAATTAGTCCAAGCTTATGAAATAGATTTTATAATTAATATATGTTTAATACTCTAAATTAGTGTCTAAATATCCGATGTGGCTGGGACTTAGAATAAGTCACTGAAACCAAAAATGCTGGATCACTGAACTCCGCCGTACTGTGCGACTGTGCACACACACCTCACTTCACGATTAATGTCCACAGCTGCTTACTGCTCGAATGCTTTTTTTCTAAAAAAAATATTTGCCGTATATACGACGCGACTTTTGACCGTGACAGAAATTTCAAAAATATATTTTCAAGTACTACATCCGTTCTAAAATATAGCAATCTAGTACTGGATGGGATATATCCCTTTATCTAGATTTATTTATTAGACTAGGATGTGTCCTATCGAGTCCTACATTGCTATATTTTGTAATGGAGGGAGTACTTCACTCCCCGTTTGAAGATTTTTACCGTTTAAAATTTATCAGCATCAAACAATCACAACTATCCCGTAGAAATTTCTACTGTAAAATCAGGGGGAGTAACAAATTATCACAAGACGCATGCTACTTCCTCCGTTTCAAAAATAAATTAATTTTCACCCATCCCGTATATACCAATGTAAAACAAAAAAAAAGAATAAAAGAGCAAATACAAGTATACAATTGCAGATTTGTAGAGCTAGTACAAAAATGCTAAGCACATGTGAAGAAAAGATTGATTAGATGATGTGTCAATTTTTAGAGTTAGCAAGTTGACCATACTACTTCCAATGCAAATATTTTTTTTTACTTTATTTAATTCAAATATTTATATTTTTATAAACTCTATTACAATAATTATTTAAAAATAATTTTATTTTGAGATAAAGTAAATAGGAAGAGTAAAATAAAAGCTTATTATCGGACGGAGAGTGTAGTACAGTACGGAGTATTTGTCAGTGCCAGCCAAACGCATGCTCATGCATGGAGAGGCGTGCGCATGCAGCAACTCGATCAATCGTTCGACCGGGAGGCAATACACGGTGGTACTCCAGTAGCATAGCACATATACGTCCAACCCAGTCACGGCCACACCTCCGGCCGGTTAGCTACATGCGCCGCGCGTGCAACTTGTCGACGAAAACCATGCCTTGCACGCCAGAAAATAGCCAGAAGAAACCAAACCCGGTGGTTGTTTAATTGCTGACTTGCTTGCTTGCTTCCCTGTCTCTAAGACCCATTTCAGTTTGGAGGAATTTCAACACACAGAAATAACAAAAATAGAGAAATAGAAATACATGCCCACTTCTATCAATAGGAATTTTTTCCATGAGATTTGTAGGGATGGAAATTTTTGTTTGTTTTCTCTCTACAACTTGTAGGCAAGAAAATTTTCCTTTGGTTTCATTATTTCTAAATCCTATGAACCAAATGATATTCATAGAAAATAATCCTTAGAAGTTAAAATCCTTTGAAATTTGTTCAAAACGAATTGGTCCTAAGCCACGCCGCTGTCGTCGCCTCCATCCCTCGCCGGCGTGTAAACGCCGCCACCGCCGCCGTTGATTGGGATGGACGGCGACCTTTTGTTCATCTGGTGACAATAGGAAATCGATCGATGGGTGGGAGTTGATTATGGATAGGGCCAGCGAGCCATGAGCGACGCGAGATCGAGACCTCTCTTTTGTTCTTGTCAGGTGGTGACTGGACCCAACATCGTGTGCTTGTGTAGTGGTATCCTACCGCTACAGGGAAAAGACTATGAGAGCAAGTTTAATAGTACAGCTAACTCCCATGCATATAAATAGTTAACTATAAAAATATACTACACCACAGATATCCGGTCTCACTTCTTATACACACATAGCGTCTTAGAGTTTGTCTTGCAGCCGGCTATAAATCCGCAGCTCACTTTCTTATCTTTTCTCTTTTCTTCTCGATATATGGTTATAGCTGGCTTATAGCCTGCTATTGTACCTGCTCTAAAGAGGCCCACGTAAATACTCCTACGACGATACTTATTCCACAGTATTACTCCATCCGTCTTAGAATATAAGAAGTTTTAGAGTTGGACACGGTTATTAAGAAGTTATGTATAAGTGAGTGATGGAGGGTTGTGATTGGTTGGGAAGAGAATGTTGGTGGAGAAGTTGTTATATTTTGGGATAAATTTTGAGGTCTAAAAGTTTTTATATTTTGAGTTCGAAGGAACGGTTTAACGATGACGTGCTACTGTGCGGTAAATAATTGGCGAGTCGCGAAGGTGTGCCATTGGTGAAGAGAAAGGTAAAAGTTGCCGGAGTAGTTGATGGAGCAATGATGAGCTCTGGGCCGGGTTTGTCATGTGATGGGCCGTGCAGTCTGTTGTCTGGGCCTGCCACTGCACAGTGAACCCATTTTACTACTTCATCGTTTGACAAGTCACACGGATGAATGGATGATCGCATTGCCGGACTAGTCCTGCCAATGCCCTACCTTTTTTCAAGCCCCTGAGCGAATGCAATTCGTGCTCATGAGTCATGAGTGCCACTTTTACTACTAGTAGTAGGATAGGTTAACATACAAATTCTGATACATGGCCTAGGCAGGATTACCATTGATCTATTAACTTTCAACTGAAATCATAAGCTACTAAGAGCAAGTTCAAATAGTATAGCAAACTACCAGCTCTAATTTATCTATAGTCAATCTAATAGCTTATTTATATAATAGTTACATACTACACTATTAATACCTGGTCCCACATATCATACACACACGGCGTCTTGGAGTCCGTGCTACGGCTGGCTACAAATCTATAGCCCACTGCTCTTCTCTCTCCTTATTTATCTTCTTAAAATATGTTTACAGCTGACTTATAGCCTACTATTATACCTACTCTAATAGCGTAGTGATGATTAATTCCTGAGCTACACATGCCACTTAGTTATATAACTAGAGATATGCAACCAATACCAATCAAAGAAGTACAAGGTAGCTATTTACACCCGTTAATCAAATTCAGTCATATATAAATCGAACGGTTAGATTGTATGCATAACAATCTATTATATTGTTAAAGGAACAGAAAAAGAAGTCTCCACGTTCGCTCTCATGGCCTAGAAATTCTCACATTAATCGGAGAAAAAGAAAAGGCAGAATCCATATAGAAATACAATTTAAAAATAGCTGAAATTCAGAATTAAAAAATAAGGAATATTAGAAGAGGAGACTAGAGTCTATATAGAAATACAATTTAGAAATAGTTGAAATTCGGAATTAAAAAATAAGGAATATTAGAAGAGGAGACTAGAGTCCATATAGAAATACAATTAGGAAATAACTGAAATTCGGAATTAAAAATAAGGAATATTAGAAGTAGAGTATAGAGTCCATATAGAAATACAATTAGGAAATAATAGAAATTCGGAATTAAAAATAAGAAATATTAGAAGTAGAGTATAGAGTCTGTATAGAAATACAATTAAGAAAAAAAAATAGAAATTCAGAATTTAAAAAAATAAGGAATATTAGAAGTAGAGTATAGAATCCATATAGGAATTTAAAACTAACTAAAATTCAGAATAAACATAATAAAATTAAAAGTAGAGTTTAGAGTTCGTATAAAAATATAATTTACAAATAACTAAATTTCAAAATTAAGAAAAATATGGGACGAAGAGTTTAAAGTCAATATAGGAATACAATTTAGAAGTAACTGAAATTTGAAATTAAAAATTAAAAAATATTGAAAGATGAGTTTAGAGTCCAAATAGAAATACAATTATAAATAATAAAAATTCAGAATTCAAAAAAAATAAATATTAAAAGACGAGTCTAGAGTCCATATAGGAATATATATAATTTATAAATAACTAAAATTTGATATTAAAAATAATTAATAACTAACATGTATATAAAATACAATATGAATATTACACATTAGTAGTTTCGTAAAGTTATAGCAAAATTTAAAATTATGTTGTCATTTTAATATATTTGAATAATATAATGAGAGAATATATATGCTATTATATGAGAGAAAATATAATGATGCTAGCCGCGCAATATTGCGTGGGCCACCATGCTAGTTTTATTAATTCCTTCCAGGTAGCTGTCAAAGGAGTAGTGTGTAGTGTCGTGTGGAATTCGCGAGGATGTGCATGAACTTGCCAAGGCAGGGATGCAGTTGCGTGACAAGGACACACGTGAAATGTAGCGAGAGAAGAGTCGTAGTAGCGGGCGCGACCGCGGGAGTGTATACGGAGAGATGAAGCGAGCTCTCTCCACCAAGCAAATCGCGAGCCAAACCAAGAAGACATCCACATGACGACGCCTCGCGCCACCACCACCACGTCGCCCTTCTCCTCTCTCCTCCTCCTCCCGATCTCCCCCTCCGCCGCGACTCCTCCGCGCCGCGCCAGGACGCCGCCGCCGGCGGTGGCACATGGCGGCGTGCGGTGGACGGCTGGCGGGAGGCGGCGACGGCGAGGGTGCCGGGCGGCGGCGGCGGTGGTCGAGGACGGCGTGCTTCTCCCCAAAGAACAGGAGGACGACGCGTCGGCGGCGAGATACGACTGGAGGGAGGAGTGGTACCCGCTGTACCTCGCCAAGGAGGTGCCCGACGACGCCGCGCTGCCGCTCACGGTGTTCGACCGGCAGCTGGTGCTGTACCGCGACGCCGCCGGCGTGCTCCGCTGCCACGAGGATCGGTGCCCGCACAGGCTAGCCAAGCTATCCGAGGGCCAGCTCGTGGATGGCAAGCTGGAGTGCCTGTACCACGGGTGGCAGTTCGACGGCGAGGGCAAGTGCGTCAAGATCCCGCAGCTCCCCGACGGCGCCAAGATCCCGCGCAACGCGTGCGCGCGCAGCTACGAGGTGCGGGACTCGCAGGGCGTGGTGTGGGCGTGGATGTCGGGGACCAACCCGCCGGACGAGCGGAAGCTGCCGTGGTTCGAGCCGTACGCGCGGCCGGGGTTCACCGACCTGTCCACGGTGCACGAGCTCCCCTACGACCACTCCATCCTCCTCGAGAACCTCATGGATCCCGCGCACGTCCCCATCTCCCACGACCGCACCGACTGGACGGCGAAGCGGGAGGACGCGCAGCCGCTCTTCTTCGAGGTCACCGAGCGGACGCCGCGCGGGTTCGCCGGATACTGGGGGAAGCAAAGGACGCCACACCTTCGCAACCTGCTCCGGTTCGAGGCGCCGTGCGTGCTTACCAACACGCTGGAGTTCGTCGACAAGGACGGCAAGGAGCAGTGCTTCTCGGCGCACTTCCTCTGCCGCCCCGCGGGGCAGGGGAAGTCGATGCTGCTCGTTCGGTTCGGATCCACCCAGACGTCGCCGCTGGTGAAGGTGCTCCCGAGGTGGTACTTCCACCAGAACGCGTGCAAGGTGTTCGAGCAGGACATGGGGTTCCTGTCGTCGCAGAACGAGGTGCTGCTCCGGGAGAAGGTGCCGACCAAGGAGCTCTACCTCAACCTCCGGTCGTCGGACACGTGGGTGGCGGAGTACCGGAGGTGGATGGACAGGGCGGGGCACGGCATGCCGTACTACTTCGGGCACAGCACGCTGTCGCCGCCGCCGGTGCCGGCCGTTGTCGAGCAGGCGCCGGCGGGGGCGGTCGCCGGGATGTCCGCGTCGTTCCCGGCCAAGGGCGGCGTCGGCGCCACGCACGCGCCCAACCCGACCAACAGGTACTTCCGCCATGTCGTGCACTGCAAGGGGTGCAGGGACAGCGTCAAGAGGTACGCCTCGCTCAAGAACGCCTTCGCCGCGCTCGCCGCGGCGGCGGTGGCGGCGGCCATCCTGGCGGCGACCAGGCAATTGAAGGCCGTCCTGCTGGCGTCCGCGGCCGCGCTCGCCGCGGCGTCGTACGCGTGTAACTGGGTGCTGTCTCTCATCACGACCAATTTTATTAGGACACACAGGAGACTGTAACCGTGGCAATGGCTGTCATGCTTTGGCACATACTAATAGCAAGGTAGAATGGTACAGCTATTTCATTATTTTTGCCCTTGTATATTTGTATCACTACATGAGTAAACGACGTTTAGTTATCGATAGTTTTGTTATGAGTGATGAATGATCTGCATCGTACTGCCAATGCCTTGCATTCTCAAATGGTTGCACACTTGCACTCATACAAAGTTAGTACACTCCATCATATTATAAATTACTTTTTTTTCAAGTTAAATTTCCTGAAAGTTTGATAAAATTTATAGAAAAAATATAACGACGCTTATAACACTAAATTAATTTCATTACATCTAACATTAAACATATTTTGATTTTTTTTTGTTTTGTGTTAAATATATTACTATGTTTTTCTATAAACTTGATTAAACATATAAAAGTTTAACTTCAAAAAAAAGTTAAAATGACTTGTAATATAAAACGTAGGCAGTACAATGCGAATGTAGGGTACTCCATCCAGCTGAGGTAAACCAACTCCAATATATATACAAACACAAACAACGTACCCAATTTTTACTGTTAAAATACAGGCACAATGCCTGGTATCACACGTTATTAAGTAGACAGACTCGATAACCATGACACGGACAGGGACTTCTTGCCACTGGTTTACGCACGGTTAATATTACAGACCACACATAGAGAGACGGCTTAGCTATTTGCAAATAAGCTTGACAAGATAGATGATGCTCCAAAAGGATGCGATCTCAGCAGTTGAGTACTTACGCTGGTTCATCTAGAATTCCCTATCGGGGAAGAGGAGTGGGGCGACAAGGGACCAAATGTACAGACCTGCCGTTGCCCACTGGGTTGCAATCCTGACCCAAACGGATGGCCACCCAACGTCAACAAGCTTTCCACTCTCACCAACTGAGGTTGACCAGCCAGTCAAGAGCATCGCGGAGTACATGCTTGCCAAGGAGAAGATGAGGTGGAAGAACGAGTAGGAGTATGTCACTGGCCTTGGCACATCCTTCTTTTCCGCTTCCTCATCTGCCTTACTGAAAGGAAGCAGTGGCTTGTCGGCACCTGAAAAAGGGCAATGTGATAAGCAACACACCTTGCAAATATGGAACATTGATTTAGTAGATAGAGCACGCAATCTAACCAGCACGTGGTGAGTCTGGGGCTGAGAGCACAGTTGCAGATGAGCCAGCACGGACAGCCGAATAGACCACAGAAAGGATGGTGGTTAGCAATCCCAGCGAAAGGCTACCAGTCGACACAGCTTTGGAATGGTTGTGCAGTCCATTGCATTCATAATCCCTCGGCTCACTTGAAAGTCCACTGTAGCACAAATAGGTGCAGTAGAGGGCGATAACTGATGCTGGCAGCAAGCTACCATTGATCTGCAAAATTCATAAAAAGGAACCATTCATTATTATTACAAGCGAGTAACCATATTTAAGATGAGATGCTAGCAGCTAGAGCTTGTGGGTGTAACAGCTATAATTTGATAAAATGCTAGAAATCTTACACAACAATTATCATAATGCTACAATCTTATGCAGCAATTATCATAATACACGGACACATTTCTGACAGCTTTTCGTGGTCAAACTATGGACTAATGAACTAAATACTCTATACACAGAGGCTGTGTTACTATATTATAAGGATAACAGAACAGACCAGAAGAATAATACCTTTGGGTGCAGGGCGACAATAGCAAAAACAAAAACAAGAATCAGTGTGAAGACAATGAAGAACAGATTGATTCCGCAGTCATGTCCAGATGGAGTGAACCAGTGAAAGAGCAGACCCGAGAAAGAGAATGTGACAATGTAACAGACAACTGAGACAACCAATAGAGCCATGTACCTGCAGTAATAAATATGAACAAATTATTAACAGGTTTTGATAAACAGAAGAAGTTCATACTAAATTAAGGGGACCTGAAGGTAAACAAGGAAAAGATCAGCTACTAACCAGAACTGTTCATCCTTGGCAACCCAATTCTCGTTCCATCCATGAACAAAGTCCAACAAAAGAACAACCTGAACAAGCAGGAACAGTCCAGATCCAAACTTGGATATTGATTCTGCAAAAACAAATGACAGTTAAAATTAACAACCTGGAATGGGGAGAACTGGCTCCAATTACAGTAACAAAAACTGATAATATAGAATTAGCATATAAAACTATTCAAGAAGCAGCAGAGTGTATCATCAATCACAAAAGTACAAGCAACAAGTTCATCCAACAAGCTGCTAAGACAGTGTCACGTTTACCATATATATCAACCAATCACCAATACCAAGCTTGGTACTCATGTTTTTAATTACCAAATAAACAATAATTGATGATGTATCATCAAGCCCCAAAACTGGAGCAAATATTAATACTATGCAGTTAGTACACTTCCATGCCTACTCACAACCACATGGAGATCCAAAGGACCAACGGAATTATACATTAATAGTTAAAAACACAGGCAACCACAAATGCAACAATGTCACTCCCAACTTTCCAACACAATTTCATCCTCTATATCAAAATACTCAACCACAAGAACACATGCCTCTTGAAACATTAGGAATTACTACAATTTGTTCAGCTAAAATCGCCTCCAAAGTTGCAAAACTTAAGTCTTCTTCTTGATAACGACGAATCCACACACCCACCTAATGTTTTGCAGATTAGTTGGTTCATAATTTCATATTTACAATTTTATGATCCCTATATGAAAATATGTCAACCTTAAAGCTTGTATATTCTTTGGTTTAGAAAGTGTATCAGACCAATAGGAATCTCCTTGTTCAAAAAGGTTCTAGCGCAGAGAATCAAAAGTTAAGACAACCCTAAGGAAACTCCTCACAACTCCCATTCGCACCTTCTCTTTCACTCTAGCAGTGTTGAGGAAGGACTTACAAGGAACCTTTTGCCACTCCTATCTTTAATTCTCTAATAGCCTATCACATACAGATATACTGATTTTAAATATTAGTGCAACCATCTCCCAATATAATGTCACTGCAGCATCTCTATAATTGTGTTTCAGAACGATTCAATTCGTCGTATACACAGCTACATAGGTGAAAGGGGGGGCATTACCGTAGAAGCTTACGACGCCGTTGGGCACGAAGAACATGAGGAAGACGATGACAACCCAGCAGAATATCTTGGCCATCCATCCGCCATGGTGTATCTTGTCGCGGGGGTCCTTCTGGTCCTTGATGCCAGCCATGATGATGGCGAGGATGGTGAAGAAGACGAAGTTGCCGAGGCTAACCCTAAGCACGGCATCGGTCTCGAACCACTCGCGGTCGGGCGTCTTGTGGAAGTGGTTAATCCCTGCACAGATAGCCGCAAGAGGCGCGCCATGAGAAATTCCGATCGATTTCGAGAGAAAAAAAAAGAACCAAATCGAATCACCCGGAAGGGATTGCGAAGGCGCTCACATGGGATGGATTGGAGGAGGGGCGCGGCGACCTCGCGGAGCGCCCAGGAGGCGAAGAGGGAGAGCGCGAAGAGGCCGCAGTAGGCGATGCGGGCGGAGCGGCGGCCGATGCTGCCGACCGCCGTACGGCACGCCTCGCACGCGCACGCGGCGCAGCACGACGCCAGGCAAGACGCCGCCCACATGGCTGCTGCTCGTCGTCCTCCTCCTCCTCCTCCCTTGCGGCGGCGCGGTCAGATCGAATCGATCGGTGGGTGAAGGAGCTCGACGATGGCTTTGGCTTGTTCGGATTTGGGGATTTCGCCGCCTCTCGGGGGAAGAAGCTTTGGTGGGGATGGGGAACGCGTGCGGCGGAGGGGCACGGAAGAGAAGAGGAAAGGAAGCCGATCCGGTTTTTTTTCCCTTTTCTTGTTTTTTTTTTCCGTTACGGAGTGGGTGGCTACCGGGCCGGTTGGGTTGGACCGGACCAGCCCGGGCCGATCAGGAGACCGAGTCAGTCAACTACTGTATTATTCCAGCCTTCTACGTCCATTACATCAGGTCAAGCAAAAGTAACAGGATATAGGTTCCGTTTACTACTTCCGTCAAAAAAAAAACTAATATAATTGAAGATATGACATAATTTAGTTCATCATACTACATTGAGCCTGTTCGGTAGTTCTAATTTACAGCCAGCCACTACAATGAAATATAGAGAACAATCGTAGCAGCTGCAGCTGTTGCGGCTGCACAGCCGCTGTATAGGGCTGCCGAACAGGCCCATTGTGTTTCATGTACAGCTAGGTTAGGTTTTTTGGATGGAGGAAGTAAGATGAAACAAGGATGAAATAAAATGAGTTATCTACTTACTTAACATGATTAATTTATATTTTGAGAAGTAAATTTAACAAAATAGCTAGAAACAAGTGATCTATGTAATGTAATGCAGATTTTTTAAAAAAAGATCGTATTTCTAGAAGCATGGAGCATGATCAATTGTATCTGATCATCACTTTCGAACGGGACCATAATAACACACACATCATCGTCAGCTTCTGGCAGAATAGGTACCAAAATGACAATAGGGAGCATAAGTTTGTGAGTTCAGAACTCGAAACAATATGGTCCTGAACTTCTGGCGGACAAACTAGATATCACATCCTATATTTTCCCTACAACAGAGCTCCTAAAACATTACAGCCACAGATCACACTGTATAAGGCATGAAAGAACAAGCAATCTGAAGTCGCATGCCACGACAACCTTCAGGTATCAAAATGGATATTGATTGACTGGCAGATGCTAATTGATACTGCATCGAAAATTGACATTAGAATTTTAACCATTTCTTCTCTTTCTCCTTTCTAGCAACCGCGTTGGTTGCCGAAGCATGCGTTGCTTCAGCATCAGCTAGAGCTTTTCGGGTTTGTTTCAATTTCTTTGAAGCTGCTTCGTAGAATGCCTTGTCCTTGCGGTTTCGCTTCATCATTTCCTCCAGCTTCTCAACACGGCTCCTCAGTTCTTTCACTTCGTCATCGTATGCAAGCAAGGATCTTCTGTCTTCCTTCTTGGCATGTCCATTTGCCTCACCGGATGAATCCTTTTTAGATTTCACGGCTGAGCCTTCTGCAACATCTTGACCCACTAGTTGGCTATTGATAAAGCTGAAGACAGACCTCTCTTCTTCTTCAGCTTTAGCAGCCCTTGCCTGTTCAGCAAACTTCTTCTCACGCTTTCTTTTCCCACCCCGACTGCGTTTTTTTCCAGGGCCTACACTATCATTAACCTCACTTGCAGCCACAGCGTGATCAAGAGATTGCTTTGGGGGTAGTACCTTAACTGGGATTGGATCAAGCATGCCTTGTCCAGAAACACCTAGACCCATTCCCTCTCGGTACCCCATTTTTGCCATCATTTTGGAGGCAACGCCCCTGGTATGGTGCTCCCACTTTGCAAAGATCGCAGTCTCTGTCTGAACACCACTTAAATTTTTGGATTCCAAAAGGCCTAGACCCTGATGAACAGATTCATCCTCTTGATCTCCATCCTCACTAAAATCAGATCCTTCATCACTTGAGCTTCCTTCACCATCTTCATCGCTCTCATCAGCATATTCTGAGATTGAAAGAGAATCACTGGGAAGCCTTGCAGAGCTCCCGTCATCTTGAAAAACAACCTGGCCAACTTTCAGATCGTCATCCCATGACTCAAGTTCAGCTCGTCTCCAAAGGCCAGAATGATGCCCAGAAGCAGCCAGTATGCTGGATCCTACCAAGGACTGCTGCCATCTAGTCGGAGTGAATTGCTTCAGGGACAGAATAGGAATTACAATACCTGAGGATAATTTTTGGATTAGTCACACATGATACTTTATGTGCAAGGGGCAGAACCAACTGGGACATCTTATATGTGTAGGAAAACACAAAGATATAAATCCATGAAAATCAATACAATATTCACAAAAAATGCAACATCTGAAGGAGCAATCCATCATATGAAGTTCACACCATTTTGTGGTGTCATCATTGCTTCAGGTGAAAGGCAACGGAACAAGAGATCAATGGTTTGAAGGGGTTTAATCCTTAGAAGGGTGCAAAATAAGCATTTACATACCATGGGACAAGCGGCAGTTACTACCAAACCGACATCGTTGCTGGAGAAAAAACTTGCACATCTGCACTATGGGCAGATTGATTAGTTAATTTGTTGGTAACAATGAACCTTATGTTCTGGACATTACATTCCATTAACCAACAGAAAATATGGTTGATGGTGAAGGGTACCCACCTGTGACCTGTTAACATTTTCCCCGTCCCATTTATTCATGAATTTACTGTGGTGGTGCGATGCAAGAGGATAGAGGGACACACTCAGGCTTTGCTACAAGGTTTATTTGGGAGCAGATGGACGTATGGCTTCATTGCAAAATAAAGGACTGGTATATGCACAATGCACACATGGTTTTAATGAAAAGCAAATCATGTACTGTCACATTACTTTGGAGAGAAGTTCAGCAACTGCTCACACAGAATAGCCTAGAATCAATACAGAAATAACTTGATTATACAACCGCTAGAATGCTGTATAGCTCTGCAGCCCAGCAAGGACTTGTATTGCAAAAGTAGGAATTTGTTTCCTAAAGTTATTCCGTCATTCCAAGGACATTCAACAAAATAATTGCACAGGTCATATCTCCTATGTGCTGGAGTTATAATATCTCATGAAGGAGAGAAGTTGGAAAAACAGTAAATACTGGCAAATAAACACCCATTTCCTACCGGCGGTAACATAGCAAGTTACAAACATACCAGCACGTAGAGGGTTATGTTTAGGGTTTACCAGGAAACATGGAGCTACTATTCAAAGGAAAAAATAATGGAAAAACGATAGATCAAGTGGCGTGACTCACCGACATGTTTTCAGACGTAGGAGTCAGAAATGAGATCCTTGCATCACTTGAGCCTTCAAGTCCTATAACACATCCATTATACCAGCGCCCATCCTTATGCCTGAATCTACACTTAGATCCAACTGAAAATTCCTGTGGCTCCAATGGTTCTGGCTCAACATCATCGGGTGGATCAACAGCTACTTCAGGTGCTTCAGATGTTGGCTCTTGGTTAGGAAATATCTCATCAATTTGCTTTACTAGTCTAGAGCGTTTCAAATGGAGAAGTCCCTCCTCTGCATCCTTAATTGCAGCAAGAAGTTCTTCATGGACCTTCAAAACAGTACATATTGTAAGTTAGCATTTGCACAATAGAAGCATGAAATACATAAGTACAGAACTATTGAAGACAATGGTATAAGGGTTGAGATTCCCCAAAAAGAAGCTGACTGCTTTCTCTGAATATTTGTTCGATATTTTTCTCTGGAGATATTTTGGACAAGGAAACCTACTATTTGGATATTCACATCTCAGGAATCCAAAATGCATAAGCTAATCATCTCACCTACAGGTTACATCAGTGAGCTATGATGTGAATATCACTCAACTCTTGTCATACCAAACTTAAACATGTTGAGTCGATATCTAATCTAAACATACTAAATACTAATGTACAAAAGTTACCATCCATCTTCGGCTGATTTTGCCAATGACATGATACATGAGTCAACTAAATCTAACCCTGTCAAAAATATCCATGGACAAATCACATAATAAAAACGTCATCTCGACAAAATGCGCTTGATTTTCTTACAGTGACCGAATCAGACATATCAATCACAATCCCTCCAAGCACTCTTGTTAGTTTTATTAGGCAATCCTTATTACATTGTAGAGCTCACTACTAGTAATAACAGGAGACATACTGCCTGAACCCAGCATCTACACGAGAGAGATAAGAACAATAATCCGAGCACGACCCAGTCACACAACCAGTCCTGCAAATTCTAACATTCCGAGAGGACTGCCCGTCGCATCCCCACAACTTGGGAGTCAAATTAGGAGCCTAGGGCTAGCCAAACCTTCAACAGCCAGCGCCCGCGCGGGACGATTTGAGATTGAGAGCTAGTTAAGGCGAGGCGAGGTGACGCGGATGCGTACCTCGAGGAGGTCGGCGTTGGAGGGGTCGGCGGCGAGGGCCTCGTCGACGGCGGTGAGGGAGGCCCGCTGCTCCTGTAGGTGGTGCTCCAGCTGCAGCTCGATCGACGCCGCCTCGTCCTCCCCTTCTTCCCCCGCCATGGGTGGTGGTGGATCGAGAGAGAGAGAGAGAGGACGCCTCCCGCTCCCCCTCTTCTTCTTCTTCCTCCGATGCGACGGCCAGCGAGCCAGCGGCTGCTCTGCTGCGACCTGTGCGAGAGGTGAGGTCGGTGCTGTGTCGCGATGGTGTGGGCATGGGCCGTGGAAGATGAACTTGTTTTCTGGGCTTTGAGATTGAGCTGGCACGTCGTGGGCCTCGTAATATTTTTCTTGAGATTTTATTTTTAAAAAAATATCAAAATTATATGTTTTAAAGAAGAAAGAAATTAAGTTTCAACTTAAGATCATCGGGTTAACAAGTGACCTGTCAGCCACACCTCGATTGAGATATTCTATATTTTTTATACGATTACAAAGCAGACGCTCATAAACACACAGCACTACACACGTAAGATCGCTCTCACACCCCCTAATGCACGTAGACGGAAATGAAATACTACATTCACACTCCCTAATACACGATCTAAAGAGGCGGAACTAGTGGCACATCCCTAATCTCAGTAAAATCTTGTTAAAAGCCCACTACATATGTGTAATATTTATAAACATTAAAATTTGAACCTGGTGAATGAAAGCATGCACATATAACTCTACCACCACACTACTAATACTTTCCTATATATTTTGTATACCTCTATAGTGAACACGATTTTGCATATATCGTGCTACGATGTAGTTTTATCCGTTTCTATGTAAGATGACTGGATTGTCGAAGAACAAAGGGGTTGTTTGGTTCGATGCCGTTGGTAGCCAGCCAGGTTGTGGCGCTGCCACAATTTTATGGCGAAGGAAAGGCTCGCCGCACTTGTGGCGAAAACTATCACATAAATGAAATGTAACGTGGTGTGGCTGCCTCAACTTACGTGGGAACCAAACAATAGCCTATTTTGCGTGGCTACCGCATTAAAGGCTTGGCGAAGTCTGGCGGGGAACCAAACAGCCCCAAAATGTCTCAGATACCAAGCGAAGTCTCAGATTACGAATTATCCAAAGGGCAAAAGACATGCAAAAATAATAATATCATAATATTGTACTACTCAATAACCAACAAAACATACCAATTTTATAGTATCCGCAAAAATAAAAGCCCTAGTTAGAAAACAATTTCACCGTGTGCGTATCACTCATAGTGTTTTATTATGCAATTTTCTCACATGGATGCACGTGGTTTTCAAGAGGCGCCTACAAATCGAGCGTTCGATTTTTGTTTGAAAAAATCGGGTGATGTTCCAACAAGTAGATCAGAAGTTTTTCACTAAGTTGATCGAACATGTTTTAATCGTTTTAAAAGTTGAAACACAACCAACCCACCTTCTAAAACATTTTGCTACAACATAGGAAATAACAATTTTTAAGCTATTTCACCATATATAAAAATAATATTTTAGCAAACAGAGAAATGATGTTTCAATTCACTGCAACATTTGATTTATACATAGTGACATGAATATACTTGCTGAAACATTATTGGTGGAAGAAAAAATAAAACGGATTCTCTTAATAGAGCATTTCCATAATATATGGGTGATTTATTGCAACGGTGCGTGTGGTGGAGCGCATAGTGAGGACGACGTGGATGCTTTTTTGGGCGAGGCGCGATGGGAGGAGCGGGCGCCTGATGCATGCATGCCCGTATCGGATGCCCGATATAAAAAAATTTCGTGGTTTTCATCTTGATTTTCTTGTAACTTGTGTTAATTAGTCCGATATAAGAACAATAAATATATTTTTTTATCAGATAATCTGCCCAGTGTCACTTGTGGTTTTCATTTTACCAGAGGAGCAACCTCCACCGTCTGATCTTGCAACTTCCGTCCAGCCACGCTGCATAGACGGTCCAGATCGAACCCGAAACCATCATCCCAGTTGCTGGCCCACCCTCCAGTCTCTCACGGAAAGGATCCGACCCGTTACCACCACCCGCAGCACTATCCAAATGCTTACAACAAAATCCGACCCTCGAACTCTCCCACACTCCATTCTCTGAGATCTGCGACCTCCCCATCTCCCCCAACTCCGGCGATCGCCGGAGTTCCCCGCGACGGCGGCGCGATGGACCTCCTCATCGCGCAGATCAACACCGACCTCCGCTCGTCGGACGCGCTGCGGCAGTCGTCCGCGCTCCTGCAGGCGCTGCAGCAGTGCGCCGCCGGCCGCGACGTCTCCGCGCTCGCCCGCACCGTCGCCACCGAGATCCTGTCGGCGCCCTCCTCCGCCGTGTGCAAGCGCCTCGCGCTCGACCTCCTGCGCGCGCTGCCGCTGCCCCCCGACCTCCTCGACCCGCTCCTCCTCTCCTCCCTCCGCTCCGACCTCTCCTTCCCCGACCCCGACGTCGCCGCCTCCTCCATTGCCTCGTTCCCCTCGCTCCCTTCCCACCTTCTCCCCTCCCTCCTCTCCTCCGCCCACGCCGACATCGCCGCCGCTCTCTCGTCGTCCGCCGAGTCACTCCGTCTCGCCGCCGTCACCTCGTTATCCTCTCTCCTCCCGCGTGATGACCTCGCGCTCATGTGCTCCACTAATCCCTCGCTCATGGGGCACGCTACCACTTGGTGGGGGCGGCTGGCGGAGCTTGCATTGGACCCTGCGGATGCTGTGGCTGCCACAGCGTTTGAGGCGCTTGCTCGGCTCTTCCAGGAGCTGGATGCCCGGCGGATGAGCCGGCTTGCCGGGGACAAGCTTGTTGATGGAGAGGGCGCGCTTGCCGTGCGTGCTCAGTGGGCAGCTGAAGCCATCAATTTCATTTGGTCCCGGCGAAACATGCTCATTGCACGCTCCATGGTTATGCCAGTAGAGCGCTTCCGGGTCACCGTGTACCCTATTGTGCACGCAGCGAAAATGGTTGCTTCTGGCATGGTGAACACATTGCGGCAGATTGCCAAGCCAGGGGACACTACAATAGATGACAGTGTGGAGTCGAGCGCGGAGAAGCTGGTTGGGGTGTCGGATATCATCTCGCACTTGCTGCCTTTCCTCAGCTCACTGGATCCACCATTGGTTTTCGAGGTGGGGATAAATATGTTGGCACTTGCAGATGTGCCTGGAGGCAAGCCGGAGTGGGCTTCAGCTGCCACTACTGCAATTTTGACACTTTGGGACCGGCAAGAGTTCTCATCGATGAGGGAAACCATTGTCAGAGCCGTCGTGACTAATCTCCATTTACTCGATCTTGGAATGCAGGTCTGAATCAATCTCCTCATAGCAACTTACTTTAGCCTAGTCAATCTGATGATTACTTTTAGTTATTTCTATAATATACTAAGTAAAAATTTAGATCAACCTTCAATACCAACTGTATGACTATAAGGATCATGGAAGTGGGTATATGGGTTCTTAGTGTTCACTGGCAGCTGTAGAGGGCAATTTTCGGTCAATTTGAATATTTACAATCATCAACTGTAGATGATCTTGTTCAAATATAGCTTCCTTTCAATCATTCAATGACATCAAGGTTTCGTTTGAATTTATGTCTTTAAACTCATTCCAATATAACATGTAATTTTAACCAGCTAGTGTTTATTATGAGTGCACCATGAAACCAAACAGGTTTGGGATGCTATCCACACCATCTAAACTATTTCATTAGAGTTGCCAGCAGTGAACCAAATGGCACCTTAGTTGGTTCGGAATTCCATCTCCTGATTGCTGCCATTCAACTCAACAATTATTTGATTTCTCACGATATTAGTTGCCACTATATTCCCTAGCATTAACCGGCGATCTGTGTTACATGCATATAATAACATGGATTTACAAAAGTATGTTTTGTGATGCAGGTGTCTCTGTTCAAAAGGCTGCTTCAAATGGTGAGGAATTTGAGAGCAGAATCAGATCGTATGCATGCATTGGCATGTATTTGTCGGACTGCTCTTTGTGTTGATCTTTTTGCAAAAGAGAGTGTTAGAAGAGGTCAGAAGCCTGTTCCAGGAACAGATGTGATCTCACTATTTGAGGATGCAAATGTGAAGGGTGATCTAAACAGCATAACGAGCAAGAGCTTGTTCAGAGAGGAGCTAGTCGCTTCCCTAGTCGAAAGTTGTTTCCAGCTATCACTCCCCCTACCTGAGCAGAAGAATTCTGGCACAGAGAGCAGAGTTATAGGAGCATTAGCTTATGGAACTGGATATGGTGCATTGAATTGGACAGAACCTGCTTTGGATGTGGTGGAAGTTTGCAGGCCTTGTGTTCTTTGGGACTGTGGTGGGCGTACCTATGCAATTGATTGCTATCTGAAGTTGCTTGTACGGCTTTGCCATATATATGATACTAGAGGTGGTGTAAAGACAATCAAAGCTGGTGCATCTCAAGATCAGATTCTAAATGAGACAAGGCTTAGAAATTTGCAGCTACAGCTTATCAAGGATCTTCGTGAGGTTATGCTCTTAGTTAATCTTAACTTTTAAAATCTAAACACGATGGCATGTTTGTTTTACATGAACCCACATAGTTCTTTATATTTGTTGAATGTTGATGCTTCGTTCATCCACCAAATAAATAAAACAGTGGTTTATCTATTTTATACTATCTTTATGGCAACCCATTAGTTTTTCTCTGTTGCACTGAACTCCTATATAATATTACAGTACATGATTTTGTTTCTTGGCATGCATCATTGTTATGCTTGTCCTTGTCTTTTCCGGCCTCATGGATCTGACTATTGCAAAAACTTGTGCTCTAAAGTACATTTCCCATAAACTTCTCTCGTTCAATAACTAAAAAGCATACACTTTGACAAGGCTTTACTTTAGTTTAGATTATATTATGGCTGTCTTTGCTGGGCTTTCCTTTTGCTCTTCTTCCCCCTTTCTTTTTTCAAATATTTATAAACTAGAACTGCATCATCTGTAAAAGATTCTTTTCCTAGTTGGTAATAATCATAAAGTGCCGATGTTGACATGACTTCTACTCTATATTCTACTTTTATTGCAGGTTCATACACCAAGAATTTCAGGACGATTGATATGGGCAATTTCTGAACATTTTGATCTTGAAGGTCTGGATCCTCTTTTAGCTGATGACCCAGAGGATCCATTGAATATCATCATATCTAACATGCATAAGATTCTATTCAAGATCGATTCATCTACAACTACCTCAAGTAGGATACAAGATGTGCAGTCTGTCCTCATATGCGCTCAACGTTTGGGATCGAGAAATGCAAGAGCAGGCCAGCTCCTCACTAAAGAATTGGAGGAGTTCAGGGCAAGTACTTCAGCTGATTCTGTCACCAAGCATCAGTCGCGTTATGTCTTGCAAATAATAAAATATCTAACGAACCATCCTGATAACAGGTGAGTGTATTCTGAAACTCGAGTAACTAATTCTTTCACAAAGGGTCACCATTTATTTAGATATATACTGTCATAAATGTTGTACAACAGAGAAAAAAATCTCTACTGGAACATGCATTAGGAAATTATGAAATGTCTAACTTTCCAATATTTATTCAGGTGGGTTGGTGTAGGTGATGCTACAGGGGATTATCCATTTAGCCACCACAAACTTACTGTTCAGTTTTTAGAGGCATCTGCAGCACAAGATAGGAAATTGGAAGGATTAGTTCACAAGGCCATCGAAGAGCTTTGGAGGCCAAATCCCACTCAGTTGACTCTCCTACAAATGAAGGGGATTGGTGCTTTGCACAAAGAGCTTCCAAAAACACTTTCTTTGACTGGCAGCAGTGATCCATGCTATATTGAGGCATATCATCTGGCAGATCCAACTGATGGGAGAATCACCTTACATCTAAAGGTATGGCCTGATCGATGCATCTTTCCCTTGTTTGCTTAACAGTATATTCATTTTATTGTACTTTTCTGTTTTGGTCTCTGTTAAATGCTGTTTAGGGACAATTTAGCTCTTAACGTGGAGATAGTTATCTTGGGGGGCTGGGGTAAAATTGCCAGCAGTTTTTTGCCAACACTGTAAATACTATATTATTAAAAAATAGGAACCAATATTCTTATGCAACCTATTGGCCACAGTTTTCTCATTTTAAGGCCATATTATGTGTGGCCTTATCATGATGGATCTTCAGTGTTAGCTCCAGCACTGTGCAATTGTATTTTTGTATTTGTTACCTGGTAGCAGGTAGGTTGATTTTAGAAGTTAAAACAACCATGTGTGGTTCCACATATATTTCTTTTCTCTGAACTATAGAATTTTTTGACCTGGAATTGTATTATCATGTTGTTTGACTAGTTTATGTTGTTGCAGATTTTAAATTTGACTGAGCTGGAACTCCACAGGGTTGATATCAGAGTTGGTCTCTCTGGAGCACTGTATTATATGGATGGATTCTCCCGCACAGTTCGGCACCTACGTAATCTTGTTTCCCAGGTGCTTATACTAATCTAAATGTGCCTATTTTGCTGATGTTCTTAGTATAAACTATACAATTACCCATCAATAATTTAAAACTAGTGTAGTGCCCCTTGTGTTGCTAGGGATCTGAAATATATAACATCACCATAAATTCTGAACTTAAACAAATTAAAATAATTATCCTCGAGTATAAAATTTCACACGCATAATTCACATATTAGATCAACCAACTCTTATTTTAATCCACCTTATGTGGAAAATGCCTTTCCATTCTGCAGGATCCAGTCCAAAGTAGTGTAACTGTTGGAGTTTCGCACTTTGAGAGATGCTCCCTCTGGGTTCAAGTCTTGTATTACCCATTTTATGGAAGTGGAGGGTCTGCAGACTATGAAGGAGATTATGCAGAGGAGGACTCACAAACAGTTAGGCAGAAACGCTCACTTAGGCCGGAGCTTGGTGAGCCAGTTGTTTTGCGGTGCCAGCCCTACAAGATCCCCCTTGCTGAACTTCTCTTGCCATATGAGTGCTCCCCAGTTGAGTATTTCCGGCTATGGCCAAGCTTGCCAGCCATGGTGGAGTGCACTGGCACATACACATATGAAGGTAGTGGTTTCAAGGCCACTGCTGCTCAGCAGTACGACAGCTCTCCTTTCCTCAGTGGGTTGAAGTCGATTTCTTCTAAGCCCTTCCATCAAGTCTGCTCTCATTTCATCCGAACAGTAGCCGGGTTCCAGGTAAGCATTTTGAATAATCTGTGTCACTTGAGTCATGTTACCATCCTCTTTATTCTTTCATATACATAACTATCAAAATTCTTGGGTTATAACTCATTTGATCTCCTACAGTTATGTTATGCCGCGAAGACATGGTTTGGTGGGTTTGTGGGCATGATGATCTTTGGCGCAAGCGAGGTCAGCCGGAATGTTGATCTTGGCGATGACACGGCCACAATGATCTGCAAATTCGTCGTGCGTGCCTCCGATGAATCCATCACAAGAGAGATCCAATCAGACCTCCAGGGCTGGCTGGATGACATCACCGACGGCGCCGTGGAATACATGCCGGAGGAAGAGGTGAAGAGCGCGGCGGCTGAGCGGCTGAAGGTTTCCATGGAGAGAATAGCCCTGCTCAAGGCGGCCAAGCCGAAGGTGCCACCGGCGAAAACCAAGGAAGAAGAGGAAGAGGAGAAGAAGGAGCAAGAGGACCTGGACGAGTTTGGGAACCCCAAGGGCCCCTCGACGCTTTCCAAGCTGACGGCGGAGGAGGCCGAGCACCGTGCGCTCCAGGCCGCCGTGCTGCAGGAGTGGCACCAGCTGTGCAAGGAGAAAGCCTTGAAAGCACAGTGAGGCTTTTGGTTTTATGTTGTGATTTTGAGTGCCATTTTTGTTCTTTTAACCCCCATTTTGTGTATGTATTAGCCCTGCTGATTAATTTCACTCCATGTACTACTGCCGATTTGTTCATTGTATTCATTGTTCACAGATAACATTTGTAACATAGATCCAAGCTTTGGTGTGAAAATACATTTTTTTCCCCGGTGACCACACTATATTCCTGGTCCATTTTTCGACGAAAATCTACAAAGAAGGTGTGCATAACATAATTCCTAATGTTTGACTGACAGGTGGGGTCTGGTGAATTCTACCTGTCTATTCCAATGACATGTGGGGTCTCTTGCAATGGCCCCACAAGCCAGTCTCTCTCTTCGCGGTCTGCGTGTTCCCACCCCTCCACCCTCGAGTCCCCCGACCAGGCGATCACCCCGTGGGCGGCGGCGCCGCCGTCCTCAGGCCGCCGGCCGCCGCGTGCGGTCGAGCTGCCTTGCCATGGCAAGGCCGCAGCCTTGCTGATAGCGAACGGAGGAAAACGACCAGGCTGTATGCCCGCATGGTGTTCGAAGGGGTCGGGAGCGATGGCTCGGGGTCGGGGGCGGTGGCTGCTGCCGACGCGGCTGCTGAACGTCTGCCTCGCCGCGCTCTGCCGCGGGGGGAGCCTCGCCGCCGCGGAATCCGTCCTCGTCGACGCCATCCGCCTCGGCCTGCCACCCGACGTCGTCACCTACAACACCCTCCTCGCCGCCCACTGCCGCGCCGCGGGCCTCGAGGCTGGCCTCGTCGTCATGGGACGGATGCGGGAGGCCGGGGTGGAGCCCGACGCCGTCACCTACAACTCCCTCATCGCGGGGGCCGCGCGCCGCGGGCTCCCGATACACGCCCTCGACCTGTTCGACGAAATGCTCCGTTCGGGGATCGCCCCCGACTCCTGGAGTTACAACCCCCTCATGCACTGCCTGTTCCGGTCCGGCCACCCGGAGGATGCCTACCGGGTGTTTGCTGATATGGCTGAGAAAGGCATTGCGCCGTGCGACACCACCTACAACACTCTCCTCGACGGGATGTTCAGGGCCGGTTATGCGATGAACGCATACAGGATGTTCAGGTACCTGCAGAGGGCGGGGCTCCCCGTGAGCATTGTGACTTACAACACCATGATTAACGGGCTGTGCAGTTCAGGCAAGGTGGGCTATGCCCGGATGGTCCTTAGGGAGCTTGGGAGGACTGATCATGCCCCAAATATTATCACTTACACGGCAGTTATGAAATGCTGCTTTAAGTATGGTAGGTTTGAGCAGGGGTTGGACACCTTCTTGTCATTGCTGGACAGAGGGTACATTTCGGATGTCTACCCTTACTGCACAGTGATCAGTGCTTTGGTTAAGAAGGGCCGGTTGGGAGAAGCTAATAATTATTGTGACCTCATGCTACAAAATGGATCTAGGCTTGACAGTGTGTGCTACAACACGCTGATTCACATGCGATGCCAAGAAGGGAAGCTGGATGACGCATTTGAGCTTGTGAGCATGATGGAAGATGGCGGCCTGGAGAGTGATGAGTACACATTCGCAATTTTGGTCAACGGGCTGTGCAAGATGGGACATATCGAGGCTGCAGAAAAGCAGCTATTTTACATGGAGATCAAGGGCATGCAATCTAATGTTGTGGCATACAATTGCTTGGTTGATGCGCTCTGCAAATTTCAAGAGGTGGATGCAGCTATCAGATTACTGCAGTGTATGAAACTAAAGGATGATTTTACTTACACATCACTAGTCCATGGTCTATGTAGGGTGGGTAGATACCATATGGCATCAAAATTCTTGCGAATCTGCTTGCATGAAGGTAATAATGTTCTTGCATCTGCAAAGCGTGCTGTCATTGCTGGGCTTCGTAGCTCAGGGTTTAAAAATGATTTGAGGAAAGTCCGGGTAGCATTAAATATGGCTAAGCTGTTACGACCATAATCCAAGGAAAATGGCCTGAAAGATCAATTCGCAAGAGAAATGACTGGATAATCCTGCATGGAGTTTAAGGATGAATATCTTGTCGGTGGCTCAGTGCATCATTCTATAGAAGTAAAATGGGTATACTCTTTTTCTGGAGAAACTGTAGGATGGTGATCTTGCAATATGCAATCAGCCTTTTCACTGTCAGTCTGTCAAACCCAAGCGGAACAAAATTAAACATCATGGGAAGCTGCAGACATCACCACTAGTTGGCGAACGGTATCGGCTCAGTATGTGCACAAAGCCACCACTAACTGGTGTATGCCTTGCCTTGGATTTTGTTGGGAAGGTAATTGTGGATTTATATTTTATATTCAAGTCTTCTGCTTAAATTAGTTATTACCTTATCGTTGTGTCACAGTAAATCATGCTAAGTTTACCCTCTTTTGGGTGGTTGTTGCAGATTGATTGGGTTTAGTTATCTGTTGCTCCAGACCAGACGATACAGAGCAAGCAATTAAAAAGAAGTACAAAAAGCTGCAGATTGGTACAGAAAAACCCATTTGTACATCATTTTTTTGTCTGTTCTTTAATTCTTATGAAGCAGTGGAAAAAAAAATCTCTTTGGGTGATACCATATGTCACAGTTTTAACATATTGAGCAAGTTTTATATTCCAATGAAAAACATAGCAAGAGGACAGATATGTTTGTGGTATGCGGCAGTGCTACCTATCCTTGAAATTTTCCATTGGACAGCCATTTGTTGGAGCTCTGCATGTCAGTGGCTGCTGAGTTCGAGCCGTCAATTGAAACAAGTCGGCAACCTCTTCGTGATGGAGCATCGTAGATTGGTTTGCAAGGTGACATGAATTTTTTGAACTCAATTGAGGTCAGGTTTGCTTTGGGTTGAAGAATTGGGGTGATTTGGGTAGATCAGGAGATGTTTGGTTGATTGGATTGGTTCTGGGACGTATAGTTTGCTAACATAGGTGGGTCTGGAAACAGTCTAGTTTTTTAGGCATTAGCAGGTCTAGTCCAAATATGAAGTTATTGTGACATTCTACCAATTCTTTTCCCTACCTTTGAAGGACATCTTGAGTGGGATAACTTTAATTTACAGAACATGGTAAATTTAGGTTCAAGATGGATTTACAAAAGTATTTTCTGTGACCCAGGGAGTCTTCATACGACTGCTTCGAGTGGCAAGAAACTTGAGAGCAGAACAAGATCAAATCCATGCATTGGCATGTACTCCATTTGTAGGAATGCTTTTTTTTTTGCCGATTCATACTTTGGAAGCCCATTCGAGGAACAGGTGTGATATCACCTTTGAGGATGCAGGTGTGATGATACAAGCTGAAAACCACTACTGACGAGCGGCCGAAGATTTACATGGAGAACGTAGCTCAAGGCAGCAAAACTGAAGGAACCTTTGATAGCGACAAGAGGAGAATAATGAGCGGAGAGAGTCCAATTTCATGTGTAATTCTTTCGACATGAATTTTGCAAAAGGAGTCCAATTTGGCTTTGATTTGGGAGAAACGAATTCGTACATTCGGAACTACGCGAACATGCATGTCAGATGAAGGCGGGGCCGTCCTTTCTGTTAACAGACAGTAAATTTCAAGATGTCAAATATACGAGTTTCAACACAAATCCTACAGAGTTTCTGCTACAGGAAAGTGATTTTCACCGTTGTACAGAGTTTCTGCTACGGCATTGGTATATTCTATCCTTTTTTAAAAAAAATTAATTAAAAATTGATACTAGCAACCTACTCCAGTCCTGATCCGAGTTTGTGTCTAATCCAGTAGTATTGTTATATTTTGGATCGAAAAAGAGTAGATTTTCTGAATATAGCTTATTTTCAGCTGGTATCTTATCCATACAGACCACCAAATTATCAAAATCTTCGGAATCTGAAAAAACCCCAACCCAAACAAAGCATCTCGTGTCCCTATCTTTCGGGTCATTTGAAACTGGAGCGAATAACCTCTCGACTCCAATTTCCACACAACCCACCAAAAAGTCTCCGCCACTTCACCCCGATCGCCGCCGCCGCCGCCGCCGCTCGATTCCCCGATGGCCGCGGAGCCGGAGGAGCGCCTCGACGTCCTCACCGCCGGCGGCGAGAAGACAGGCGCCTCCAAGGCCAGGCACGCCGCAGCTACCCCCTACCCAGCTTACTCCCGCCGCCGCTTCGGTTGGATTCCATTCGATCGGATCGCGTGACTCCGCCGCCGCGGTTTGCTCGGTTTTTTTTTTCATTGCAGGTCGGAGGTGCACAGGGACGGCGACTACCACCGGGCGGTGCACGTGTGGATCTACAGCGAGAGCACCGGGGAGCTGCTGCTGCAGCGCCGCGCGGACTGCAAGGACACGTGGCCCGGCCAGTGGGACATCTCCAGCGCCGGCCACATCTCCGCCGGCGACTCCTCTCTCTCCTCCGCGCAGTGAGCTCGCTACCCCTTGCTCCCTTGATAGAATTTCGGAATGCGATTATCTGAATTCTGCTTGGGGAATCGTAGTGGCGATTTTGCCTAGCAGCGTGGAGAAGCACTTGTCACTCTGCTTTAAGTTTACTATGCACATGGGCATGACACTCATTGCTTATATCTGCGGGAGTTGTAGTCTCTGAGATATTGCGGTTCATCTGATCGATGCAACTGCTGAAACTTGATTGAATTAACTTACGTGATGAATGGGTTGCACACGTGCTATTATCACATAGTGTTTGAGACGCTGTTCATATTTTATTTTAGTTTATTCCACAGGTTCACTGACTTGCTTGCATTTGTTGGGTTGGCTATTACTCTATTGCGTGATTCTTTGCTAGGCTAGGTAAAAAGGGTAATATTAAAATGATGCATTCTAATTGGTAATAGCATTTGACATGGATCATCAGGCGGGAGCTCGATGAAGAACTAGGCATCAAACTTCCATCTGATGCTTTCGAGCTGTTATTTGTTTTTCTTCAGGAATGGTTAGTACCTCTATCTCTTAGTCCATCATCTTATTGTGAGTTTGCAAACTACGATAGAAAACGATTACTTTTATCTTTTTTGACCGGGTATTAAATACTATTCTATCCCTCATCAGTTTAAGATTGTATAGCAGCATATTCTGATCATAACTGCAGCGGATCTTTTACAATTTCAAACAGTACTTACTGAGAGGCTTGCTAAGTGCTAATATTTCATATTTCATCACTTTATGTTCACATGAAATTTCACACTATCAGTATCTGCATAAAGGGACGTTATATAATGTTATCCTCTGATTCTTTGCTGCAGTGTTATCAACAATGGCACATACACCAACAATGAGTACAATGATGTTTATCTTGTGACTACTTTAACTCCAATTCCACTTGAGGCATTCACTCTCCAAGTGAGGATACAATGATTAGTAATACTTTGCATTATGTTTTTTTCACTTGCTCTTGCATATTCATGGTTGTCAACATCAACAAGTGTGTATTACAAGAAAAATCTGTACTTATGTTCCTGGCACCAAAGGAAATATATCTGAGCAAGTAAATTTATCAACATGACAAAAGGAACACTATCAGAATTGTCCAGTATATAAATATTTATGATGTAATTTCTTTGTTTTACTAGTTGTATGGTTTGTTTCATAATCAACTGTAGAAGTTTTAATTATAGGAAAGTGAAGTATCTGCGGTTAGGTATATGCATCTTGACGAGTACAAGAGCTGCCTTGCAAAAGAAAGCGGAGAATATGTGCCTTACGATGTGAATGGGACATATGGCCAACTATTTAGTATTATTGAAGAAAGGTAAGCATCCAAATTATTTGTCCAGTCATGTTTTTGTCAATTTGTGGCCTCGATTGTCGAAGGGATAATTATATTCACTTTGGAAGAACTGAAATGACTTTTTTCTGTGATCGATATGAAATTTACTACTACCAACAGTCTGTGGTAACAAAGGTGCTGGTGACAATTAAACCATGTCCAAGCTCTCATTTGACCTCCAGGTTTAGGTTTAAACATTGGGAAGCTGGAGTGAGTATTTGTCTCTAGGTTGACACAGTAGGTTCTTAGGAGTTAGGATTTATTGTATAGTTTTTTTTTTAACTCATCAGAGTTTTAAGTTGAAAAAAAGGATGTGGTGTCATTGAGCAAGTCATTCGATGGGTAAGTCTCTAAACAAAAACTTAGCATTTGGTGAATCAGGGACTTTTACTGTATGTTTTGAGCAGCATCTGCTCCTGTTAACAACCCACCAGAATTAGAACTTTCAAATAACTGTTTCTTTGTCTTCATCTCTTGCCAGTTACCACTTTGAAGCAATTCAACATATCATTCCCTTGGCAATCCCTGTTGCACCACGTTTTTTGTCAAAATTATCTTGCTTCAACCTTTCATGCCATGTTTATAGGTACAAAGACAATATCGAATCCCGCAGTTTAACCTTGCAAAAGCAAATCAACCGTTATGCTCCCATCCATTTGGAACCAGAGGTAAGCTGTCTATATTTTTTGTCAGTCACCCTGTAGCTCTGGTTATTTATTTTCCATTTCATATTTGATTATTTATGTAACTATTCTTGCCTATTTGGCAGCCACCAATATTCAATACCAACAAAATTATATGTATGGGAAAAGGGAAACATTCACTTCATTTATGCACATAGCTACTAGGTATGCCATATGCAATATGCATTGGATGTATAGCACATGAAAGCTAGGTGCGCATTGCACAAAAAAAAAAGAGTACTGTTTGTATCATTATGGTGGTCTGATAGTTGGAAGGAATGATATATTGTGTCAAATTGTCTACTATTGGGTAGCACCTACCAGTTTCCTCACCTTTTCTTGGATTAATCCATTCAAGATTATTATTTCTTAGAATATTGTATGATACATATACTATCTATAATCTGTTCATCATAAAATTCTGTGTCATAAAAGAAAGCAACAGTTTGATTTCACACACTAGGATCATAATATTTAGTTTGAACATTAGGACGGAAACAGGAAATTTGATTCATCATTCCTATAATATAGTACTCACATGCTTTTTTTTGTCCCTGGCACGCTTGACATTTCAATCTTTGGCTTTGCAGTTGACTAGTCTATCAGAAGGAGACAGGGAAGCCTTGGGATATATTCTTAAAGCATCAATAGTTATTGATGACATCTTTTATGAGCAGGTACATCTTTCAACTTTCTTCATTTTTTTTTGAAACACATATTTTTTATTCTTATTCGTTGGATATGTCGTTTACAATTAGTTAGCAAAGATTATCTTCAGTGATAATTATTATTTTTACTGCATTGCAACTTCTTACTACCCTGGTTCTCGATTAGGTTTGGAATAGCAACTGCACGCTGAGAGACTGGCTGAAAGCACGTGCTAACTACTCTTCTTTTGATAAGTTGAAGTGGTTGTATTATTCCATTAATAAGAGTCCATGGTAATTTATTTTCTATTGAAGTTTCTTCACGCATGTTGACTACTTTAGGTTTATTTGTACATTGGATATTTTGTTGGTTGCATGGTGACTTGCCTATGAGTTAAGATCATGATCTTCTGAAGTCTGCATTTAGTATTTGTCTTGTGTTGCCACGTTGACGCATATAAGTTTACATGTGTTGTGTGGATGGATATAGTTTGTATCCTAATTTTTGTGTATCTACATCTTTATGAGAAAATTAAATGTTTTGTATTGAAGAATGCATACTTTCTCAGATGTTCTGTGCAGAACTTCAGTACTCCATGCATGAAAATGTTCTTTCATACCACTGTTATCTAACCATTACAGACCAATTGTTTTCATTTATAGATTTTCTTTTTTGCTATTCATTTTTTTCATCCTTAAGTTTATCCCTACAAAACGAAGTATGCTTGTATTTCGGGCTGTATGGAGTAGAGAATTAGTGAGATATGTGCATGCCCTCATGGACTCTAATGAAATATGTACTTGGTGAAAGATATAGCAGGGAGCATATTTATCTATGATTAGGGTGTTTATGAGCACAAATCCATTTTTTATTCCTACTTTGTATGCTTGTTTCGAACTCATATTATCTAATTAGATAATGTATAACTACTATGTATTTTTTAGCATCTTGATAGATGTTATTATTTGATATTTTCCCATAACAGGTCCTGCCTTGATGAAAATAAGGCTTTTCTATCGACTGCAGATTCTGCTGTGAAATTACTCACAGATGCCACCAAATCAGTTTCAGGATGGAAGGGGATTGAGTATCGTGCTGCATTTCCTCGAGATAATCCTCCCGGGGCAAACTTTTATCCTCCTGATATGGACAAAATGGTAAGATTGTGCTTAGTCACTTTTCTGCTTCCCAGTGCTCAAAGTATCCAGTACAAATTTCATATGCAGTAGTACGGTTGCTTACTGAGTACTGTATAAGTACGTTTGATGTGTACTTGGTACCGTAGTGACTGAAGCAGGGCCAATTTGCATATGTTTTGTATGTCTGTAGGAGTTTGAATTATGGAAAAATGGACTGCCTGAAAAGGAGCAAAAATATGCAACTGGATTTTTTACTGTCATAAAACGGCATGATGCCTTGTTGCCTTCAATACTAGCGCAGTCAGATGGATCAAATCAAACCAAGACATCAGATGATCTTTTCGTTGTTCCATACTCTGAGGAGTACAAATCATCCCTTGAGAAAGCTGCTGAGCTTCTTCATAAAGCATCTGAATGTTCTGATTCTCCAAGGTAAGCTAGTACTTCCTCCGTTTCACAATGTAAGTCATCCTAGCATTTCCCACATTCATACTGATGTTAATGAATCTAGATAGATATATATGTCTAGATTCATTAACATCAATATGAATATGGGAAATGCTAGAATGACTTACATTGTGAAACGGAGGGAGTAGTAATATACCAGCTTTTAGTTTCTGAATTTAGAACTTATATGCTTTTATCTTCATGTAGCCTCAAGAATTTGCTCAAAACCAAGGCAAATGCTTTCCTTTCAAATGATTACTATGAATCTGATATAGCTTGGATGGAGCTGGTTAGTGTCCTAACTCTCAGTTTTAGTTCATTATTTTCTCTTTAAATTTACAAATGTACTGGTTTTCTCACTAGCTTGATTCCTTCGTTCTTGGAGAAATTGTTCTTGAATGTTTTAAGGCAATTTGCAATCTTTTTTTTTTGGAAAAAGAGAACAGTAGGTGAGTTCCCTACTGTAGAATGTATTGTCAATAACACAAATAATACAAGGTCAAGAGTTTTATGGTGAATAATGTGTGGTTTATGAGCACTGCAGTATATAGTGTAGAATATTTGTTGGGTGTATATTCATAAAATTGGCTGTATTTGTCAGATTTAACAGCAATGTTTGGCATGTACAAATCAGGATTTGCTCATATAACCTCTGTATTTGGCATTTCTATCTTTATAGGACTCCAACTTGGATGTCACTATTGGCCCATACGAGACATATGAAGATGGTCTTTTTAGTTATAAGGTATTTGTCTCTCTTTCGAGATCTACAAAGAATTTTCTCCTTGGGATCCTTTCCTACCTGTTCTTGTCATCTACCTATTTGCTGGTCAAGTATTTAGCATGGAATTTGCATCAAACACCACATATTATTTTGAAACTTCAGTAAGCTTGCTCGTTATCACATATAATGCAGGTTTGCAACATTGTTGAGTGTGTGCCTATTTCCTGTGTTCAATTGTTATTTGTGTTTATTAACTAAATGCCCGCGTGCTTGCTACTGATAAAAATGAATCATACACATGGAGCAAATTAAATGAACATATGCCCTCTCCTTTTTTTTTTCAATGAAGGCACCCTCAATACTTTTATCACAGGGAGTACTTCTAAAACTAACTTTAATACTACATATACATGTGACGTTGGTCATCTTAGACCCTTTCCGAATTTAAGTTTGTACTTTAGAGACCAAGAAAATGATAGTATATGAAGGGACTTATATGTAATATTGGCTTCAGGAAGTATTTGGTAAAAAATATAGTGGGGTGGCAGATTCACTGCTACAGCCCACCAGCACCATTGACTTCCTTTAATAGGAGTATAGGTCTTTTGATGGTCATGATATTATTTTATTCTAGTAGCTATGATTTTCTCTTCATACCTCAATGCTGGGGCTGCCCATATTATTTGGGTTAAATACTAGGATTTTAATTCAGTTAGGCACCACCTTATCCCCAATGAAGAAAGTATGGCCTATAATAGTATAGGAATAGAGTAGGCGACATTACCATTTAGATTAGGGCATGTGTTTAAACATGTGTACAGGATGTGCACATGCACTTTTATATCTTGAATCAAGTTTATCTACATACTAAGTTTATGCATAGAGTTCAATAAAATATATCATTTGTTTTTACTAGTATTTTCTACTATTTTAAAGGCAACCTTTGAAGCATTTGTTGGTGTACGGGATGACATTGCCACTTCTCAAGTTAAACTCTTCGGTGATCAACTCCGGGTAACTCTAATTTATTTTCTGTAGAAAAGTACCAACTTTTGATTTACATGAAATTTGATCTTAAATTCAGGATTTAGAGAAGCATCTTCCACTGGACAACATTTACAAATCCGACAATGTATCTGCTGCTCCAATTCGCGTTATCAATCTTCTGTACAACTCTGGGGTATGTCCCTTTTGTAACATTTCTTTAATTTTTGGGGTTCATTTAATGCTTTATTTTATTACTGTGAATTTGTGATCTCCCTAGTCATTTGTTAAATTTCTGTTTCGATTTGAACTCATTGGTACTTAAAGTTTTGATATTTGTAGACACAGAAAACTTGCTTGTTTTCCCTTTTTGCTTGGTGGTAGATGGGCATCGTCAAAAAGAAGCTTATGCCCTTAAATCCCTGAGAAGCAAGTATTCAGCCTTTTCGTAATATCTAATGACAATTGATGACACACCATGATTTCATGACTTTTCGTAATATCTAATGACAATTGATGACACACCATGATTTCATGAGAGGATTGCTTTCTTCCTTTTGTTTTTATGATCAAAGGAGAAGGTTGTTTACTTTGTGCTTTTCTTACTACTGCCCCAGTTGCATGTTGGCCAAAGAATTATTGCTTAGATTACTTCAGCTTGAGTTTGTCACTATAATTGGCTAAACCATTCTTTGAGATCTTGAGACAATTGATAGGCTGAGAGCGCGTGCAGGGCTTGTGTATGTATTGCAGATGATTTGTTGTGCCAACAGCTTCATGATGAACTAAACAGGGACTATTGTTGCAGGATGTGAAAGGCCCACAAACTATTGCTTTTAATTTGCCCAATGATGAGCGGATTGTGAATGAACGAGGGACCTCGATGGTTATGCTTAAGAACATTTCAGAAGCTAAGTATGTTCTTTTACCGATTATTGTCTATAAATTTTAAATTGGTGACTCAGGTGATCCACACTATCAGTGGCAAGTGGCAACAAAAGTATGGGAGTTCCTTTTTGGATGATTCTAAATTTTCTTTACTTTTCAGGTTTAAGCATATCTTAAAGCCTATAGCTAATGCTTGCATCAGAGAGGAACAGGAAGATTATGTTGATTTTGAGCCTTATTATACACATATTGTTTGCCATGAATGCTGCCATGGAATTGGTCCTCATTCCATAACCCTTCCAACTGGTAAAAGATCAACAGTTAGAATGGTACGTAACTTTGTATATTCATAGAAATAAACATAAACCAATGCATGAACCTTAGGTGCACTATAAACATGTGCTTTGTTTCCCTCAAAATTTGCCACCACCTTCAACCATTTTTTTACGTAATGTCACTACCAAATTTCTTGTCAGATTATTGACAAATATATAAAAATAACCAAATTTATAAGTATGGATGTTGCTATAGAAAATGCAGCATATTCACTTAGCAATGGAAAATAACTTTGCTAATACTCAGGTACATGTAGGAAAAAAAAGATGTGCTTATTTATCTGTCTTCACACTTTAAATTTGAAATGCTGGTTATTTCTCTGTTATCTGATTTATAGATGACCTCTTCATGAAAAAACAGGAACTTCAAGAATTTCATTCAGCATTGGAGGAGGCCAAAGCTGATATAGTTGGTCTATGGGCACTGAATTTTCTTATTAAAAAGGTCAGTTGCTTTCATCAACTATCAAGCTACCATGGCACTTAGCTTAGTCGAGACCAGGCAGTCAAATCCTGCTATTGCTGTATATGCATAAGCAAATTTTCATTTGGCTATATCCTCGTTTGTGCCGTCATTACTACTTAGGGAAAAACAGAAACAGTTTTTCCAAACTGCATGAACTGCACATTGCATGAGCACCAACTGCATGCAATTTTGCATTGACTGGGTTGTGCAAAACCACTTAACCCGGTTTTGAATAGCCCTACTAATAATAGCACATCTGCTTCTGCTCTACCAGGGTTTACTTCCTAAGAGCCTATCAGAATCCATGTATGTCTCATTCCTGGCTGGATGCTTCCGATCGATCCGCTTTGGACTAGAAGAAGCTCATGGGTGAGGCTTTATTTTCCCTGTTAGCAAACTGAATTATGTTTCTGGAAAAAAAGGGAACGCAAGTACTTCTCAATTCTCATAGAATCTGTACTGTCCTGAGCTCTTTATATAAATCACTGTTACTATGTGTGCAGAAAAGGGCAAGCTTTGCAGTTTAACTGGTTGTATGAGAAAGGGGCTTTTGTCTTGCATTCTGATGGAAAATTCTCAGTTGATTTCACAAAGGTATTTCTCTCTTTTTTTTCCTTAACATTATTATTGTCATGCTGTCAATTCTCATTAGAACTTTGTGCCATGAAAGGTTGAGGACGCTGTCGAGAGTCTCAGTAGAGAGATCCTGACAATACAAGCAAAGGGCGATAAGCCTGCTGCCCAGTCTCTTCTGCAGTCCCATGCAAGCTTGACGCAACCACTGCGTGTGGCGCTGGACAAAATAGAACACATGCAGGTAGCTTTCAAATTTACCGGTTCATACTAAAAGAAAATTGTAAACTATTTTTCATGGCTTCTCTCCGAGTGTTTGATTGGGTTTTATTTTCCTTGTTTATATTAACATGTTCTTGATTATTTTAGGTGCCTGTTGATATCACTCCTATATTCGGCACAGCAAATAAGCTGCTTGCAAACGATCAGTAGGGTGCTCGGTTTAGCAAGCTACGTGCTTCAGTGGAACTCTGCAAGAAAACGTATTTTGTTCGATCCTAAGATACTCCATGACAAGAAAAGCGAAACGGGAAGTTAGGAATAAATGGACAAGTTATCCATAAACAATAATGTTCATGTCTTATTTTTATATTTATTACGTCTTTGATTGCGAGAAGACCCCTTGTAATATTTCAGGATTATCATCAGACTGCTGTTGTTCTATGGTGCATGAGATGACCGGGGAAATCACGTGAAACTACACTGGATAGCAGTAATACACTGATCGTTCTGTCCACAAGCTAAAAGCCCGAGAAATCACATTCAAACTTATTTTGCTTTCTAAAACATTCAAACTTATTTGTTCTCTTTTTGAAAAAAAATTCGGTGAACTTATTTTGCTTTCTAAAACATTCAAACTTTCAACTGAAAATGAGTGCGACGTGGACTTTCTAAAAACATGAAACTTTCGATTCAAATTTTAAACTTCCAATTCAAAATTTCAAAACTTTCAAGTCAAATTTAATACTTTTAACTAAAAATTTCAAAACTTTCAACTTAAATTTCCGAAAATTTCAACTCAGAATTTCGAAAACTTTCTTATCAAATTTGAAAACTTCCAAGTCAAAATTTAAAAGTCTCATATCAAAATTGAAAAATTCTCACATCAAAATTTAAAACTTTTAATATCACAATGAAAACTTCCATATCAAAATTGAAAATTTCAACCCAAATTTCGAAATCTTTCAACTACGAACTTAAAACTTTCAACTATTTTTTAAAAGTCTTCTAATCAATATATTTATGTTTTTTAAAACAATGCTAATTATGGTAACTAATACTAATTACGGTAATTAACGTTGATTACCATAATTAGCGGCGCATTGTGGGCGCACACTAGGAAACTCACGCCGCGGCCTCCATCGACTTCTTCCTTCCTCCTCAAAACCAAACGTCCATGGCGACCACCACCACCACTGATATCACCAACGCCGCCACTCCTCTTCTTCAACCCTCGATCCTCTTTGGACACCCACGTCCACATCGGCGACCGCCGCCCCAACGCCACCACCACCGCGGAAGATGCCCAGATCCAGGTCTCCATCTCCCCGGCTTCCCCGCCGAACCCCTCCCGCCTATTCGTCCGCCGCCTCAACCGGGACACCGTCTCCCTCCTCTACGAGGACGCCCAGATCGTCTCCGCCGCCGATGGCCTCCTCCTCCTCCGCGTAACCATCGTCACCACCACCGCGCCATCGCGGCTGGAGAACGACTACTTCGTCTACAGCTACCAGTGGCCTGGACGCCCCTCGCTCCGCCGTCTCCCCTCGCCGCCGTTCCCCTTCCACGACGACGAGGCTGGGATCCTTCCCCTTCCCGTTCCCGGCGGTGAGCAGCAATTCAAGATCGCCGTGCTATCCGTCCGCCTGAACGGGTTCAACCTCCGATTGTTCGATTCCGCGTCATGGAGCTGGACCAATGTCGGCAAGGTGATCGTAGCTTCGCCGCAGAGACCGTTCCCAATCAAGATCCCCAGGAACGCCGCTCGCCTCAACCAGCACATCACAACAACGGCGATCACGCTTGGAGGTGAAGATGGCACGATGGGCTGGGTCGATCTCTATCGCGGCATCCTGTTCTGCGACGTGCTAAGCGGCGGCGATCATCCCACGCTCGTTGGTGTTCCATTGCCGCTGCCAAGGAGATTGGTCGATCGCGGCGCGGAAGTCGAAGGATGCCCTAAGGCCAATAGGGGTATTGCTGTTCTTGATGGTTGCCTCAGGATGGTCGAATTGGAAGTTCATGGCGAGATACTTCCTACGCGTGACCCTGAAACTGGGCACCTTGATCGTGAGATCAAGAACTGGGAGCTCTACATGTATACCAACAGCAAGATCACCGGTGCTTGGGAGGATTGGCAATTGGTGCACGGAGTTGAAGCTTCTCAAATCAATATCGACCAAGCGATTCATGACAGCTTACTGCAACCGGGATTGCTGCGTGATAAAATGCAGGATGGCAAGGAGAGGAAATTGCACAACCTCCTCACATCTCAACCTGCTCTCAGCCTGGATGGTGAAGGTGTTGTTTACTTGCTGACAAAGGCCAAATTCATGCAACGTCAGGCTTGGGTTCTTGCTGTTGATGTTAAGGGCAACAAAATACTAGGATTAGCTGAGTTTGGCACTGACACATACTTGGGTTTGTCCCTCGCGTATTGTCCTAGTAGGATCTCCAGTTACATGGATGCATGGACTGTCCAGACAATTAGTTATATTTTAGTACTATATAAGTTCCTAGTCCTATGATTTATTTGCATGTATAAGGAGCAATCGATAGGATAATTGGTTCATCGAAAATATGCTGAAAAGAGGATGCTCCATTATCGACAGGATGTAGACTTCAAGTTAATTTTAGTCTATGCATTTAAGAATTCACCGATGTTCAAAAAAGGTGGATCAAATTTATAATTGCTTTATAGTGGCCTACTGTTACAACTACAGATCTACCTAGTACCTACCCATAGAAGTAAATTACCCTAGAAGTAAATGTCTTCTTAGCTGGTCACTGTGGTATATTATAGAGGTGGGCAAAATTCAATTGAGAAGATCGGGGGACCTGAAATAAATTGAGAAGGTATTTCTTTTTTTTCTCAACATTATTATAGTCATGCTGTCAATTCTCACGTGCAATTACACTGGATAGCAGTAACATACACTGATCATTCTGTCCACAAGCTAAAAACCGAAAAATCACAAGCACAGATACGTAATAACACCCCCAACAACCAAGAAACCGGTACTGAATTGAATTTTCCATATACACTTCAGAGTTCAGAGAGCACATGGGATCGTCAAACACAGGACAAACTGTTCACTAACATTGAAATGGAAAAAGAAGCCATCACAATTGTTGTCAAACATTGCACAACCTGGTGAACAACACAACTCATGGATTGCAAAAGGCACGATATATATAACAAAGGTCATTTTTCTCCTGCTAATAAGTACAGAGATATCAAAGGAACGAACTGCCTGAACATATGCAGAACACCATCAGCTCTCTCACAACTTATCTGTCGGGAAAAGAAAGAGGTAGTACAGCACGCCCTTAAACCGAAGAATACTACGGGTACTCAGATATTGGAACATGATCAGCCGTTACTGAGGTCAAGAAGTGAAATTTGGCAAACGAGTTCCCCTCGTTGATCCTCTTCTTCAGTGAACACATCTGCCTCTTCGTCCGTGGGAACTTACACGGCCTTCGGATGTCCTTACACGTGTCACACGACAGCATGTTGTACAGGAACACATCCTCCAGATTCACGGCCACTTCCATGATACGCTTGATAAACGCAACCAAGAAGTCTTCAGATTGGAAGCAGAAGATGGTGAGAACGGACAGGTTGTGGTGCTTGAAATCCTCAGCAGAAGATTCCCACTCTACACTCTTGTTCGAGCTGTACAAAGACGCCCTCATCTCCTCGTCCTTTTCCATGTTACACCAATGATCCCATACCTGCATGAATGCCACGCATATACAAGAAAATGGTGATAAGAAATAAGTTTGTGGTTTTGCTTGCAGCTGTATGAAAACTGAAAAAGCAAGCAAAAGTTTTATATCAGGTGCAGGTGCTTGCAGCTGTGTGAAAATGGAGTGTCAGATAGCAACACACCGTCATGCGTAGCTCCTTCAGGAAAGGCGCTGCTTCGAGAATGAACATTGTCCATGTGAGATCACATCCTTCAGGAACACGAAACAGATTCACAAGCCTTAATTTGTAGAAAACAGATGCCAGTTTTTGTGGTAATTCTGGTTGAACCCAAATCTGGAAGGAAAAAAAAAGTGAGTCGAGTAGAGAGGAGGCTAGCTCAGCAAAAACGATTACCACCAACTTACCTTTTCACTCTTAAAATTCAAACGTAGATCTCTTACAGAGATCTTTCCAAGGATCTTACTTAGCTTGACCAACTTGTGCCTTTTAAGACCAACACCTGCAAGCCGTACCGCCTCGAGTGAGGGCACATAACCAAAAGTCAGGGGATCTTGGAAAGATAGCCAACCCTCAACCATCAATTGTGCTAGTTTCGGCAAGCAGTTGAGCTTGATGCTTTCAAAACGGCAGCTGGCAATATTGAGCACATTGAGCTGTGGATGTTCAAGTTGCAGCACGGTCAAATTTCCTGAATCGCAGTTGAACAAACGCAAATACTGTAAATTCTGACAGGTCTTGAGGACGTTGTGGATGTCCGATTCACCAAATCTTAGATTCCCTATTATGAGGCGTGTGAGACCACCAAATGCAGTTGGGCAAGCATCGAAAAATGACATGAATCGTCTCCCGTAATCGATCAAATCATCATCAGTGCAACGGGTGGGTAGCTTCTCCACTATAATTGTGAATTCGGCCATCTCAACCTTTTGTGTTGTCATGGCATGTCCAACAGTTTGTCCAATTGAGATACAGTCACCTTCATTCAGGTAGAACAGCATGCGCAAGAGGTGGATGGTATATTCATCTGGATTCCTGCGTTCCAAGATGCTCTTCGTTGCTTCAACAACAGCGGCATTGGTCCAGACCAACACATCATCAGATAACATGGATGCACCATTAGGCATGAAGTGAACAAAGTCTATAACCAATTGAGAAAGCATAGAAGGGAGATGCCTCCACCGTCTGGAGAGGACACTGGTTCTTGCAGCATCGCGGACATGGAGCCGGTCAAGGATGTTAAGCAGAATATCATCAGGTAACTTGCTTAGCCTGTCACTGCCTTTCTGCATTTGACCACCAATTACAACCACAATCAATTCAAAATTTAAGCATTATTACTGGTCAAAAGTAAAAGAGTAATAGATGCCATGCAAATGATATCATCCTACTCCTACTGGGCACATAACATAGCAGGCAAAAAAGGGAGGGAAGGAGATGACTTACGCGGTTCATGGTTGCTCCAATGCAATGGCCCTTGGATGCCGCTCTGTTCTGCTTGCCCTCTATGAAATCTTGGTGGTACAAGGCAACCAGCAGTTCACTATCTTATTTTCCTCCAACCATAGAATCCTTCTATGAACGATTCTGTACAATAAGGAATTGTTAGATTGATACCCAAATGTGTTCCAAAAAAAGCTGATAACCAAATAAACTTTACCCTTTTTGGCAATGCCAGTGTAATTCAGTACTGTTTGATTAGCTTCCAATTAAGTCACAGTGTTTTGCCGCATGATTTCCGTGCAGCCTTGCTCACGGCTGCTTCCTCCACTAGATCAAATTCCCAATTGCCCCCCCCCCCCACCCCAAAAAAAAAACAACACATCAATCTGACGGAATTTCTCGATCCAACCGCATACAACGAAGCGTGCACTATCCAATACAGCATGCCAAGTAGAGAGACTAGAGAGAGGGGAGCGACGCAACGTACTCACAGGTTGACGACGAGCAACGCGATGCACCGGTGATACGAGCGGCGGAGGAACGCAGGCGGATGGCCGGCCGACGGGGAGGCGAGGCGGCGGAGGAACGCAGGCGGACGGCTGGCCGACGGGGAGGGCGGCGCCGGCGACGTGAGCGGCGCGGCTCGGAAGCGGCCCGCGCTGCGTCGGCGGCGGGAGACGAGGAAGGCCGCGGCGTTTGCGCCGCGTGACGTACTCTATTGAGTGGGCCGGCCTTAACGGAGCAACGCGAGATAGTTTATATACCCAATTTAAATTCGAATTCATATTTAAATATTTTTTATAGAGTGAAGTGCATGAGCGGGCCCTAAACTTGTGCGGGCGTGTCATCTAGATCTCTAAACTCTCAAAATACATTTTTGAGTCCTCGAACTTGTCTTGAGATGTCATCTAGGTCCAGAGGAGCTCTAACCCGCTCCATGCGCTGATGTGGCATGTCACGATAGCACCTACGTGCCACGTGTCAAGCACATAGAAAAAATAAAAATAAAAGGCATAATTTCTCCTCTCTATCTTAAATTTTTTTTGTCTTTTTTATGTTTACCTAAGAGGAGAAAATATGGTTTTTAATTTTATTTTTTATATATGCTTGACATATGGATTTCAATGACATGTAGGTGCCACCGTGGCAATGCCACGTCAGCGCATGGAGCCGGTTTGAACCGGTTAGGACCTAAAAATACATTTTGGAAGTTCAAGAATCTAGATAACACACCTACACAAGTTTAGGGACCGCTCATATACTTTACTCTTTTTTATATATAATATTCATACGGTATACTATATTTATAAATATAAAATCTATGCACATGAATATATTTTTAGGTTATTAGATTTTTATCTAGTTTCTTTTAATTTTTCTAACTTGTTTTTTTTTAAAAAAAATTATGGTGCAGGAGGAGCGTATGTGTTAGGGGGAGGGACAGGGTGCCTGATCGACCACAGCGATCACCCGTCCATTAGCCCTCCCTTAAACAAGGTCTCAAAGCGTTTGTTTGATCTGATCATCGTCTCACGTGACGTTGTTGTGACACTGATTTTGATAATTGAAAAACACGTTATATCGTGCATTACGGTTCAAGTATAATTCAAACTTGCGTCAATATAAGGTTGTGTTCAGCACAAGGAGATTGATATGAAAATTCTTTAATTTTCCACACACACGCTTTTCAACCGCCAAACGACATTTTTAAAAAAAAATAATATTCATATTAATTATTTTAAAATTTTAAATAGTTAATATTTAATTAATCATATGCTAATGATTTACTACATCCGTCCCATTATAAGTGCAGTTATGGTTTTCCGTGTCCAACATTTAACCGTTCGTCTTATTTGGAAATTTTTTATGATTGTTAGTGTTGTTGTTATTAGATGACAAAAATGAATAATATTATATGTGTGTTTAATTTTTCTATATTTTTTTAAAAAATAAGATAAACGGTTAAACGTTGGATACGAAAACTCACAAGTATATTTCAACTAGAAAAAAATGCCCGTGCGTTGCAACGGATGAAGTATATTTTAATCTTGTTATTGTTATATGGTTAAGTTAAAATGAAATTCATTGTGGGAGTTCGCTTGGATATATATATATTTAAAAAATCATTAGCTGTAGTTAGGGGTTTGATCGTTTCAAGTTAGCATGTGAGTTTTTTAAAAACAAATTTCTTATATGATTCCTTCTATATTACCAAAAGTGAACAATCTTGAAAACCGATTCAAATACGAATATGTATTTCCAAAAGCAAACGAACTTAAAAACTGACTCATACACGGATGACGTACCAAAATACCGGCAAAAACATCTTCAATTTTCATAATAACTAGAAAAATGCCCGTGCGTTGCAACGGGTGAAGTCTATTTTAATCTTATTATTGATATATGGTTTAGTTAATATGAAATTCACTGTGAGAGTTTGCTTAGATATATATATTTTTAGAAAATCATAAGCTGCAGTTAGGAGTCCAATCGTCTCAAGTTGGCATGCGATTTTTTTTTAAACAGATTTCTTATATGATTCCTTTTGTATTTACCAAAAGTGAACGATATTAAAAACCGACTCAAATATGAATATGTATTTTCAAAAGCAAACGAACTTAAAAATGGCTCATACACGATACACGAATGACGTACCAAAATACCGGCAAAAACATCTTCAACTTTTATAATAGTAGAGATAGAGATATAGATTAAAACCAAAACATAAAATTAAAACTGACTCAAACACGGATGACGAATTATAAAAACATCTTTAATTTTTATAACCGACTCAAACACAGATAATAAGATGTGAAAAGATCTTCAATTTTTATAATAAGTACGGATAGTGATTGGGACGGAGGTGGTAACTCGTTTTACCTATCTTTCTCAATCTATCCTATTCGATTCTCGTCATCGGCGCATCGCCTTTTTCTCCACCGCTTCACTTCCCCACTAGCCACAAGGCCCACAACCCAACAACCTTCCACTGATCCACACACAGCCGCGAGGAGAGAGAAAGAGAGAGGAGAGAGAGATGGCGGCGGAGCTGACGGCGGCGCAGCTGCGGGCGTACGACGGGAGCGACCCATCGAAGCCGATCTACGTCTCCGTCCGCGGCAAGGTCTACGACGTCACCTCCGGCCGCGGCTTCTACGGCCCCGGCGGCGCCTACGCCGTCTTCGCCGGCCGCGAGGCCAGCCGCGCGCTCGGCAAGATGTCCAAGGACGACGCCGACGTCTCCGGCGACCTCTCCGGCCTCTCCGACAAGGAGCTCGGCGTCCTCGCCGACTGGGAGACCAAGTTCCAGGCCAAGTACCCCGTCGTCGCCCGCCTCACCGAATGAAAAAAAAAAATCCCCCCAAATCAACCCTTAGATTATTGTATCCTCTTGTGCTCTACAGCTTAATTCCATCCGTAATTCCATGTGTAACTTATTATTACTTCTCCCTGTGTGTCAGTGTGTCTGTGCTTGCAGCTTTGCTCTCTGGTTGCTTGATTAGCTGCCCAATAATCTGAACAATAAGAAATCTGGGGAGTAATTTAAGTATTGGATTGTCTGGTCTTTCTTTTTTGTGATTGCCGCTTGATTTCTTGTGCCATAGGTTGTTCTTAATCTTGATCTGGGTATTCTTGTATAGAAGAAGCAATGTGCTGAATGCCTTGACCACAGAAATTTCATGGCTGTTGTTTGCTGTACAGGTTCATTTGGTTGTGTTCATCTTGGTGCTGTCATAGTCAGATAGGTACAACAAAAGCAGGTTCTTTATAAGATTTTTTTCTTGTGGTAGTCGATGGATGGATGTTAGTGTTAGTTTTTCGTTCTTTCATTTCTGGTGGATATGCTAGCTTTGGCAAGTGATTATTTTTTGGTTTTGTGTGTGGATTGATAAATCATTGAAGCAATGCACAGAGACATCAGACATCAATTCAGTCGTTAACTATTACAGTTTTGAACAATGAATAATTCTATATAGATTATTGGGATATAGATAATTGTTTTGACCAATATATTGTAAAAGTTGATTACTTGATAAGCTTTATGACTATTTCCTGTGTCTTCTTCTCTCTGTCTTACCTGTTTAATATCTGACTGTTGTACGTGGAGGAAGACATGAATGAATAATGAGTTTAGCTCCTAAATGTTCTCGTGGATGTTCTGATTGGGGAGAAAAGGTTTGTTACTGATATTTGGTTTGTGTAGGCTGATAATTCCAGCAGTTTCCTGCATCCTCGCTGTGTGTACATTTTATTTTGTGTGAAAAGGATATTGATATATATGGACTCTGGATCGTGAGAGGGGGGTATCAATTGTTATAAAGGATTCCTTTCTTTGTTTTCTTTCCAATTTCCAATCAGCTTCCATGTGTGTTCTGAACTTCTGATACTTCAGGCCGGGAAGGTGGAAAATTCGCTCCGTTCCCATGAAAACCCTACCCCTCCCATGGGGAGTTTTTCTATTATATTAATATGAAACCCTACCCCTATGAGCATCCTATGGGGAGTTTTTCTATTATATTAATATGAAACCCTACCCCTATGAGCATCAATCCTGGAGATATTGACAAAGTTTCCGTTAAACCCTGAAAAATTCGCTCCTATAGGAGTCGAATCCAGGACCTCAGATGCTACCGAGGCTCTTGTAACTACTAGGCTACATGCCCTTTCACAGGCACAGGCAAATTGTTTGCAACATTGTTCTGATTCACTGCATATCTGAATGAAACCATGAATCACCTTACAGATATTTTAACACTAGTGAATGCACTGTGCGTCTGTGCCCACTGCCCTGTTACGAAGAATCATTATCGTTAGTTTCGGTCCAACCCTTGTTACGTGCAATCACATTGGCCCCAGTTCATCAGTTAGAACGTGTTCACTTTTGTTACCACTTTCAAACATACCAATTTTTAACATTACCAAATTAATTTTAATAAGGCAACAAACTAAACACATCCTTATCGATGCTACCTTACCAAATTAACTTATACATTAGTAACTGTAGAATTTTCTACTTTTAAAAAATCTACCAAATATTGATAAGGCATTAAATTTAGGGCATGTTCAGATTGTAGCCAAAATAAACCTTACCAAATTTTGGCAGGATTTCTTATGTATTTATCAAATTTGGCAACAAACTAAACATAGATATTTTTTGAAAACTTTAAAAAAAATGGTATGGTTGAAAATAGCATCAATAACAGCCCCTAAATACAACCATCAAAATGTGTCAAAATTGGCAGGGTTAAAAGTGGATGTAAACTGAACAAACCCTTTTACTATTTTGGCCGCCGGTTGTTGGGCCGAGCTGCTTCATGGGCCGTGCACACCGGAGAAGGAGATGATGGACTGATGGCTAGTTGGACAAACCTGAGCCGTCCGATGCAGATGGACGGTGGATGGAGTGGGGGGAACCACACGCCGCTGACGTAGCTACATGAAGTCATCAGACTCCAGCCGATCCGCCCACACATGCGCGACGCGCGTCCCACGCAGCCATCACCGGCTCACCGCCGCCGTCGCCTCGTCGCCGCCGGCCCGGCCGCCGCCTCCCCTCGAGCTCGTCGTCTCGAGGAGCGCTCGGGTTCCGGTCGCCTCCTCGTAGGGAGGAGGAGGATCGGAGGAGGAGGGGTTTCACGCCATGGTGCAGCACCAGTATGTCCCGCGCAAGCGGCGGGCCGAGCGCTCGTTGGCGCCGGCGGCGCCGGCGGCGATCTTCAACGTGGAGGCGGAGGAGGGCAGGGCCGGCGATGTCCCCTTGCACAAGCGCGTCAAGGAGGAGCTGCAGCTGCAGCCGCCGCCGCCGTCACTGCAGGTAGATTAGATTGAATTTTTATTTTTATTTTTTTGTTTTTTGGTTCCTCGTCGTGGCTACGTGATTGCGGAATACTTAGCCTGTTCCCTATTCTAAGGAAATGGTGTTATGGATTTCTCCATTGAGAATACTAATATATTTTATCCGGATTAGGAGTGAGATCAGCAGGAACTATTTCGTACGGTCAGCGAAAATTACCACCAGAAATATCTTACAGAAATCACTTATAACGATACCCAAAAAAATAAAACATTGACACGGGTTGTAAATATTTGTGCTCCTTGCTTTAATCTGGATATCCAGGCCAACGTGCTTCTTGATGGAGATTGTCAATCCAATTAATTAGGCACTCAAGGGTAATTGGAGATTAGTGAGGAGGGATATTATATTGGTTAAGCTTTGCGTGAGAGATGCTATTATTACCTTTTTATTTTGTTTCTTTTTCTTTTCAGCTCTGGCAACAAATGGATTTATTTCCGAACAAACAAAAAAAAAACATCCTAATTGAGTTGCTAGCGTTGATTTTAGGAGACAGACTGAAATGGGTAAGCCAAACTTTGGCGCAACATGCATAAAGGTAGAGGATACGAGTCCGCAATTGTGATATTGGATTTGGGATGGATTGTTTTGTAGGGTTTTGTAACGTAAAGTGCGGCTGGTAACCGAACACACCCTTCGTCTATGTGAGTGAATGCTACTACTACATTGAATGCTACTTTATTCATTCCATATCTCGCTAATTTGGATGTTTGCTCTAGACGCTCCAGACAAATTAATCTGGAAATGGAAATGCCATGACATGTCCTATATTTGTTCCATATCTCGCTAATTTGGATGTTTTCTTTAGGCGCTCCAGACAAATTAATCTAGAAATGGAAATGCCATGACATGTCCTTTTATGCTCAGTTTGATGACACGCTGGTAAAAATATATGACTTGACATTTACTGGTAAAAAATCACCGTGATACTTCCTCTTTAGTTTGGTTGGTGCGGGTATAGTTGTATGTTCTTTGCAAGGTGGTCACCAAGAAGGAGAGGAAAGCCTTTGATGCAGGCCTGATTTTGGTTACTTGGCTGATTTGGAAGGAACGAAAGGCTCGCGTGTTCAATGGCCGAGCCTCGTCACCGGCCTGTTTGTGTACGACGATCAAGGATGAATGGGAAACGTGGCTGGCGGCGGGTTTGATCCCTCTTCCTTGAGTCGGCTTGTTTGTAGCTCTGTTCGGAGAGGTCTCTGTGTGTTTGCTCCCCATCTCCTTTGAGCGGCGGTTTTTTCGCCTCACTTAAAGGGATGTGGCCCTATTTGTAACCAATAATGTACATTCTTTGCTCTTACTTAATATATTTCGGCCAGTATTTTCTTTGCCGGCCCAGCGGAAGTGTTTGAAATTTCATTGCTATTTGTTCAGTTATTATGCATGTCCGTTTTTTATACCGTTAATGAGCGATTGTGGCAAAATACTTATTGACCGTGTGTATGGGAATATGTAAATCTTATAGTGCATTGTTAGACATTATTATAAGTTAGGAGTTTTTAAAATATCAAAATCTGAAAAATTATCAGTTGTAAAATGGGGCAACATACAAAATATATCTGAAAAGTTTGGGATTTGATTAATAGCGTTGTATCTATATGTATTTGTACAAATATCCTTTTGCGTGCTAACATAATAATCATATACTATGTGATTAGCTAACACTTCAATTTATCCTCTAAGTACCAACATGATGTTTTGCAGGACATGCACATCCTCGATGGAAGTAGCCCATTAGGGTTGAGATTAAGAAAAAGTCCATCTCTTTTGGAGCTGATTCAAATGAAGCTGGCAATGGAAAATACAAAAAAGGAAGACATAAAATCTAGGTCTCTTATTGCTAGTGAACGAGTGAAAGCTTCCAACTTTGCTGCAGATTTTTTGAAAATTGGCACTTGGGAGGTAAGAGATTTCCTGTTAACTGTGTTAGTACTAATATATATGTTATCATGTAGGAGTAGTAAGTACAACTTAGATGCTCTCTTTCCCAAAATTTTGGTTTAACATTGAAGGAAATATTGCTTATTTGCAGTGCACGTCACAGTATGAAGGTGATTTGGTGGCAAAATGCTACTTTGCTAAGCATAAGCTTGTCTGGGAAGTTCTGGATGCTGGTCTCAAGAGAAAGATAGAAATTCAGTGGTCAGATATTATTGCTTTGAAGGCAACTTGCCCTGAGAATGGAATTGGAACCCTGGATCTTGTGGTAAGTTCCTTAGAATATAGGCTATTTTTGTATTAATGCTTTAATTGTTGCAATACCATAGTTTCTTAGATAAGCTTCTATTCATTTCTGAAGTTGGCCCGACCACCAACTTTCTTCAAAGAGACTGATCCTCAACCAAGAAAACATACACTGTGGCAAGTTGCATCAGATTTCACTGGTGGGCAAGCAAGCATAAAAAGGTAAAATATTAGTTTGTAGTCCATTATATATAGAGCCATGTGCCCATGTTTCATACATTAAGATTGGTTGCATGAAAGTTGTGAGCTATGAGCCTACCGTGGTACTTTTTGCTGAACATGTTTTAGTTTTGCATACATGATTATTCTTGTGATTTTTTATTTAGTGTTACTTTTGCTAGTTGTTCCACTTATATTATTATTTGTTTTTGCTGGGATGACCGAAGGAGGTCATCTAATGTTATTAAGATAGGAAACACTTATTGACCGTATATTAAGATAGGTCAACCATTTATATTATTATTATTATCTACTGACCTCTTTATTTTGACTACTAAAATGAAAATGATTGAAATGCAGGAGGCATATTCTACAGTGTCAATCAAGTTTATTAAGCAAGAACTTTGAAAAGCTTATTCAGTGTGATCAGCGACTAAATTATTTAAGCCTCCAACCATATATGATAGACTCTCCTGTTTTCAGACCTAAAACGGAAGGCTCTATATTCGAAAATCCAAATAAATCAAAGAGCTATCATGGTTTTAGTTACTTGGAAGGTGAACATGAATCCCACTTATCCAAGTATATTGATCATGTATCACCATGTGATTTTCCTTTAATGTCTAAAAAGGATGGAATGAAGGACGATATTGCGAACCAACAACAGTCATTTTCTCGACCAATCAATTGGGGTAAATTATTCTTTCCTCCAAGACATGGATGATATGTTTATATATGACCTACTATATCTATCTAATTATCTAATATTAAATGTTTTCAGGAGCCAGTGATGTAGATTTGCAAGTTGATGTATCTCAAGAACTAAAGAGCCCTCACCCCAACTCATTGAGTCAAGCTAGATCCTTGTCCATAGATGACTTGTTAAGCCATCTAGATGATTGCATAGTTGAGCAAAAGCCTGCAGGGAATAACCCTTCATTGCCCATTAGTGAGGCATCATCCAATGAATTGTTGGAGAAGATTACCCAGCAGCTTTTGAGCGACTCACATGTTGCACCAGCCTCAGATGAGAAACGGGTGATGGCAAGGGTTGGTTCTCTTCTTTCTCTGCTTCAGAAAGACGCAGTGCCAGCCAATTTACCCAAGTTTGAGCCCAATGACAGCGGCAAGATTGGTGTAGTTGAAGTGGGAATCAGCTCAGCACTTGATATGGGAATCGCAAATGGCACAAACCCTCCTGGCATCTCAAGAAAGGATTCCTACGAGGAGCTTTTGTCAAACTTGTTCAACATATCAGAGGATTTCGATGACTGAAGCAGGTTGGCTTTGCGGTTCTCATTCCAAGAATTAGATATATGCTATGCAAAACATGTAAATATGAGTGATAAGTTAGCTCCTTCAAAACAAAAAATATATATATTTTAGCATCTCCTTTGTAAACTTTTAAATGATTCATTAGATTGCGTTGCGTATTCGTTAGTTCATTGCTGAGTAATTTTATTTTGCAACAATGAACTGCCAACTTGTTCACATTCATCATTTCAAAAGGGCATGCATTTATGTGATAGTACTGTTCTCAACTAGCACTTCCTAGCTGCATGTAGGCTTCAACTGAAGGTGATGACGAGTGCATGTATGCTGCTACCTGAAATTACAAGTTTATTATGTTTTTGTTCGGAAATATTGCATGGGTTATCTAGTGTGGGAGTTTGTTGAAACAACATGAATGTTTGGAATACAAGCTATATTTCCTCAGTGTCTCCTATTATAAAAAGTCTGACTATTTTTTTAAAAAAAAATGTGCAAGAGCTAATAAATGTGGAATTAACTATAAAATAAATTGTACAAACTGTTGATATGGTTCTTAAATTGTTATCCTAATTTGAAATCATCTTGTTACTTTTAAACTCTGAACATCAATAACTAACCATAAAGTACACTATTTACTGTAGTTCTCATGACTCATATCTGAAGACATAAGTTTAAGTTGTGATACCCATGAATTAGATTTGAAAGGATTGCATTGGATTCAGAAGCATTACGCTATGTAGCAAAAGAGCTCATGCAAGGAAAAGGAGTCTTGCAAGAGCTCTTATAACATGTAAACACTTGCATTTAAATAGAATACATTACAAGCATCTCGCATACACTTGCAGCCTAGAAACAAATAGGTACAGCAAACAGAACCCCTTCATCTACACACAAGCCATAAAATAAAATAAGATAAATTGAATTTTACACAAGATAAAGACATCTGGGAATACTCTTAAACTGGTATCCGAAGATGTGTAGAACTTGGAACCTTGATAATATTACTTAATCTAAGCCTATAAGGTATCAGGTGGTGGTGCTTCTCCCTCCTCATCAAAGGCTTCATTTTCATCGAGCATGTTCATCAGCATAGATACCTGCTCATGAAGCATGGAATTTTCCTTCTCTATCTCCGTTCGCTTCTTACGCTCATCTGCGAGCTGCTTTTGTAGAAGCTCAAGCACTCGGGAGTCTTCTTCCAACTGTTCATTCAGGCCATTGATCTCACGGTCCTGCCACAGCATTTCCATGAATATAGGAGTCAATGTATGCTTCAGTGAGCAACAAATAGAATCGCATATAATTCAACTTTGGGTTTAACTAGACCAACACACGTCGTAAATTGAGGATAAAGTTAGTTTTTTCAAGCCTTGATCATCGATAAAAAAAAAGGAAAAAAGTATACCAAATGCATCACGATATTGTGCTAGTATGTGGTATTGTGGTACGGTAGCAAACTATTAAAAAGATCATGAACCTTTCTGTTCATTTCTTGGATTGCTATCCTCCTCATGCTCTCCACCACATCAACATTCACAAGCTTGCGTTTCTTGCCAACCAGCCATCCCTTGGGATATGACGCGGGCTCAAAGTCTGGTGGTGGGAGCAACATTTCAGCAGAACTGCGCTTGCCGTTGATTGGTTCCAAAGGCTCAAACAGCGCCTTCCTCTTCTCAGATAAGTTAGCTTTTGGATCTGGATGAACATCGTCGTCAGTACTTACTGCATTTGCATCATCTATTTTCATGGCCTCTTCATGAGCCTGATTGTTCAGTTGTTCATCAGCAGCCTCTTTGTTAAGTTCTTGTTGCAAGCTCCGGCCATTGGCTGGAACATACATATTGTTAGTCAGATTCAAGAGTCAGTGCACTTCTCTAGCTAAAATCTAATGCATACAGGTGAACATTATAACTACATGATTATATGGAAGTTCTTTAATTTCAGAGTGTGTTCTGCTATCATGACAGCCTGATAACTTGTTAGCATACATCAGCTCAAGACCAACGAACGGTCTCTCAATGTATTTATATTGACATATGTAGACCATCCTTGGTGATGAAGCAAAGTATCAAGGTACAAAAACAGCAACTATTTGGAACATGCACAATTAAACAAATTATCTCCTGCAAGTTCTATGCATTGACAAGCCTTACATTTTCAAGAGCAAAAACTGATTGATTTACTTTGGCCTAAGGCCTAAGCTAACTGGTCAACAACACATGTTCAAAAAAAAAAAAAGGTTCAATATTGCCACATGCAACGACACCCTAACCTTATTTAACACTGCTAACTGCTAAGGTCGACAACATGCTATTTAATCTGACACTCTGACCCCGGGAAAAATTATTGCACGTGAGGCCATAATTACTGTATGCGACCAAGCAAGTTCGTCTATGTCTTTGTCAATACCAAAATTATCTAGATGCAGTTGCAACTTAATTGGGAGTTGACCAAAAGAGCAGTGAAATCATAGAGGATACATGAGCAACAAAAGAAGTAGCAGCCAGATGCACCAATAAAAAATCTCATTCCACAAAGCAAGGCAGTACCAAGTTACGGAGAGGAATATGATTTGTTTCTGCAAGCATATTCGCACTAGCACTGGTAAGCTACCTAGCACCGACAGGTGCAGTTTCAGAATCTTGGCGGTAAAGACAAGCAAATTAAGCAGGCCACATCCTCTTAGTTTAGTTATCAAGGCGCCTCTAAGTCTTAATCCTCATGAGCTTGCACCAAATGGACCAGCCAAACCGGTGCGTGATTAACGTGTACGGAATAATAATTATATATCGATTCAGTGAGCTGGCAATAATTTAATCCCCCACGAAACATCTCACTCAGAAATTATTCCATGCTACCAGCTACAGTACGTTTAGCAGCAGGAAATTTCGAGGATACTAACTTGTAAGTAGCCAAGATTACCAGTAATTAGGTGTAAAACCGTAAATCAAAGTGTTGTATGGTTCATACAATTTTTTTAAAACTGAAAGAAAATGCAGAGAAGCTTCGAAAGGGACTGAATTTGAAGCTAGCGAGATTTAATCAACAAGAGATTATGAGAGAAGGAATGGATATCTCATATCTGAGCAGAGCAAGAAGAAGCAGGAGTCGAAATCAGCATGATTTACATTTGAATGAAGCATGTAATTAACAAAGCACCTGAGGCTGATCTCCTCCTCGACTTCCAGAAAATCCGCGGGGGATCAGCCGAGGCCGGCTCCTCCATGGCTTGCTCTTGCTCCTCCTCCTCCTTCACTGCAGCAGAGAGAATCAAATCACACAAAATCAGCTTGGCCTTTGATTTCTCCTCACCTCCATGAGCCTCTTGAGGGGGTGAGGCTCTCGACTGGGGAAACAAGAACCACACCAAAGCAAAAACAAACAGAGAGAAAATCAAAATCAAAATCAAAATCTCACCTCTTCTTCTTCTTCTTGATTGCGAAGCTACCTGGACCCGTTCTATCTGCTTGCAACCTGAGCTCTATCTCTCTCTCTCTCTGTCCCTCTCTCTATCAATCTATGGGTGCGTGCCTTGTGAGTTGCGTTATCTTGTGGTTCTTGGCTGAGGAGGGTTGCTACTTGCTAGGACGGCGAGAAGAGAGAGGAGAGGTGGGTCACCGGGTCGCCTTCGCCTTGGAAGCAACTCCCGTTTGTTTCTTGACCGTCTCGCGTGCCTTCGTCTCCGACCGCCTTTGGCTTTTTACTTTTGAAGGGACGCAGAGAGCGAGGGCAGTGTAGTGTGGGGGAAAGGCTGAAACGGCGTTGGCGCGCACGGGGGGCGTTGGCGTTGGCGTTCGTTGGTTGCGGTCGCGCTTGGATTACCCGCCAACAACCTCCTCTCTCTCTCCGGATCCTCTGTGGCTGCTTCTGTGTTGTTTGTGTCCAATCCTCTTTCGATGAGATACTGGTTCTTCGTCCTAAAATATAACAATGTATTAAATGTGATGTCCATCTTATTTAAAAGAATTTTGTGATTAGTATTTTTATTATTATTAGATGATAAAACATGATTAGTACTTGATGTGTAACTATTTTTTTATAAAAAAAATCATAAATATTTCAAATTAGATAAACGGACAGTCAAATGTTGGACACGGAAACCCACAACTGTACTTAAAATGAGGCGAATATAGTATTACTGTTATGAATCTGAATACTATGTCCAGATTCATATTGTTAGGATACGTCATCCTTTCGTTTATGCTCTTCATTCTAGGAAAAAAAATAAATTTAGAATTGAACTTACTAATACTCCTTTCGTAAAAAAACAAAAAAAAATCAACTTCTAGAGTTTGAATTTTGTCCCACAAAAATTTTACTATCCTATCTACCCTCAGCACGTAAAAGAAGAAGTTTTATACCTTCAATACTCTTTACCTACCTATCACATTTATTATTTTTTTATTGATTAAGGACATCTTAATCACTCTTCATTTTCACTAATTTCACCTCGGGATATTAGGAATGGATTTTTTTTTATACGGAGGGATATTAGGAATGAATTTTTTTTATACGGAGGAAGTACATCTAATACTAAATTCGTTTTTAGTCGGAAGCAGTACTGTACTAATAGGATAAAATTGGAGACAGGCCACCAGCAGCCGTGCAACCCAAAGCTGCTAATCATCATCAATTCCGGTGTACTGGCAGCACAGCGACTGACACCGGCATGCATGGAAGGATGCAGGCTATCAATGCGAGAGCTACCGCATAGCCATGTGAACACTAGCATTGGATTTGTACCAAGCCGCGAGTACGTAGTACTACTACCGTCCTTCTCTCCAACCTTTTCCATCTTGGGGGCCCAACACTCACTGCACTGGGCCATATCTGAGCCCAATACCTCAAATAGTAGTTTTGAGGCTTTGGCTGGCCCAGTTAAAGACATCAGAATTCTCTTCCTCAAAAAATAAAAAAAACAAAAAAAAAACACTAAGTTATGCATTGCCCAGTGCCCACGCTGCTACAATGACTGGCAACCAATAGAGCGGTTTTATCCCCTGCTATGGCAACAAAACAAGGCACACGGACATGTCAAACGATCCATCTCACTATCAAGACCCAGAGATTGCTAATTACATCATCTAAAGCAGTCAGGTAAAGAAAAAGGGACTATCCAACTCCGACTTGAGCCATAATTGACCCAGAAAATTTCTACCAACAGATTATTGTTGAGACCTCAACCTCCCAACCTACATTGTATCCTAAAACGAAAACCTGTAACCTATATCATGGTTCATCCGGTACAAATCGATGCTGCTGCTACTGATCGTTGATCAGTGCAACGTCAGGCCTTGGCAGAATCAAGGCAGCCAATACACTGGGAAGGCTCAGCGAGGCCGTAAATGGCCTCAATGCAGCTGCTATGGAATGCATGGTGGCAGCCCAGGACGGCCGCGACTGGAGGAGCATTGTCGCGAGCATCGTCACCTTGAGGCCTGAATGCTATATCGAGCTTGCACAGCTGGCACCTTGTCCCCAATGGCTCAACTGGTGGCGCCTCATCCTTGTCCGTCAGAGCTGAAATCGCAACGAAGAAAATGTGATTTAAGTCAAATGGTTAAGACGGACAGCAAAAAAGTAATCTTTGCCTTGCACTGAAACTGTGATGAAGAACTTTACCTGGTCCTTTGATGTGGACCTGCGGTTGTGAATTTGCCGATTTAAATTGCTGCAGCAGCTGTTCTTGCTGCTTGATCAACAATGCCTTCACGTTCGCGTAAGCAGGATCTGAGAGAACATTGGATGACGAGCCCTTAGCTTTCCCGATCTCTAGTTTCGGTGAGACCAATGGAGCAGTTGCACCAGCCTGGCCACTGGGCTGTTTCCTAGCAATGAGTAACTTAGCAAGCTTCCTTTGAAGATCATCTTGCAAGTTTTGTCTGGGAGCTGCAATGACCGGAGAAGGCAACTTATTGTGTGCAGCAACTTGCTGTGCTCTGTTGGCAATAGCTTTGGCATTGACTGGAGCAACTGGTTTATTAACAAGGCTTGTTCTGTTGATCATAGCTTTTATATTTAATGGACCAGCTGAGTGGTTGACTTGGTGAGTTCTGTTGGGTATAGCTTCTGCAGTGACTGGAAAAGCCGACAGATTGACTTGGCTTGATCCGCTGGCAATAGCATCAGTAGTGACTGGAGCAACAAGCAGATCAGCTTGGTTTGTTCCATAGGCAATAGCTTCTGTAATGATATCATTGGAATTATTTTTTGTATCAAGCTGCAGCTGCTGTGCAAGTTCAGCTGACTGACAATTGTCATTTGTAGTAGCAGGACCAATTTTTGAGGAAGCAATGACAGAACTCTCTCCGCTTTCAGTCTCCAACTTAACCATAGACAGTGGAGCAGCTAATTTACCGTCCTTATTTCTGATAGTTGGTTTCCTTTTTGGAAGTACATCAGAAGGGCTCTTGCCCGTTTGCAGCTTCTTTGATGGAGATGGGATGACTGCCCCATCCAACTGATCACCTTTGCTCGCGCTTTCTTCATTTCTCTTTTTGCCTGGAATAAAATAATCAAAATTTGGATTACAACATGAATGATAAAAATGAGTTAACAAAGCATCTAGTAAGCACCTCTGTGAACAGTTGGGCTATCTTCAGCAGCTTGAGACGAAGCAACTCTGGAGCGCTTGGCAGAAGGATTGGTTGAAGGAACGCTTGCCCGCTTCAGGTCTTCACTCATAACAATAGGCTGGGTAAGGGGCTTCCAAGCAGATGAAGCCACTTTATGAGGGGTGCGGACACGGGTTACAGATGGTCTTGCAGCAGCAGATTGGGTGTTAAAGCAAGGGTCTGTAGAATCTCTACGCTTGCTTGTACTAGCAGATTCTCCTCCCTTCACATCAGATGAAGCAGCAGCAGCAGCAGTAGGCTTACGGGTCATAGACCGAGTAACAGGGCGGAAAACCTGATGATGAGCAGGTGTGCTGCAAGATGGCTCAGCATGGCCAGCATCGCTACTCACTGAAATGGAAAAGGAAAATAGAAGTCAGAATAAACCATCCAGAATATCCTTTGGATGTAATATCAGCAGACATTAACTTGAAAGAAAGTGGCCATTTTTAATAAAACGGGTAAATCTTCCTCTAAATAAAATAACAAAGATTCTGAGAAATTGGAACTCTGATTTAAAAATACTCCATTCTTAAGACGATATAGCTGATCCTCTAACAAAGGATGACACTCATTGCAGATTAATTCAGTCAACGGCAAAATCCAGTGCGATGCAGAACTCTACACAAGAGAGAAGCAGCACACAAAATAAAGAAATTAACCCATCTAGTAAGTTGTAACATCTCCCGAAAAACAAATGGCCGCGTACAACAAACAACATGTTCAGACCAAATTGTTGGCCACTCATGAAAGTGTAGCAGAGATATTTATCAGTGGAAGCAAAGGCATTGTAGCAATGAAATCTGACTAATGATTTGATGGTTGGAACAAAAAAAGTTCCCAGTATTCTGGCATCTAAATTATGCACATATAATGCACCAACAGAACATATTACAACTTTACAAGGCAGGGTTACAATGTTACAAGCAGAGCTGAATTCAACCACAACATTAGGGAGGTTTACACCTAATATACAAGAGATACATGCACAATTCTATATCAGGCAAAAAAAAACTGGGGAAAAAGAGGAGCACATCAACATATAGCTTCCACATAGCACGTGCACACTTACATTTCAACCTAAACAGGACCGAACCTTCAAGGGAAAAAGAGCAGTTTGATTGCCACCAATTAACAGTTCATACAGCCAATTCTCAAGGAACAGATTACATTTCTTTGGAAAGGAAACCCAGCAGCATGATATTTTTTCTTTTAGTGAAACAGACCATCAAAAGAAAGGCATTTGATTATGTAGCTCCCCAATCCAACACAAATAAAGAAACACCTGCCCATCTTTACAAGATTCCATAGCATAACAATCAAAACAACAGCAGTTACTTCTGAATTATCCCTACATAGCGGCCGCTGTGGAGCCGCGTGCCGAATTCCCAAAGCCAAAAAAGAAAAAAAAATTCTGGCCCGGCTGCGTCTTTCCTGATGACATTTCTCTACTCCCAGTACTAAAACCACTCGATTAACGCGACATCAGGATCCGATCATGGATGATTCGAGCAATCCGTACTCAAGTCGCAACTAAACCGTGGGGCACATCTACGCGAAATCCCCCCCGAACCAAGAACCGGAATCTCCCGAACCAAAGCCATCAACACAACCCAACAATGCATCGGAATTACCACCAGCCCGCGGCCGCAACGAATCCACGCGAACCAAACATCCTAACAAAAAAAAAACACGAAGAACCCCCACGCGGAGGAGGATTGGGCGGGGGGGTTCTCACCATTCTCCGCGGCGGCGGCGGCGGGGGGAGGGGGATTCGGGGCCCTGGAGGCGCGCGGCATTGGATTGGGCGAATCGGGGGCGGCGCAATCGCAGGGAGCACGAGGAGAAAGCCCTAATTTATTTTTTTTTTCTCCTCCTCCTCCTCGTCGTTTTTTTTTTTTCTTTTCGGGGAGGAGGAGAGGGGGGAGGCTTTCCGTGTCGATGGAGAAGGGAGAGAGGAGGGGGTTAGAGGAGAGGAAGAGAGAAGGGAAGAGAAGAGAAGAGGTGGCGGGTTATATAGGCTTCGGGCGTGAGGCGTACGAGATGGGCCCACACTTCAGGCGGAGGCGGCGGCGGCGGCGTGGCTATCTGTGTGAAGAGACGACTCGACTCCTCTCACTCCTCTCGGCTCGGTGGGTTTGTGCAAGTGCTCCTTAGAGATGGAGCCCGGATGTTTTTTTTTGTTTTGTTTTTAAGACAATAGCCCGGATGGTTTTTGAAGTGTGTTTTGGATGAAACAAACTCAAGGAGGGATTTCGGCCTCATTTTCTTCGCTTATATTTTATACTTAAGAAGATATAATTTGAATTTTCAATTTTAAATTTGAAGTTGATTTTGAGACTTTTCATCGAAGTTTATTTTCAGCATTTACTTTTAGATCGCTAAGAACATATATAGAAAAGTTTTATTCACAAATTACTTCTTTATTTACAAATATGTCGTTTGCCTTATTCCACGAATAAGCTAAACCATGAGGCCGTTTTATCTTCTGCACTGCATTGTCACTGTGTGTTGTATTTTGGTGAGATCAAATATTATTATTAGTTGTTTTACATTCACATATGTAATTATGTGATGTCACTCCGGTTGAAATTCTACGTCTTGTTACATTTTAATAAGATAGATTATTATTTTTATTATGAGATAATTCAAGAAATGCTATTGACAAACACCAAAATTTAAGAGATGCTATCAACGAGTGCAAGTTCTACAAAATGTCATTGTACAGTCAATTTTATCCCATAAACGCCATCATCATTGGGGTGCCGTTCATCTCGCACCATTAAATGAATTGTTCATCTTATAGCACTTAATGAGGGCTACTAATGGAACCCTAATGGTGATGTTTTTTGGGACAAAATCACTTGTATAATGATATTTTATGGAACTCATAATTGTTGATAACATTTCTTGTAATTGAATGTTTGTTGATGACATTTTTTGGATTTTCTCTTTTATTATAGAAGATGCAATTAAAGTTCTACAACAATTACAAGTAGTACAACATATACCAATGGTGTTTAAAGATATATGCAACAATAAATGTTCTAGTTGAAGTGAAGGTCCACTTTCTTAAAAAGAAACTTCTATTAAGCAATAGAAGTTTGTTTTTGAATAAGTGTTTAAAGGTATCCCAAACATCTAATTAATTAAAGAAGTGTTTTCAATAGATGTTTGGGATACCAAATTTAATATTGGGTAGAGATATCATAGGTAACATGATAGATTTGGTTTTGCTTTTATTTGTTGTAGGATGGACTAGGTCTATTTTACAAGGCATGCAAAACGGCAATAAATTATAGGCTCATATTTAGCTGCGAGGCCTATAAAACACCTTGAGCAACGAGCCATTTTGATCCTAAGAGTAAACTGCATTCTGCATCTGATATTAAGGCTGTCTTTGGTTATTTATCATTTATTACAACTTTGTTTTTCGCAATGGCAAGGATTGGTCATTGCCTAAAATTTTGGTAAAGATTAGCAAGGCTTTTGTTTGGTCTCCTATTAAAGCATGCAATGGGCTAAGGCAAAATAGGGCAAATAATTTAACAATGCCATTTAATTGATTCCGACTCCCAAACCTGATGAGTAACTAAATTTTTTGTTTGCCAATTATGAGCATGTTAAGATTGGGTTACAAATCAAACATATCCTAAGCCTACCAATATACTTAGAAAATTTCCTATATAGCCTTAAAATTTTAACCTATCCCTTTGATGCATCTTGAGTTTTGTTCATTTTCTTATCTACATTCCAAAATTAGTTTAGACTTCCATACCATTTTCATTAGTTCACTATTACCTCTGTCCCAAAATAAGTGCAGTCGTGGAAATCCGTGTCCAACGTTTGACCATCCGTCTTATTTGAAAAATTTATGATTTTTTTTTAAAAAAAACTAGTCACACATAAAGTACTATTCATGTTTTATCATCTAATAACAATAAAAATAGTAATCATAAATTTTTTTCAAATAAGACAAATTGTTAAATGTTGGAGATGAATAGTGCAAAACTGCACTTATTTTGGGACGGAGGGAGTATTAACTGACCTAAAATTTTTAAGAGAAGTTCATTATGTCCTTTGGTACGAAGAGACATATAATTATAATTTTTTTATGGAGTGCGTTGTTGGAGTATCAAAATTTGTTGTATGGGACTATTATATTATATTTATGAGCTTGTGTATGCGAGATATTATTTATGACACAAAATAGAGGTGGCATAAAAATAATATTTATTTTTCAATTACTAAAATTTGTATATTTCGTATTTTGTACAGCAGCATAACTTTTTATATGGAGTATTTTTTTCAATAGTCATAGAGGCAGGGTGTGCGAGTGGTGCATTCATAGGGGTGAGTGTGCACGCGTTGCGAGTGCATGCGTTGTACTGTGTTTCTAAAAAAAATCATTACAAAAACTCTATATTTAACTATTTTCGAGGGACAAAAATGTAAAACGTAAAATCAGGGTCACAGGCGGAAAGCCAGTGAACTGTTCCGGGCCGGTTCAGGCCTGCACTGGGATGAGATCCGGTCTGCTTGCACGCGCAGCCCACCAAAGGCCCATCAAGATCACCAAAAGGCCCAAACATGACTCCGGACTCCGGAGTCCGTAGGCCCCAACAGGCCGCAAAAGACCAATCCCAGAAGCGGCCCACCGAAAACGTGGCGAGTGGAGAACCCAGATCGCCGCCGCGGCCGGCCACGGGCGCGAAACCGATCAGCCATGGCATCTTCCTCCGGCGAATCGCCGGGTTTTCAGGAGGCCTCGCCGCGCCGCGCATCCTCCTCGTCGGACGCGATGCCTTCTCCGACAACCACTAGGTGAGTCGCCGCTGTTTTTTCCCCTTAATCTCAGGAGGGAGTTGGGGTTTTGGTAGTGCGTGCGGGTTGCGGCGGCGGGGATCGCGAGAGGGTGGGGGGGGGGGGTCGGCGATTGATTTAGGGTTCTTAGGCTATCAGCGCTACTGCCTACTGCACCCGTCAAGTATGATTCCCGTATAACCGTATTAGTTACGCACGTGACATCATTTCAATCTAGTATGAACTACCTGTACTAGTACCCATCAAGCAAAAGAGTACCAAGAGTTAGCTTTTTCGCTGGCTATAACTAATTCATAATAGAGATTGTGGTAACTTTTATGGCAGTTCTTCCAGGCTATCTGTGGGCTTCATCAGGACTACTGTAAAATGGTCCAGCGAAATTTCGCTTTATGTCAGGTTATCAGGGCTTCTTTGAGACTGTAATTTGGTCATGAGAAATTCGCTTTATGTCAGGTTGGATGCTGCAAATTATCGACCAGGACATTCATTGTCCCTATCTGTTGCTTGTTGTCTGCTTAGCCGTGATTTTTTAGGTTGTCAATGATGATAACTGGAGTATCACTGAAGGATGATGGTAAAGATCGTTGGAGTGTCATGTACAGGCCCTTGCAGACATTTCGGTAAGGTCCTCCTGTTGCTGAAAAGAAACTGTCTGCTCATGTTATTATCTCCCTAGTACTTCGTATCTGTTGGAAACTTAGACTAGGGAAGACCTGCATACTTATAAATAAAACTAATAATTCTGCATTGGTTTGTTGGAATAGAAAAAGCTGCAGTGCTCCATTCCATTATTGCCTTTCAGCCTGTTCATAATATCCCACAACAACGATCATTAATGTTGATGATACCATAGGTGCTCAAATTGACTAACAAAGTCTTCCTTTTCTAGAAAGGGAAGAACTCCTAGAATATAAAAAAAGGGCATGTTTACCTGTATGTTGAATCAAGTTGTATTTTTCTACCACAGAATACGAGCACTCTTAAGATTCAGTTAACTATGCCCTGGTTTCAGACTGTCAGTTGAGTTCTTCAAGAAAATTCCTCAAAGTAACATCCAATAAATTTACCGAAAAAAAACAAGGTAATTGCTATCGGTCCATAACTAAGGTAGTTTTGGATTTAAGCTTCAATAGCCACCTCACATGATCTTTCGATCTCTGATGGAAAATATGAGAGCACATCAGGACATTTTGCTATCATATTTGATGTATGAAATAAAGCTTACTCTGACGTATCCATACGACTGTTCATTTACCAGTCTTGCGCGAGCATCACATCCCTTGACAATTGAAGCACTCGCGATCTCTACTTTTTGTTACTTATTTGCCCCCTTTCTGAAGAAACAAGATGGGCGAAATGGTTTACGAGATGACTAAACCTTCCTGCAACGATTACCTCTCTTCTGCAGACAGTGAGCAGGTAGGCAGGTTAATCTATTCTCTCCTGACTTTTACAGTACTTGCCATTTCCGGTCCATTTCCAAAGATATAGCCGCAGTTACATACTCTGTCTGGACACATTGAAGTCTAGCAGATATGCTTATCATCTCCTGTTATTTATGGCCCTGGATTGTACTGCATCAATTATTAGGCTAGGCTATACATCAGCACACGTTCGTGCTTTCTTTTGTAGGGTTTGCAATAGTACTACTGTTTGACATTAATTTATGTTTCTTAGTAGTATATAGCATGCAATGAAGAACAAGCTGTACAAATTGATTCATTTGACTAATTTCATATGTAAAATTTTGCAGGATTTTGACATGAAACAAATCAAGTTTCGAGGGGAATATGGAAATGTCTAAGCCATCCAGATGGGACTCATAGGTATAACGACCTTTCCCCTGTCACATTATATAACAGATTTAAATAGTGTTCTTTTCATCCACAGAACTACTGATGTGCTGCATAACTAGTCCTTCATATTTTAGTTGGTTGATAGTAGTACTAGTTATCCTCTCCATGTGTTCTAGGAGTATCTGTATATGATGATTTACCATTATAGCCTAGATTTGCTTATTAATACTGTAATTCTGTGAAACGTCAGTACAAAGTACTGCCACACTTTTGGTTAATTGGCCCTAGTTAAATGGAGTATATCCTTTTGGTTCTGCTCCCAGTTACCCAGTATGCCATAAATGTACCGTATCTCCATTTCATCTCCAGGCTAAGCAGTGCGTAAATTCAAACTAACAGAGAACCCTCATTTAAACCATGGTCTCCCTGATTCTTTATATATCATATCTGATTCTGGTGTAAAGAGCTTGATCAATTAGTGATTCTCAGTGTAGCATTTGGCAGGATTTGTTTGTCAAATCTGTGCATCCAAAGTCTTCTTTCCTAATTTACGAGCATGATCCATGATCCATCCTCCTGATGAAAGAGGCTGTCTCTAAATCTCCCGTGATTGAATGTTGATGGTAGCATGCAATTGGTGCTGGGCAAATGTGCCAGTTCTCATGCTGACTTATATTATACGTCATCACACAGCACCAGGTGATGTATGAGTCATCTGTTTCTGCCGCGTTACCTTTATATTCTGAAATGCCCTGCTGCTTTTGATATACAACCAGGTGCTCCACTTCTGGCAGCCTCCTGCTATACTCAGCTTTTATTAGACGGCAATGCGAATTGCATTCTACCTGGAATTTCATCCAATCAAAATGGACCTGCAACTGTAACTCTGCAAGGAGTCAGCTAGAGATGGGGATTCTGTAGCCTGTAGGACCTTACTAGTACTGAATTTCATACACATAATAATGAGTTTTCTACCTTATTCGGGAATAAATACATAAGATTTACGTATCTTTGCATTAAGAAGGATGAAATGTTTACAACAAGACGCAAAAGTATAATCTCATTTTGAATTTTAAACCTCTACTACCAGAAGGTACGTACCTTGTTCTTCTTCCATACATGTACTGTATATTACCTAACGAACTCACCAAGCAGACTAACCAAAAATAAATACTAGCTGACCAAATTAGAGCTATGCAGTAGATCAGTTGGTGAATGTGGAGCTATCTAAGGGCTACGGATATTGCCAAACCGTTCTTTCCAGGACGGTCACTGTATTCACCTATACAAGAGTAGTACACTACAACTCAGCAGCAGGACTTTCCTACTACACTTTCAACCTGATTTTACTTTTGAAGTTGCTTCCATTGATCTGCATCTGATTCTGCATTGGTTTCCTTGATGCGATGTGTTATTTTTCTTTTGTGATCCAGGCAGTTGTGCACCTATTTACGGACCACGAGCACCATCTGTGGGCCGGTTGCTGAGCAACTTTTCATGATTTCATCGACACACCTTGCTCTTTCTAGCTGGCCTGAGCTGAGCTGAGCTGAACTGCCCGCTTCCAATTACAACTCATTCACTCACTCACTCACTCACTGTGCGTGCTCAAGGTACGATCTATCTATCTATCTATCTCTCCCTTTCTCCCGGTTCATGGTTCAATTTCCCTTTGGCTTTTTACGTACCTAGGACAAGATTGGTGCAGGAGTTTTGAGTGTTGTTGCTTGCTTGCTTGCTGGTTACTGTGGTTAGCTACTAGCAGTACTGCAGATTAAACTCAAATGTCCTGAGAGGTTGAGATCTTAGCGTAGTCATGTAGGTTGGTTGTGACGTTGCAACAGCTTTGCAAAAGTATTTTACTTGCCATGTTCGCAAGCAAACCGTGGTTACGGATGCTAGTGCAGATTTGGCGTTTATGTTAAAACCTAAAGCTGAAGCTTTTTTCGTAGATGCATATACATGTAAAATCATGTAAGATCGCTAGGCATGGACAGCATGGTACGGTGATGTGTGACTGCACATGCAAGTTATCTGACTCATCAAACTGTCTAACGTATAGGTGGTTGGGCAGGGATGTTTTTCCATTCAATGAAATGTCTTCCTTTTCATTGATAGATTTTGATATTCTATCCAACAACAATATGTTCTTGGTGTGCGTACATTATATCCAACTACACCTAAAAAAACAATAAATTGTGGAGTATATGTAAATACGATAAATTAGGAATATCTTTACATACATCTTCCCTGTAACTGCAATGAGAAGAATGGCATGTCTACAAAATGCAAGGTGTAAAAAAAAAACAAAATGTAGATAGAGGCAAGAATGGAAAGAAAAGCTCAAAAGGTGTAGGAAGAAAGTGCCGGTCACCAGGACAGTTTTCTCCCTAACAGCACCACAACGGTACAATTTCCAGTAGGTGGGCTTGCTAGTGCTCATACCTCTCGATCGTCTTACCATGAGCACCCGTGCTGTCCCGTTTCTTATAAACGGCTTTTAATTGCTCTCATCACTAGCTAATCCCCACATCCGCTGCTTATCATAATAAATCACTAACACACACCAACTTTTTAATTCAAGTTTAATTCGAACTAAATAATGGAGTATTACTACTCCCTCCGGTTCCATATTAATTGACGTTTTGGACAAGGTTGAGGTCAAGCTTTTATAACTTTGACCATCAATAACTTTAAAAATATTTAGTTTAAAGGAACTAGAACAATATATATAGATTTATCTTTTAAAGCACTATAATAAAAGTAAACATGTATTTATTTATTATATATATTATAATAGAAAAATAAGGTCAAAGATATATCTTGTAGACCGTGTCATTGTCCAAAATGTCAATTAAAATAAAACCGGAGGGAGTACCACACACCAACTAATTAATTCAAGTTTAATTCGAACTCAATATTTTTTTATTCGCGGTGACGACAAACTCGATACTCTCTCGGTCGTCTCAATATGTAGTACTCCCTATGTTTTGGACAAGGTTGAGGTCAAAGTTTTATAACTTTGACCATCACTAACTTTAAAAATATTTAGTTTAAAGAAACTAGAACAACATATATAAATTTGTCTTTCAAAACACTATAATTAAAGTAAACGTGCATTTATTTATTGTATATATTATAATAGAAAAATAAGGTCAAAGGTATATTTTTGTAAACCGTGTCATTGTCCAAAGCGTCAATTAAAATGAAACTAGAGAAAGCACTAATCTAGAACTAGATTTAATACATCTTATGATTACAAATGTAATTAACTTAATGCACGCAGCAAAAGGGAAAAAAAAGAAAAGACAGTTTCAAAAAAAAACACTGTATTATGGTCCTCGTGATCGTCAGGTAAGCCATAAAAAGGTGAAATTTAGCTAGGTGGAAAGTGAAAGAAAAATGTACTAGTACTACAACAGCTTTGATTTACGCTCACTCTTTTTTTCTAAAAAAAAACAGTACCTTTTATATTAACCTGTCCCCTCACCTGCGTGGGCAAAGAAAAACATTAACCTGTCCCCTCACCTCACCTACGCGCCCAAAAAAAGCGTCCTCCTCGCCGTTGGCTTTCTCGGGCGAGCCGCGTCTCCCTCGTCTCCCTCCCCCCGCACGCCCGCACCCAATTTTCCTCCCCCCAATCTCTCTCTCTCTCGCTCGTCCGCTCGAATCCTCCACCGATCGGATCCCCCGCGGCTCGTCGGCGGCGATCCTCCGGCGGCGCCGCGCCCAGGCGTCAGGTCAGGATCGGATCGCTTCTTGCCTGTATCTCGCGTCGGTTTCTTTTCTTTTTATTTATCTTTTTTTTTCTTTTGCGTTTCTCCTGTCGATGGGTCGCGCGTGGAATCGTTCTAGGAGCCTTTTTTTTTTGTGTTCGATCGCTTGTCGGGCACCAAAAAAGCGTCGGATTTCTCCACGTCTTCTCTCCCCCCAATTTCTGGGTTGAATCGCCATTGGGGCACGTCGCGCCGCTGGGTGGGTTGCTGCTGCTTGCCCTTGGAATCTTCCCTTCGCTTCGCTTCCGGCCGTCGCCGAATTTTGGCCCGGGTCGTACGGCGTCGCCACCGCCTTTTCCTTTCCCCCACCTCTGCGCCATTTTTGTTTCCTTGCGTTCTAATCGTACTACAGTACTAGTAGCAGCAGCAGCAGTAGCGTACAAAATTTCCTCTATTTTTTTTAATTTTTCCTCTGCCAATCTCGCGCATTTTGCCCCCAGCAGCAACGAGGCCCCGCCATTTGCCGGCTAGCCGTTGGGATCGCTGCAACGGCCACATTTTATTTTTATTTTTTACCGCGGTTTTTTTACCCGCTCCTCCGATCCCCATTTGCATTAGTTTATCATCATCATCAGCAGCAGCAGTGTCCTTCTCCTGCTGCTGCTGCTGCTGCTGCTTAACCAAACAGTAGCAGGAGCGTACTTTAATAATGAGTAGTAGTAGTAGTGCTGCTGCTACTAATCATCGTAATTAATCCAGTGGTTAACCTTCGTCTCCGGGCACATTTAATCCTCTCTTCTGTGGTAGGAGGCAGCTTTGGCTTGGCTTGGCTTCGCCATTACTGGGCGTGGAGTTCTCGTGAGGTGGAGACCCAAGCCTCACCCGAAAGAGACGCTCCAATTCCTAGGCGTAAATATTACTGCCAGCCTCGCTGCAGCAGCAGCCCGAAAAAAGAATTCCCCAATTCCGCCTCCTCCTCCTCCTCCACTCCACATTTGTTTTTCTTTTAATTTTTTTCTTTCTGGCTCTGTCTGTCGCTTTCTCCTTCGCCAACCGACTCAATCCCTTCGATCTGGTTCGTGCTCTGCGGCGACTCTGAGCTCGGGGATTTGATTTGTGTTTTTTTGTTGGATGATTTGTGGGCTGACGATTTTGTTTGCATTGGCAGATTGGGGGTGTTCTTGGGCGGGGGGTGTGGATTGGTGGTGGAGCTGTCAATGCGGGTGGATTTGAGACCGGGTGGATTGGTGGCAGCTGCGGATGGACGCCTGTGGAATTCGGGCGCCAGGGGATGTGCTGCTGCGGAAATCTGAGCTCTCGTCGGCGGCAGCGGCGGCCAAGAATTACGGCAATGGCCACGACGACGCCGCGGTGAGGCGCAAGGCGGCGGCGGGGTCGCCGGCGACGCCGAGGAGGCACCCGTCGCCGAATGCCGGTCGGTCGTCGGCGGCGGCGGCGGAGGCCGCGGGGTCGCAGGCGAGGAGGTCCCAGTCCACCGAGCGGAGGCCGGCGACCCCGTCGAGGCTGTCACCTGGCGGCTCCAGGGCGGCCGCCCCGTCGTCCAGGATCTCCGCCCCAACCTCGCCGTCGTCCGCGCCTTCCAGCCCGTCGTCGTCGTCCTCCAGCTCGTCCACGCCCGTGCGCGACGCCGTCGCCGCCGAGTCGCAGAGCGCTCCGAGGAGGCTGGCCGGCGGCCGGGCTCCTCCTGATGGGCTGTGGCCGTCAATGCGGAGCCTGTCTTCCTCCTTGCAGCTCGAGGCGAAGGGGAAACGCAGCAATGGCGGCTCTGCGGATCAGGCCAAGGCGAGGGATGCGGGTGACAGGAAGAGGAGCCCGTCGAGGGGGAGGAGCGCCGCTGAGCAGCAGCCGGAGAATCCGCACGCCAAGGTGATTGACCACCATCGCTGGCCTGCTATGATGGGGGGCAGGGTGTCCGTGAGCGCAATGTCGAGGAGCGTGGATCTCACTGACAAGATTTCCAGGCCAGCACTATCATCGATTCCATCTCGCGGCGTCTCACCGAAGAAAGCAACGATGGCATCTACTACAAATGCATTGGCAAGAAGTATTGATCTTGCTGACAAGATTGATCGCCTGGTCTCTTTGTCGGTTTCATCACCAAGAACACCAACTGCTTCAAATGGCGCAGCTGATGAATCGAAAAGCATGAGTGTTAGTAAAGGTACCAAACCTGCAGCCGTGGCAATTCCATCACGAGTTTCTGCAATAATAACAGCTACATCAGGTGGTATAAGGGCCCTGTCTAAGAGTATGGATCTTACTGAAAAAGATATCGGTACCCTCTCCTCGGCAGCATCATCTCCTGGGATTTCACCAAGTGTGTCAGTATCAAGTATGTCTAATGCTACATCACAAACTACAGCAAAGTCAACACGAGGACTTTCACCTAGAAGAACATCAACATCTATTGGCAGTGGTGCTTTATCAAGAAACATCGATTTGCCAGAAAATGATAAGAGACCGGCCTCCTCATCAGCTTCACTGAGGGGAAATTCGCCAAGAAGGCGACTTGCCTCTGACAGTGTTAATGCTGTTGTGAAAAACATAGATTTTGCTGAGAAGGATAGCAGAGCAGCCATTTCATCGACTTCATCTCGAGGGTTTTCCCCAAGAAGACGACTTGCCTCTGATGGCCTTGATGCAATATCAAGAAGCACAGATTTTTCTGACAAAGATAGCAGACCATCCACATCCTCATCATCTGCACAACGTGGGATTTCTCCACTAAGAAGGCTTACCATATCAAAGGGCACGGACTTTACTGATAAATCTTACAGGCCATCGACCTCTTCAGCTGCATCACGAGGTGTTTCACCAAGGACTCGATTAGCATCTGACAGTGCTGGTAATATATTAAAGAGCATGGATTTGGCTGATAGAGACAATAAACCATCAACCTCGTCTGCCTCATTACGTGGTATGTCACCAAGAAGGCGGCTTGCATCTGATGGCATTTCAAAAAACATCACCTTCACTGAAAAGGACGACAGAACTATGCCCTCTTCAGTTGCATCTCAAGAGATCTCAACAATAAGACGTCTTCCATCTGACGGTGCTGACAGTATATCAAAGAATATAGACCTTCCTGAAAAAGTTACCCGACCTGCTACCTCCTCTGCTGCGTCACGGGGCCTTTCACCAAGAAGACGACTTGCCTCTGATGGTGTCAATGCTATATCAAAGAGCATCGATCTTGCTGACAAAGATACCGGACCTGCCAGGTCAACAGCTGCATTGCGAGGGGTTTCTCCACGTAGACAACTCGCCTCTGATCGTGTAGATTCTATATCAAAGAACACAGATTTTACTGAAAAAGATAAAGACACCAGACCTTCCACGTCGTCAGGAGCATCACGGGGGATTTCACCAAGACGACGACTTGCCTCTGATGGTGTAGATGATCTATCAAAAGGCATAAATTTTAGCCAAAAAAGTATCAGACCTTCCACCTCTTCAATGGCATCACGAGGGACTTCACCAAGAAGACGGCTTGCCTCGGACGGTGTTAATGCTTTACTGAAGAGCACAGATTTTACTGATAAGGACCACAGACCATCTACCTCATCAGCTGCACTACGGGGGATGTCACCCAGAAACAGGGTTACCTCCAAGTCCATCGATGCCAAAAGCCTGGATTTTTCAGACAAAGATAGCAGACCATTCACCCCATCAGGTGCATCGCAGGGAACTCTACAGGAAGTTGCCCTTGCTTCCGATGGCATTAATGCTCTGTCAGAAGCTGTGGATACTGCTGTCATAGGTAGTTTACAGTCCACGTCATCAGTTGAATCTGGTGAGACTTCAGATGCTAGACTTAATAATGGCTCCGGTACTGTTGTAAACAGGATCGATTTTGCTCAGGAAGTTAATATAGCAACCCCAGATGGTTGTAATGGTCATATTTCAGAAAGCATGGATTCTCATGACATAGGCACGTCTGCACCCTCAATGTCAATTACGTCACAAGAGCAATCACCAAGCAGAACTGTTTCTAATGGCCCTAAGACTCTCTCAGAGGATATCAATGCCACTAAAAAAAATAACAGAGCAATGACAGTGAAGATTCCATCTCGAGGTGCTAGTCCAAGAAGGCGACTTGCATCTGAAGGCTTTGGTACTATATACAAAAGCATGGATTTTTCTGAGAAAGATAGGACATCCATAAACATGGCAACACCATCACGTGGAATGTCACCTAGAAGAACAGCAAGATCTGGTATTGTTGATATGTCAAAGAGTATGGATTTTTCTGAGAAATGCAATGGACCAATTTCCTCAATAGCTCCATCACATGTGGTTTCTGCAAGAAGAATACTGGGACCAGATGGTGCTAATGCCATGTCAAGAAGCATGGATCTGACTGATAAAATCAGACAACCAATCTCTTCAACTGTCCGGAAAATGTCTCTTGCTGATAGCAGAGCAAAAGCCCCTGACCTTTTGTCAGGTGACATCGAGAGTCCAGGTTCTGCCAATGGAAATGAAAGCCAAGAGGAGAATGCTGGTTCAAGCCTAGATGCACCTTCAAATGATTCAGAAAAATCTGCACCTCCGAAACGATTGGCCAGAACATTATCTTCACCATCACCAACAAAGGCTTCATCAATATCATCTTTTACCCCTAGGAGGATGCCGAGCCCATCGAGGAATAGACCTTCAACACCTGTCTCACCATGTAGTTCTACCAGATCTGATTCTGCCTCTTCGATTCTTAGCTACATGGGCGATGTAACAAGAGGAAAGAGAAGCCCAAGTCACATGGAAGACGCCCATCAACTGCGCCTCCTATATAACAGGAGCTTGCAATGGCGCTTTACAAATGCTTACGTAGATGAAATGCAATCAGTTCAGAAGATGAGTGCTGAGGTAGATTTTGTTGCATCACATCTTGCCATTTCACTTGTGGTAGTATCAAAATTCATTTACCAGTAATCATATATTTTTATTTTGCCATGCCGTGCTAGTAGGTCAGAGAAAGCACCGTACTATTGCTTTGCCTAAATCTAAGCTCCCTTTTGTTCTGTGCTATTCTCATTTTTAAATGTGTTGAAGCGAATATAAGTCGAGTGTGATTCTTACTTGATTTATTCATTCGAACCAGACTATGCTCTACAGCGTATGGGATGCTAACTCCAGCCTGTGCGATTCTATGGTTATGAAAAGGAGTTATGTTCAAAGGCTGCGACAGGAGGTCAAGCTAGGAGTTGTGTTGAAAGAGCAAGTAAGATTTGTTGAGATCTATGATATATGTTATTCCATTATCATATTGGCAGAATCAGATATCTTTTATTTTGCTGATCATTGGAGGGCAGTTATTTTATTTCGTTACTTAGTCTAATACACGCAGTCTGATTTTTAAAGGGTCATAGAATATCTTACAAAGTGGCATTCTGTTTAAAACACCAGTTAACTTCTCGCATCCAAAGAAATGTGTTCTAGCTAAATGTAGCAGCAGATCAAGTAATCCTGTCCTGACAAAATTATATCAAAAGACCAATCCTGAACTTTTTTTCTGATCATGCTTGGTTGGTTGAGATGTGGAAATATAATGATTATGCAGACAAATGGGACATTATATATATCCCCATTCCAAACCATGTCAATTCCTGTACTAGTTTTTTTGTTGAGCAAACCCCAAAGTTTGAATACGGGAGATGCAATAGTGCCCACTATTCTTTCACACAAGCTAAAACTAATAATATTTAATGTTGCATGCCTCCTTAATTTTGACCTCACTATTCTATGTTATGTTACCATGATGCAGATGGACTACCTTACTCACTGGGCAGCATTGGAAACAGAACATTCTACTTCTTTATCTAGTGCAATTGAAGCTCTTAGAGCAAGCACACTACGGCTTCCAGTTACAGGAGGAGCAAAGGTATCATGATACCCTATTAACATTAGTAAACTTAACACCTACTACCTCCGTTTCAGGTTATAAGACTTTCTAGCATTGCCCACATTCATATAGATGTTAATGAATCTAGGCACACATATATGTCTAGATTCATTAACATATATATGAATGTGGGCAATGCTAGAAAGCCTTATAATATGAAACGGAGGAAGTAAATATCATGATTCCTGTGGTCTTATGGGGAAATATAACTTAGATTCATGCTAAACAAGTCTTCTTTTCTATGTTTATTTTTGCTGTTTTGTCTGTGAAATATGAAGTGATGCTTATGATGTACCTTTTGCAGGCTGACGTTTTTACCGTTAAGAATGCTGTCAGTTCAGCAGTTGACATTATGCAAGCAATGGGCTCATCCGTCTGCTACTTGTTATCAAAGGTAGAACTAAAAGACCCACATTTGGTGAAATTGGTGTGTTTTAGCATATGCAAAATGAGTTGTTTGTTTTGTTTTGATGATGGCTCCCCAGTGACCACTATAACTTTATGACCGCATAGGCACATAGGCTAATAAAATGATAGTACTGTTCTTTTTGTAAATATCCTAGGTAAAGTGGCATTGCTTGATCAGGTAGCCATTCCATCATACGTTGCAAATTTGCGATAGACGCTGTGGAAGTTATGATGATTTGAGTTTTGATAGCGTAGTTTGTGGTGTAACGAGGCCTCATGATAATACCTGTAAGAGGGTAGATGACATTATGATAGTCTTTTAGCTAATCCAGTCCAGATCTGATAAATCACAGTAAACTATGGAGTAAATTGTACTATGCTGAATTGCCACAAATTATCGACCTCATTCTGGTTACAGTCTTTGCTATGTAATTTAATTTATTAGTGTCAGTGCCATGTGTTAATTAATCATTTCCAATAAAACAGTACTCTCTGGTTATGTTCTGGACTTCTAGTCTATCTAATCATTGGCTTATGTTCTGCAGTTACAGGCCACACACTCTCTGGTTACAGAACTTTCAGCCGTTGCTGCCAATGAAAGCTCCATGCTCAATGAGTATAGAGAACTCTTAGGTACCGCGGCAGCCCTACAGGTACGCCTTGGTTTTCTTGTCCATATCATTATCTTTCTCTGTTTCTGCAAGGTCTTAAGGATTTCTAGAAATCTAGGACAAAAAATGGACTTGTTCCTAATGTAACAAATAGATGCATATTCATATAGAATTATAGGCTGCTTCAAGTTGTGGATGTACCTGATACCAAAAGAAGGATGTTTTTTCTGTTCAGTTTAACTTAAACCCTACCTTTTCTCTGAACAGGTCCTAGAGTCCAGCCTAAGGACACAACTCATACAAGAAACTGAGTGAACAGCTTAATGCATGTATGTCTAACTAAGAAGAATAGAATGTAGAGGTAACACCATTCATTAGTTTCAGTAGCTGACTGTGTATCTTCATGCTCTCTCGCCCCACTTCCTATTCCTTTTTTTCCCTTTTCTAGTTAGGTGTTTTCCCATTTCTTCTTTTGTACTTCCTGCATGCCCCTTTTCTGTCTCTACAATTTACATGGAAGAGAAGTGCATCAACACGAAATCATGGATCAATCCATGGTGACGAGCCTGTCAATGTTTTATTTATAGCGGCCTACAAACTGAGGACGCCAACGTCCTGAAACTGAAAACTTGTTGTAAAGATTAGCTCTTCTCTTCCCCATCTTACCCACATTGCCATAGGCATTGTAGGATTATAGTCTTGTAGCATTTTGTTTATCACAGGCTGAGATCCAAGCTTGGGCAACCAGGAGTTCTAACATAACATTGTAGAATAGATCATAGTTCCCCGATTCTGACTTCATGACCAACATGTGTAACTAACTAATTTTTTTTATGAGAACATATAATCTTTTCTTGGTATCAGTGCTTCAGTTTCATGATTTTTCTTTCTTTTTGGTTGCTTCCAACAGTTGGTGTGGAATTGCATCAGTAATTTGACTGTTTGGTTATGCTGTCTTAGCTTCTGTTGGTGCACATGGAGGCACATTAGCATCCTGCCTATGGTTTTCCACCTTCTGCATGCATCAATACGTCCTTGCTGCATTAGTAGTATAATTGATGTTGATTGCTGAACATAATTCGGTCCCCAAAAGAATTCACTAGGTCATTCTGCTGCATTGCTTAGGTTGATGGCTAGTTAACTCCTTTTATTTCTTTTTTATTTAATTAATCTTTTGACCGTTTGGAGGTGGGGCGCACGATGATAGCGAGACATTGGCCTCTTTTAGTCTTTGGCTGCATTATTATAATCATTTATAACGATGATGCTGTCATGGAGATGAGTAGCTCCTTTTATTATTTTAAAATATTTGGTCCGTGGTGGCTATCATGCTACCAGCCTGAACGAACTATTCGTGGTACGGTACTGCTCTACAAAATGTCCAGTTGAAACTTTAAAAGTAGCAAAATAAGATTCTTGATTCGAGATAATCAGTTCAAACCAGAATGATATTGGTACTTCTCATGCAAAAAAGAAGACAAAAAATCGCACAGCCTCTTATCAGGCTCTTGTTGCAGGCAAAGGTCAAAATCCGAAGTAAGCATTTGACAGTAGATACATACAATTACTCTTCTCTACAGCATTACTGGGAAGGGAACAAGGCAAAGCACAAACAAAATCGTGTGATCAAATATCAACTACACTGCTATGGGTGATACAGCTACAAGCAAACCTTCGTATCATCGATTCATGCTTCTAGTCTCACGATTCACAGCCAGCTTGGTCTGTGCAATTCAAGAGGATTCACAGCTCCGGAAGTATCATTCTGCAATGCTGAAATGACAAAGTTTCAGCTTCTTGACGATATTGATCCTTGTTCTGTGTGACCGTCTGGGCAAAACTCTACATGCGTGGAGTTAAATACAGCAGCAGCAGCCTTGCATTTAACAGTACCTACATGTCACCAGAACAGTAAATAAGTTCCTGATGAGAATATTAGGACTGTTTTAATATAGACCAAAAAAATGGGCAGTATACCTTACGAAATCTGAGAAGACATCCCCAAGACTTTATGGTTCAATCAAACATTTGCTGAGACTTCTGTCTCAGTCTCCTTGCTTTCCTCCGGTTGTGCTGGCACAGGTTCACTCTCCTCTGGTTGGTCATCTGATTGGTCACTGTCTTCTATCGCAGTATCCTTTTTGTTCAGCTCATCCTGCTCTTTTTGTATAGCTATCTTATTGGGAACAAGAACAAGATATATATTCCTTTCCTGAAAATTTTTACTTTCTTCTGTTGCCATCTGAAATATGGCAAAAACAAAACGTTATGTCTAGTTGAATCAGAACAGGATAACAACAAGCACTTTGGCTAAAAGTGTAAACAAAGGCCATTTGAGATGAACGAGCTCATTGCAAGCAACAAAAGACAGATTTTTGTTCTTATTCCATGAAGGAAAAACAAGTAAATCTAATTACCTCACCGACATCATTCTGGAACCGCCTAAGAAGTTCGATAGCTTGTTTTTTATACAAATTTTCCCTGCCTTTTAAGTTTACCATTATCTTGACCTGAAAGAGTAGTCTCAAGTGATAAGTTACACAGTTATACTTCTCAAAAAATAGGAAGCAAAATGAAGATAATCTTATCACCTTGTCGCCAGCTTTCAGAAACTTCCTTGCAGCTTTAAGTCTCACACTGTAATCATGAATGTCAATGTTGTACCTGATAAAAAATATATTGAGAGAAGCCCAACATCACCACCTCAATGCATAAAAACACACACCAGTTAATATGCAGTAGTCTAAAGAAGCAATGACGCGAAAAGATCATTGTTAATGCCAACAGAATTTGTATCGCTCTATTATGTGAAATAGCTCATGTGAGCTGTAGAAAACTCCATTCATTATTCAAGCACTTCTGGAGTGTGCACTTTAATTCACTCATTTTCTCCAAAGAGCATACAGGAATAAAGAAGTCAAGGCACATAGATAGGAGCAAACATAGCAATTATTAGTTGATATAACTTGCTAAAAGAAATGGTGATCCATACCCCATTTTCAGCTCTTTCAAGCCCATGCGTTTTGCTGCAGAGAGTAAACATCAAAAGTCATATGACCTTTACGTATTAGCAACAATGCCTGTAGATAAAACCTCAGGTTAGAAAGTTTACCAACAGATCTTTTCTGCTGAGTTCTTTTCTTCTTCTGTTGTTCGTACTTGTGCTTTCTGTACAACATAATAAAAGCGCATTCAAATGATTGTTCTAGATGAAAGAAATCTGAATGAGCATAGCAAAGGACCATGCATGCCAGTGACCTGGAGTAAAAGGGATAAGATTGCTAGCACAAAAATTAATTCACTACAACGCATACTAGTTATCTACCAATACAATGGACAGTAACATGATGGGGACCAAGCCTATTAGTTTATTATTGGTACATGGCCAGGTTCCATGGTAAATATGTGAAAATGATGGGAGGCAGGATTCCAACAGAGAGCAGGGTAGGAGTCACAGGGCAGCGATGCATTACCACAGAATAATTACTAAGTTAATAATCAATTTTCTTACGGCTTGCACCTTTGACACCATCAGGAGCAAACTTGCTGAGACTAGATTATTTTTGGTTTGTTTCTCGCACAACATATTATGTTGTTTAGAACTTAAAACACAAGATATCTAAAGTGAATTTTAACATGGCCTAGTTCCACATTGACAAATAGGGTGGTATGAAGTAAACAGATTGTCTGTCCCAAAAGACAGGTTGGTATTGGTGTTAATTGCAACATACTTGTAATCTTTCTCTTGGAATAGTCGGAGCACCGGAGGATCTCCATCGAGTGATAATATTGCCTGAAATGTTACAAAAATCAGCAATACTCATTGGAAAAGAGTTATTCAAAACAAATGCCACCTAACTGAGTAAGATTTATCTTGTTAAGCATACAGGTAGCTTGTGAAGTTGCCACGCAGAAAACTCATATAGCAAGCGATGGAAACGCCGTTATTCAGTAGCAGGTAACCACTACTAATGTGGCATTAGAAGCATAATTTGGTAGTCTCTTATTTAAGATATTAGGCATTTTTAACCAAATGTGACAAAACTAGCAAGTCTTTATACTCAGTAGCACACTACCAAATTATGCATTTTTTTCTATTGAAAAGTGAATATTTTTAGAGTAATTCATTAATAATGCTATACACCCACTTGATCACATAAAAACGTTCTGCTGTGATGCATACAATATTTTGGAAATGCATGTTATTGCAGTGAAGACTATAAACATATCAGACAATGAGCATACCAGTATAAGATCATTTTCATCTGCAATCTGCACTGCTTCGCTTACAGATACCACACCAACCTGCCCGAGGAACAATGAAGGGAGTGACGAAGAAATAAACATACAAGGCCAAAAAAAAGGACTTGATTGAGATCGATCTACAAGGTATGCCAAAGTACATAATTGGATATCTGGATATGTTTCGTACCATTCTTTTCTCCTCATCCAATAGCCTAACCGTTGAAGCCCTGACAAAGCAAAGTAGCTTAGAACGCTTTTACGGTGAGATGAAATGAACACAGCATGTCACTAGGCACATCAAGCTCTTTTGCGTTTAATCCCAAAATTCCCAATCCAATGGAATGCCCATTCTATGCAATTGCTTGGGAACAGCATGTATACGCAATTTGGCATACAAATTCTCGAATTCCACACATCAAATGCCGAAAAAGAAAAGCATAAATCCCAGAACCCAGAAGCGAGGGAGGAAGGCGAATGCCCGTACTCGATTCGCTCGATGTCGAGGGCGGGGTCGTAGTCGGGGTCGGGGCCACGGTCCCTCCTCCCCCACCCGCCGCCGCCGCCGAACCCTTCCTCCTCCTCCTCGTCGCTCTCGTACGACGACGACGAGGAGGCGTTGTACCGCGCCACCACCACGAGCCGCGGCCGCCTGGCCATGAACCGCGCCGACGACGAGGAGCAGGCCATGGCGTGGCCGCCGGCGGCGAGCCTACGAGGGACGACGCGGGGCACGCCCGGCGCGAAGGCGAGGCCGACGACCATGGCCGGCGACGGCGGCGGCGGCGGCGGCGGCGGTGGCGGAGTGGGTGGCCGCCTTATCTGCTCCGTGTCTCCGGTGGAGGTTTTTGCCGCGAGAAGTGGAAACGAGTGGAGGTCGCAGCCTCACCTCAGGTTTGGGCGACGCCACGGGGGAGATGGGGCCCATCTCCGGTTTTTAGTTGGGCCACGGGCCCACAAGCCCAAACAGGTCCAATGTTTCGCTGGCTGGATTGGCCCGAGGAGTTGTAATATGAGCCGTCACATTTCAGGTACGTACGCTGCTGGGCTAAAGGCCCAATGTGAATATAAATAAGTTTATTTTTGGTCCCTTAATTTGCCGCCGAGTCTGAAATTCAACCGAAATACCATATATAACATGTCCTTCAATTCCTAAAACCGATGTGAAATTATCCTAAGGCGGTTTGAATGGCGGTTTCAGCTGACGTGGTGTCTACATGGCTGGTTTGATATGGTCGTCGCGTTTCAGGTAAGTGAAGAATTGTGAGATGTAAATAGGCCCAACAACATACAAACCAGGTCTATTAATTTGAAGTTACTATTGGAGTTGTTTAGGTTTGTACTGGTTCAATGTTGTCATGTTGATGTAGAGTTCATTGTTGGAACTTACTATGTTACACCGGGAGATCCAAGTGATCGAGTTTAGTCTCCCAACGTTAAATACTACAGAGAGAGTGGTACTTAATTATCGTCTGATAATTTAGTGGTATTTGCCACATTGGCAGTGACACGAACCAACCAGATCTCTCTCTCTCTCTGCACTGTGAATGTGTGATGATGACTACATCTATCTATCTATCTATCTATCTATTCAGCAAGTTGGTCCCAAATAGTGGCGGATCTTAAAAAATGATTCCCTAGTGTCATAACGTGTCTATCGGTATCATAGCATGCTAATTATAATTAAACTATAGTGTTATAATATATAAATAAGCAGTTTAATCATAGATTTTATTGAAAATCGTCGGTGTCATCTGACACCGATGCTAACACTGTAGATCCGCCCCTCCCAATAATGCAGAAATGAAACAACGTGCAAACAGGTTTGAGAACTTTGAACGTGCGCGGTATCAGCAGCTGCCGGGACCAATCGCAGCGGGCGGGCCATCATTGCTGGCGAGCCTAGCTATAGCCAAGCCGCGCGTGCGTACGCGCACTGCTGCTCTCTCCATCCCGGCCATCGTACCTACATGTTTCACGAACAATTCCATACCATATGCACATCCACATCACACGTCAGGATCATGCATGCCCACATGTACCCAGCTTGCAAATAATGCAAGCCCCCCTGCAACGTACTTACGATGCAACCAGCTGTGTGACCGTGCCATGCATTAAAAAAAAAGAAGAAGAGATTTGGAGGGAGAAATGTCCCTCCAAACATTTTTTGAAAAGAAATTATAAGGGATTGGACATCGAACTTTGAGATCTCATGCTACTGAGCATCTCTGACCGTGTCATGCATGGCTCAAGTGTGATATGCGCCACGTAAACTCTCCCTGCTTCACAAGTCTTTTGCTCGTCTCAATTTTTAGAGTTAGATTAGATTTGTATAGTTTAGATATCTATTGTATACAAATCTAATCTAACTCTAATATCAATCAAGCAATCGCCATACATGTCAATGCCACCAGGAGCTATGTATGCATAAGTTGCCGATCGACTTGCACTATGGAGATCATTCTTTGACGCCTCTGATATATGCCTTTTCTTATAAAAAAAAACATAGTACAAAGACAAACACTCACAAATCAAACTAGTTGACCTATATACTCACAAATGCCGTTCTAATCAACAATAACCAGCCTCATTGGTCATTCCAGTTGTGATGTGTTGTGACAGTTCACCGGTTGATCGATCAATCGATCGATCGGTTTAATTGCCAGGTTGCAATCGCAGGGGGAAAAGCCTATTTTTCAGGGCCTGGCACAGCATGCGTCCATGTGGATTTGTCCCTCTGTTCTGTGCCGATCGAGTGAGATGAATGCGAGCTAGGATGCATGTGTTTGTGGGCACACGGCGTCCTGTGCTGTGCATCCGTCCATCTCAAAAATGGGTTGCAACTTCCAGGCTTTCTACGGCAATTACACCAAGCCTACTTACTTTCAGACTAGCCTTCTTCATTTCTCTGAAGAAGCTAAATATATGTGATCTCAAGAGCTAGCCTCCATGGAGATAGCGCTGGTATTGATTGCTAGTAAAAAGCCCGATCCTAGATATCCTTTCTTCTTGTTATGATGCTACTATGTTATCATGGAACTAGAGACCTCAGGAGTGATGCAGGTTTTGCAGCTTGGGTGTTCTTCAGATGTGTCATGTGTTTGTTTGATCACACTCGATTGCAAAAATCACTTTCAAGCTTTCAGCTTCAGATCAAAGTAGAACAGTCTCTAGTGGCTAGTGCTGTTTACTCTACAGAATTGTACACTGTTTCAGTGTTTTCACTGCTACATGGGCCCCATCAACCAGCACAAATCTCCCGGGGCCCCTTGTTAGTGATAAGATCAACAAGCAGATGGTTCTCTCTGTGCACACAATGCATGCACAGATATTGAATTTGATGGTCCATGCATGCATATGTCGGTGAGAAGTGAACTACTACTGAAATTCTTGCATTGATTTTTTTCAGAAGAAAACAGAGCAATGAATTGGCATTGAATTCCCGTGCCAAACATTGCCATATCGACGGATCAAATCTGCAATTCTAGTACTATACTCCTACACTACTCCTACTACTAGAAATGGAAGCCTCTTCATCACTGACCTTGGCCCTGTACAAGCAAAAAGCCTCAAAGCTTCAGCTATCCAAAAAGTTCAGAGATAACCTACCTGCAGGTCCCTACTCCTTTCCTCAACTCATCACAGGTCGCCTTCACTTCACTAGTCAGTAGTAGTACTCGATCGCCATCAATTCCATGCAACAGCTCGCATTGGAGTGCTAGCTACTTCGAAGCATTCGACACCTAATATCGCCTTAGCACAAAGCTTCTCATTTTATGTACTAGCTAGGGTTCTACTATACCTGAGATGCTGGCTTGCTTGTCTTAATTTGTGTATGAGCCTACTGGAAGTGCTAATCCAACTTGAGCTTTGTACTAATGTACTACTCTTTGGTAGCTTAGCTTGGCACTAAGCAAATTGCACAATGCGTCCAAGAACGCAGGTATCCAAGAACGAATCAGCCAAATGGTCAAGACAACAAGGCCATGGAGAAAAATTAATGTCACTGTTTTGCTGTTCTTTCTCTCTCTGAATTCTACAGAAAAACAGTGAGGCAGTAGGCACACATACATACTACAGTGCAATGGCATTGTTCATCAGGGAACAGAACAAACATAGGCAATTCTTGGCACAGTGTGAGTGACTGAGCAAGCAGGATCTACCTAGGGGTGGTGGTCAGTTAACTACAGCCGTGTAGTACAGTTCAATGTAAATAAAAGTGTGCAGTGTGGCGTCTTGGTTCTTGGAAGGGGAGACCCTCTCTTTCTAGGCGCCCTTAATCAATCAAACACAATACTCCTACCAGTACACCATCTGACAAAGCTCAGCTCTAATCAGAGCAGTAGGTGAGTGAGTAGTTCCATGCAAGAAACTGTTAGTCCGTTAATGACAGTGCAAATGCATGCATAGATCCAATTATCAAGCTTTTCTCAGGAGGAATCATCACCACATTAGTACTCTGCTGTAAGAGACAAGACGGGCGGCAGAAGCAGCATCATTCTTATCTGCTGCTTCTCTCAAGGAGACAGAGTATACGAGGGAGTTGATCACGAGTACAGGTAAAATTATGGGTACAGTTTGGGCCCTCATCGCGGCAGCCAGCCTGCAGAGATTTCTTTAATTTAACCGGGTCAAATTGTCAAAAACGTCATCAGATCGATTTGAGCTGTGACGCAAAATATATCAGTTGTTTTCAGCCATCGTGGCGCGATTATTAATTTGCCCATCCATCTGCATGCATGCTCCCTGTAGCTTGTCAAGTGAAGAATTTGTGTGCAGAGTCTGTCTCTGACTAGGTAAGGTCTCATTCAGAATTCAGAATAATGCAGTGATACAATTTTATTTCTTTATAGAAATCTAGATATGTAGAGTTAGAAAAAAAAAAGAAATTACCCACTATTCCCTCCGTCCAAAATATAAGTAGTACTTAAGATTTATCCTAAAATATATAATAACTTATCCACTATTAGTAATATTTTTTTCTCAGACTAATCATAATCTTATCTCATTTAATTTCTCTACTTATATAACTTTTTATCCAATCATAATGTTTCTTCATTTAGGCTCCGTTTGTTTCCACTTAAAAAAGTGGATTAAGTTTTGAATATTCATGTCACGTTTTTTAAACTGCTAAACGGTGTGTTTCGTGTGAAAACTTTCTATATGAAAGCTGTTCTAAAATATTAGATTAATTCATTTTTCAAGTTTACAATAATTAAAACTCAATTAATCACACGTTATTATCATCTAATTTTGTGTGAAATACTTAATCTTTATCTTCAGGAGATTCAAACACCACCTTAATACATATGTTCAAGGTTCGTAAAGCCAACCAAAACTGATCGGACTCCGTGAAAAAGCGAGATACTCCCTCCGTATCAAAATATAAAGTAGTTTGGATAGATGTAGTATATTTTAGTACTATTATAAATCCCTTATATTTTAGAATGGAGGGGGCAGTATTTAATTAGGACCAAGGTAACTAGGCTAATGACACTGTTTTTACCTGGGAATGAATGGAGACAAATTAAGGATTTAATTTGCGGCAACAGAATAGGAAGATTCGAGTTGATCAGTCTGGTTGTCATTGACTCATTGCCATCCGGTTACGCTATCTTGCATGTGAACCTAAGCTATATATAGCTGCTTGTTGATGTCCAGGCAGTGTCCAGCTGCAAGGACGACGAACAAAAGCTAGCTAGGTTGTTTGAGCGCGACGATAGCTGAGACGGGATGGCATGCATGCGATCAATTGGTTCTTGCTCATTGCGACCTCCACGTATATGGGTTTCATCAGATCATCACACCGCTAGATGGGGAAGTATTTTCTACACTATTATAGAGGTGTATGCATGTAATTTAAATAGTTACATAAAATTTTTATAAAATTTAATAAGATAGACTGTGATAATATATATAAGACACTATACAAACATTTACAAACATGCAACTTTAAATTTGATATACACATGAAGAAAAAAAATTAAAAAAAACAAATTTTATCTGCGATGTACGATACTATCCACTATTTGATTTTACTATTATTGTTTTTCTAGTTGTAGATAAAAATAAACTTACATGCTTGTGTATAGACTTTGAGTCACATGTAAATGATGGGTGCCATGATATCTAGGTGTAGAAAATTCTTGTCCACTGCTAGATGACGACATGATTTAATTGCATGATGAGAGAAAAAAGAATGCTCCGATCCATGTATGTATAGCCAGTTGTTACAGGTATCTTATGGCTTAGCTAGCTGAATCTTGACTCCATTTCTTGCTCATTACCAAGGCGATCGATCTAGCTCATCTCATCCTGCAGCATTTTCTAGCTTAGAAAAATTTGCCTTTGTCAACGTCGTTGCTTGCGATCTTGTTTTGACTAGATTTACGTGCGTCTGCTGTCCCCATGCCAATCACCTACTTAGCTACAGTAGTTTTTGTTTGTTATCTTGCACATATCTGGTGAATACCTAAACTTTTTTATAGCCTTTGATATTCCCAAAAATATTTTTTAACAGTACTAGCTAGACACTCCTATAACCTGTGGGGCGAAATGATTCTTTTGGCTGTAACCCATTTAGGCAAAATGGTCTTTTTTGGCCACTTGACGAAACAACAAGCAAAGGTGGTGTATGTGGGGCAGCCGTTTTCAGAACCACTAAGGCATGGCTAGAAAGAAATGCTACTGCATCTTGTTAATCTTGATACATGTAGTATCAACTTACCCCATGAGTCAAAAAGAACATTTTAGAGCTTACGTGACCTTTTGCCTCACAATATATAGTTTATAGAGTTCTTTTCCCTTTTCTTGCCCCCTAAAGGCTACATTTTTATCCCGCTATATTTAATGAAAATGCACGGTCTCATACTGTTTTCCCTTAAAAAACCATTTTACAAATAAGTTGCATAACTTCTTATTTATTTTCTTTGAAAAATTTATAACTTATGCTGCAATCCATTTTTCCCTTTTAGAGCAAAGATCATTATATTAATAATGACCCAGCTTTTGGTAAAAAGCCCAAGAAACATCCATGTGTTATATCCACCCAAAATACTATCGATTTAACACAACCTATCTAATTTCAGATTCATAATATTTGATGGTGTTAAATTGACACTATATTGTTATATTATAATACAGAGTATATTAATTAATAACCGTTACCATAACTTTTGTGAAGTACTTGGTGTTTTACACGTTTTTTTAAAAATTTTAAAGTAGACCTTTTGAAAAAATATTTTTAAATCTGAATCTTTTAGCCACGCTAGCCTGTTTGACCAAATAATTCTGTCACGCCAGATGTAGCTGGCGTTGCCAAATAACTCTGTCACGACACGCGCTCTACCAAGCCACCGTGGTTGGCGTGGCCAAAAGGTTCCGTTTTTTAAAAGATTTATTTTTAAAATTTAAAAAACAAAAGGTCTAAAAAATAAAAAAAATCCACATCATACGGTGGCGTGAGGAAGAGAGTGAATTTAATAAGTGATGAAGAGGATCTCAATCCGATGAGGAGAGGAGAGGTTAGCACAGTGCAGTGGCTGCTGCACTGGGCACTGCCGCATGCCGTAGAGCTTGAGCTACTTTGCATTTATGGCCTTGGCCATCTCTCCACCCCGAGCCCGCAGCCACTGCATGCCCTCCTCCTCTTCCTCCTCTCCTCCCCCATCCAGACCTCCAAGCCCTGCAGTAGCAGTAGCAGCTGCTGTATTAATGGCGCCGTAGGCAGCTCACTGCAGCATCCATCGCCCCAGGCAATGGTGGTGGTAGTTTGCTCTCTTCTCCCTCCTCGGCTCAGCCCGAGCTGCATGCCAGCTTAAATGCTTCCCCAGAGCGAGCTCATCTCGCTCTCGCCCGATCCAACGCCGCATAGCTAGCTAGCTAGCTACCTCGTCGCTGCGTTGTGTTTGTGCTGCTGCATTGCGACATTCCGATCGGAGCTTAGCTTAGCTTTCGTCGTCGCGAATGGCGACGCGAGGGCGGATTGTAGCGGCGGTGGCGAGCGTTGTGGTGGCGTGGCTGGCGGTCGCCGTCGGCGTGAACGGCGGCGGGTGCGAGGCGGAGCGGGACCGGGTGGAGGCGCTGCCGGGGCAGCCACCGGTGGCGTTCGCGCAGTACGCCGGGTACGTGGCGGTGAGCGAGGCGAGCGGGCGGGCGCTCTTCTACTGGCTCACCGAGGCCGCCGCCGCCGCCGCCGCCGCCACCAAGCCCCTCGTCCTCTGGCTCAACGGCGGTAAGTTAAGTATACTGTTCTACACTGCACATTTCTGAATTCTCTTCGACCTCTTTCTGCATGAATAAATTTCACAACGTCCTTAAATTGATTCGATCCATGTACGAGTAGTTGTATTTAGTATAGTACATTTTGCATTCGTGTTCGTTAATTTTGCACACGCTGGCAATAATGGGGTTCTTGATTGGTCCTAACTACTGTGCTCAATTAAGTCCAAAGGTACAGAAGTAGATGGATCGGTGGTCGTGTACTCGTGTTTGACCAAACCGAGAACACAACACATCCATTCCTGGAGTCTTTTCATGAGCATTTAGCTATCTAAGCACTAGCTTTTCTGGAGTTTAAAAGGATCGAGAGCTACAAGCAACTTTCCAGAGCTTTTGACACGCACTCCTAGGTTCAAACTTCTTGTCATCACACGCCTCTCTAACGGAAAGCCACATTCTCTTTTTCTGAGTTCCTCTCAAAGCTTCGCTCCAAACCAAAATGCAAGTTACTGTACATACATTTGTGTTCTTTCTTCCTGCTAGCTTAGCTAGTAGCTCTGATAGATGATCTTGTTGTCTTTGTAAAGGACATTGTGCGTGTGTGTGTGTGTGTGTGTTCGATCCTCTAATGGACACACGAGTGTTTTGATCGAGCAATTGGTAGTGTTACTATAGCTAGCTGTTTTGAAGGCAGAGCACAGCGATGGCACAGTGATAGTAAATGCAGAGAATACAGGAGAGTAAATGTGTGTGTGCAAAAGACATGACCAATGCCTGGCTGAACAAACATTAGCATCACGAGGAAGTAGAGAGTAAATGCAGGGGAGACCGCGGGCAGCCGGCGCCGTGCAGGCGGCAGCAGCAGCCGTGCACTGGTCCGGGCAACACGACATGCAACCTCTAAACCCTTTGCGTTTTTCCTTGTCACATTGTGTAAGGTACTGTTTAGATCCCATATCAAAATTTTTCACCCTATCACATTTAGCGTTCGAACACCTGCACACGAAGTATTAAATATAGGCAAAAAAATAATTAATTGTATAAATCGCGACTAATTTGTGAGACGAATCTTTTAAGCCTAATTGCTCCATGATTAGACAATGTGATGCTACAGTAAATATTTACTAATAACAGATTAATTAGGCTTAATAAAATCGTCTCGTGGTTTACTGACCGATTCTATAATTTATTTTGTTATTAGACTACGTTTAATATTTTAAATGTGTGTTCGTATATGCGATGTGATACGGCAAAAAATTTTACCCTGAATTTAAACACAGCATAAATAGAATTACATGTATTTATGTGTGAGACTTGAGTGTGTGTGAGAGAGAGAGAGCCAGACAAGAACAATGCTTCGAAACTCATGCATGGTTCTTTTCTCCATAGGTAAGGATAAACAAGCCCTCGCTAGTACTCCTACATAGGGGCAATTAAGCATAAGTAAACACACTGACTGAAACTCTGAACCTGTATACTTGCCCAAAACTGTCGAGTCTTATGCCGGATCATTTGCAGTTTATTCCTGGTAAGTGTGGTTATGAGCTTGATCTGTGGGATATTATCATCAGCCAGCCACTAGTTGACTACAACTGTGTGAGAGAGGCATATGTTGTCATGTGTGTTTGTTCCTTGTTCAAGCTGACGAATTGTAATCCTGGCTTTTGGACTTTTGACATTTATTCCTTGGCCACCAAATCTCTTCTCTTGTCCTGCACGGTGTACTGTTTTTTTTTCCCTTTTACACTGAGCTGTGTAGTTCTGGTCATTCTTTAATCTTTACAGCCAGCCATGTTGCCATGGCATGATTATTCAGTGTAAGGAGTCTAAGGAGATACTAGAAAACTGTTCAGCTTAGGCCCTTCTAATCACTTCATTGCTAACCACTAATCCAGCCTTGCTTAGCCTGCATTAATCCACTCTAATTCAAAAATCGATTCCAAGCTTTACAGCATAGGAGTACTCCTGTTATCTCTCTCCATCTCTCATTCCTAGGAGGAAAGAACAGTCTCTGAACATCTGCAATCAGCGCTAGCTGCCGCTGCACACACACACACCTGAGACTGTGAGCCTGTGAATCGAGCAGCGTACAGCGGCAAGGCGACAGCTCTCACACCTCGCCCCGCGCCGCGATGATGCAGAGCTCATCTGCTGCTGATTCAGAATTCTTCTGAAGGCCGGCCGGCCGGCCGCGAGCATCTGCTGCAGCTGCAGCTGGAATGGCGCGCTCTGATGAATGATCCCGTCGTCCTTGGAGATCGGCGCAATCTTAGCCACATCCCACATCATCTCATGTGAAGTATTAGTAGTAAATCTGTAGCCAAGCCAAACACTGTAATAAAATCTGTAGCCAAGCACTGTAAAATGTGTAGCCAAGCCAAGCCAAGAGGGGCCAAGAAATGATGAAGCCTCTGTCTGCACTGTAGTAGTACTCTGCACTCTGCGGATCCATACTACCACACCATGTTTGCTAGTGAATGAGTGGCACAAAAGCTGCAGCACCAATTTAAGGCTACTATACTAGTTTTTTTTCCAAACGCGCAAAAAGATTGCACGTCAGTATATTAGAAGAAAAGAGTTATAGTTACACAATGCAATCAGCTAGATCGGCTTATGCCAAGAGAAGGGAGAAAAAGCCAAATAAAAAGCTGAAGCTAAGAAAAACTACAAAGGCTACTACTAGTCATCTTTGATTTTGTTATTTTCTCCCTGTTTGCAACTCACTCGGCCTTATTATGATCAATTATTATTATTCCATTTGCTCCTCATCTCTCTGGTCATCATCACACACATGCAGAGACCACTGCTTCCTTCCCTCTGGATAAAGCCACAAGGTACAAACCAAACAGTAACCTTTTACCCCACAACAACTCACATTTGCTGCAGCGTGGCTGAATGGCCGACGACCTCTGCATTGTCGATTTGTCATTGCGAGATCGAAACAACCACAGCTGCTTGAATTGCTTGTGAAGTTGTGCTTGCGTGCAGAATTGCAGATGCCTTTTCTTGCCTTTGGACTTCATTCTTGTACATAAACAAAGGATTTGGAGTAGAGAAGATAAAATAAAAGTTCAGATGAGAGAGAGAGAGAGAGAGAGAGAGAGAGAGAGAGAGATGCAAGGGCAGTGGGTTCCTCTGGCACCATGGCTTGTTCTCTTTGACTAGTTATTCATTGGGAATGGGGTTCTGGAGTTGCAGAGCACGCCTCTGCGAGAAGGATGGACCTCTTGATTGGATTATCAGATCTATCTCCTCTTTTTCCTTAGGACTTGCTTGTTTTGGGAGATTTGGAGCTTCTCAAGTATATCCATGCTCATTGGAGCTGCATGTCATGTAAATAGCAACTGTAACATGAAGATAGCAGTAGTGCTTACTGTTTTACTACTAGTATCTCTCTGATAGTCTGATGTTCTAATCACTTTGGATTGGATTGCTAATTATCTTTTAAAGTTACTGTAGCTGTAGAAACATCCTTATTTAACTCCAGTAATATTTGCTGATAATTTCCCAGGTCCTGGATGCTCATCGATTGCGTATGGAGCATCTGAAGAGATTGGCCCATTTAGGATTAAGACAAACGGGACAGGGCTCTATCTGAACAAGTACTCATGGAACAGAGGTACTAAGACTAAGCTCAGAAACTCATCATGCCTAATGATGCAATGCCTGTCACTGACTGATGAACACTTTGTTACTGCAGAGGCAAACCTCCTGTTCCTGGAATCACCTGCCGGAGTTGGCTTTTCATACTCCAACACCACCTCTGATCTCAAGACATCTGGTGATGAGAGGACAGGTATGTAATCTGAAATTTACTGACCAAATCTGTCTTAACACTGCATCATAAAATGGCAAACTGCTGAATGTTCCCTTGATGTTCTTCTGAATGTGATGTGATGTGATGCAGCTCAAGATGCGTTGCAGTTCTTGATCAGTTGGATGTCCCGCTTCCCACAGTATCGGCACCGGGATTTCTACATTGCTGGAGAAAGCTATGCTGGTAATGTGTAAACTGGCGATGTTTGCATCACCATCTCTGAAACTATTATCTCTGCATCATCTGACTACTGTCCATCAACAAAATTTGCACAAATTCTAGGACATTACGTTCCCCAGTTGGCAAGGAAGATCGTTGAGTTCAACAAGGCCTCACCATATCCTTTCATCAACCTCAAGGGGATCCTTGTGAGTATTATTAAACTAAAGTAGACAGTCCTTTAAATCAAGCACGAACAAATTCTCAACTGAAAACTGTAACCATAGATTGCACCTCTGGCAAGAGTTTCAGACTAAAAACAACCATGCGATGATCCTTGTAAGTACCATCAAACACAAGCAGACCCTGAACTCAAAACTTAACCCATATGTTCTATGATCTCTCACACAGAGTTTCAGGCTGAAAATAACCAAGTGAACTCAAACAAAACCAATCCATATGTTCTAGTATATCAGAACACGAGTTTCAGACTGAAATTAACCGTGTGAGTGATGGTGATCCTGATTTTACCAGGTGGGCAATGGGGTGACTGACAACTACTACGACAACATCGGCACGGTGACCTACTGGTGGACGCACGCCATGATCTCGGACACCACCTACAAGGCCATCATGTCGTCGTGCAACTTCACCAGCGCCAACGTCTCCAGGCTCTGCAACCGCGCCATGAGCTACGCCATGAACCACGAGTTCGGCGACATCGACCAGTACAGCATCTACACGCCGTCCTGCGCCGCCGCCGCCGCCGCCAACGCCACCGGCCGCCGCCGCGGCAAGGCCGCCGTGCTGAGGTTCAAGGACACCTTCCTACGGCGCCGGTCGTTCGGCTACGACCCCTGCACGGAGACATACGCCGAGAAGTACTACAACCGGCCGGATGTTCAGAAGGCCATGCATGCCAACATCACTGGGATTCCTTACAGATGGACAGCCTGCAGGTTGATGCATCAGCTGACATTTTTTTTTCTTGATATTTCTTGGCATCACTGAGGTTGGAATTGGGAGAGTTTAACAATGCATTTGGGTTGGATTTGACAGTGATGTGCTCATCAAGACGTGGCGAGATTCAGAGTTCTCCATGCTGCCGACTTACAAGTTGCTGATGAAGGCCGGGCTGAGGATATGGGTGTTCAGGTGAGCTGGAGGACCTGGAATTGGTGAATTTATCCTTTTGGTTCAGCATGGAACTAGTTCTTCAGAGATCATGAGCTATTTGTCACTTGATGAAAATGCAGTGGCGACACGGATTCAGTCGTTCCGGTTACTGCAACGAGGTTTGCGCTTAGCCATCTTGGACTGAAGACGAAGATCCGCTGGTACCCTTGGTACTCAGCTGGACAGGTAGTGAACAATCTCCATTGCTGTTTGTCAGATGCAGTTTAAGCAGAAATCTTGTCACTTTAAAGTCTGTAACTTCATCTGCAAATGGTGCATCTGTGTGTGCAGGTTGGAGGATGGTCTGAGGTGTATGAAGGGCTCACATTTGCGTCAGTGAGAGGTGCTGGGCATGAGGTGCCACTGTTTCAGCCAAGGAGAGCATTCAGGATGTTTCAGTCGTTCTTGGCAGGGGAGCCATTGCCAAAATCCTGATGGTTTCCTGCCAACAACTGATGTCTAGCTACAAAGTCTAGAAATCTGTAAAAGATGCTTGGTAGAGGTGCAGTGTAGTTGATAGGTGAGGAGTGTGATTGATTGGTGTTGGGAAAAGGATAATAAGAGAATAAGGATGGTTGTGCCATGGAAACCATGGGCATCGCAACAAGGAGCTAATAAACTTGAAGCCTTCCGCTCTGTTTACCACTAAGGTTCCATTTGGATTGGAGGAATTTCGCTGGAATTTTAGAGGAACTGAACTATTTCCTGTGAAAATCCTATAAAATTCCTGTGCTCTGAAGGAACCCTGAGCAATTATCTCATCGAAAAAGAATATATCATGTACGCAATTCAACGCAAAAGGGAGCCATGAAGTAATTTGCTGAATATAGCCATGTATAGTGTCACCAGTAACGGAAGTACCTTTATTTATCATGAAAATAAGTTCCCTGACATACAGGGATAACATGCAAAAACAGGGCAGCTAATCTCTGGATTCAATTTGCATCTCAATTCACAAACCGGATATTCTATCACTTCGATAACATGCAAAAACAGGGCAGCTAATCTCTTGGATCCAATTTGCATCTCAAGTCTCAAACCGGATATTCTATCACTTCTTCTATAAAAGTAAATGTAATACCTTTAGATGACTAGAGAAAATTCAGACATTAAAACCCTCAGCTCGGAGGCACCGCTTGTGAGCTTCGATCCACTTGGTGCACGCAGATTCCCCATGCTCGACGATGCACTCGTCTCTCAGCCTCTTCGTATCAGGGCACGCACAGCATATCTTCTTCTTTGGCTTTGAATCAGTAGCAGGAGCTGGAGCAGCCGACCCCCCTTCGCTCACAGTTGGGCAAGCAGGTGACTGCGCAGGAATTGGGTGTTCTGTGCTACCCATCTTAGCAGCAGGTTTTCACTCAGTATCTGCACAATGAAATGAGGAGGCAAAAGGGCAAAGGGAACATATCAAATAATCAATCTCTCTATGAATCAACTGATAGTCTTGTAAATCTATTACTCCCCCGGTCCAAAAGTATAGCTAGCTACCTATCTTTATTTTTCTTTTCGGAATAAGAAAATATAGCTATCTATCTGAACTAAACACTGCGGTAAGAAACATTTCAAAGCTATGAAACAGAAGATCAAGGAAAGCCTAAACATCCCAAGAGTAAAATTTCAGCACTAATTAATGCCTGCTATGCTACTGATGTGCAGAACAATCTGAGCACTAGTTGTAGAGCTAGTAAGAGATGTGCTTCTCTCGGCACATGTGTTTTTATTAAAAAAAAGATCAGTTTGTCCTTATTTTACACTCCACTTTTAGATGCTCTGCATTTTTTTTAAAAAAAAAGGATGTTCCGGAACAGTATTGCTGAACTCAAGTACTAATAAGATTGCACTATGACATGCGTAGTAATAATCAACAAAAGGTCTAATTTTGCTGTTTGCTTAAGATAAATAGCACAATCAAACCACATAATGTGTGGGGGAAAAATCCATTATTTTCATGAAAACTAATAGCAAGAAAATTCTTAATCCCTTCATCATAGATAGTCCATAATGCTACTACATTTACGGATTTAACATTACAAGCACCTTCACTGAATCCTAAAGGTAACAAAATCTTCGCATCTGCACAGGTAACCGAAACAACCACCGGAATCATCACAGTTAGGCATGGTTGGATCCTAATCGGCCACCGAATGGTCTTACCGCATAGAGATCAAAACCCCCATCCCGGCGGCGCGATCCACGGCGCGACTAGGAGGAGGGGAAAGGAGGAGGCGCGACGCGAGCGTACACCGAGCCGCGCCGCTTCCACCGAAGAGAGAGAGAGAGAGAGGAGGGAGGGAGAGGGAAGCACTTGCCTGGACGGAATCGGAGCGGGGGGGGGGAGGAAGTCCGGCGACGGCGAGCGCTGCGCCGCCGCGTTTGCTTTGCTGCGCCTTCGTTGGCTGTAAAACCGCGGCGAGTTTTTGTTTGCGGGGCGACCGCCGTGCGCGTGTCCTCCGCTTCTAATGGCCGGCCTCCTCCTCCTCTTCTTCTTGCAGCTCAAGAAAGGAAGGAAAGATTCCGGCCCGGCCCGGCCCAACTAATTTTCCGCCGACGAATACTAGTATATTGGGCTCCATACAAATGAGGCCGCGTGAAAAAGAGAAAAAAAAAGGTACTCCCTCCAATTTTTCTATACTAGTATTTTCAAGATTTTTTTCTTTGTGTCATATCCAGATTCATAGTAGACGTCTTTCTTTCGATCCTATCCAGTATTAAGTTATTATATTTTAGGAGATAGGACTTTGACATTGCATGGGAGTCAAAGTTTATCTTACCCTGCAATAGTAACCATATACTTCCCCCCTTCTAAAATGTAATCATGTCTAGATATTCTTCAGAAAATAAAAAAAAAATAGTGAAATCCTCTAGCCTCATCTTTTCGCTTATACTTATGCTTATCAGCCAAATTTTGAATTTTCAACCATAAATTTGGAGCTGGTTTTGAGGTTTTTTCATCGAAGTTTAGTTTTCAGCCTTTGCTTCTAGATTGCTAAGAATATGTATATAAAAGTTTTATTCACAAATTAATTTTAGTTTCCAAATATGCCGTTTCGTTTATTCCGCGAATAAGAGAAACAATGGCTCCGGATGGTGGAAGGTTGTGGTTGATTGAGATATATAGAAAATTGATTTGATTAATTGAAATAAATTATTTTAGTATATTCTAGAAGCTTCTTTGTCCATCAAATGACTACACACCGCATCATATCTCTACTATTATAAAAATTGAAGATGTTTTTATGGTATTTTGGTACGTCATCCATATTAGAGTCGGTTTTTAATTAAGTTCTTTCATTTTTTAAATACATATCTGTATTTGAGTTGGAATTTTAAGCTTGTTTCCTTTTGGAAGTATAAAAGGAGTTGTATAAGAGATCTTTTGAAAAACTTGCATGCTAACTTGAGATGAAATACATACTCTTAATTGAAGCTCATGATTTTCTAAAAAAATATCCAAGCGAGTTCCCACAGTGAATTTTACCCTAGCTAAACCGTATAACAATGATAAAATTAAAATAGCAATTACCCGTTGCAACACATGGATATTTTTTTAGTAATATATAATATTGTAAATAGTATACTACAAATATAATGACAGTTTAGTTTTACGGGCACCGTTAAAATTGTCAATTAAGAGAACGGGGTATAGGAAAAACAGAGAAATAGAAAAAAAACGTAAAAACACATAAATGATTATTTGATTGGACCGCAGGAAAAAAAAAGAAAGATAAAGATTCAAAGAAAACTTCCCATGAGATTCTACCTCATGCCAAATTTTCTCCAAAACTTTTCATAGGAATTTCATAAGATTTGATAGGATTCATTTCTTCGATAGAAAGGGCTTTAAAAAAATATTCTATAGGAATAAAATCTTTCGAAAATTTCTATGAATTTGGGCCTCGCTGGGAAAGTATCCTATCCTCCAGTGACGTGCAGTCGTTCGCCTCTGCATTTGTATACACACACTTGTGTGGTGGCATCCGCAGTGGCCAACATGAACAAGTAGGCATCAGATACGTGTTCACCTTACACTCCTGACGTAGACACATCATAGCAATACACACACAGAAATGGCTGTGCTCTCGACAGAAGCATCGCGATTTCTCAGTCAGAAAGTTCCCCTGTTCAGTCACTAGCACAGCGGAAACGTTACGATTCAGGCTATTGTCGAAATATTTATGACTCAGATTATCCCGGGGCACAAATCAAAAGGAAGAGCGTTATTCCACATTTGACAAAAGAGAAAAGGGAGAGAGCTACACGGCACGAACAGACTTGTCCTGGCCAAAACATCTTGTGAATGTGATGATGATGATGATGATGATTTCACCAAACAATTCGACACCCCAACTGAAAAGGAAACGACGATGACCAGTTTTCTTATTCTAAATTGCCCACTAAACTTTTGTATATCATTGGCCCTAGCTGGCCGCTTTGCCACCACCAAACTCCTCCGAAATCCTCGTGTCATCTCATCCTCAGGGGGATGAGAATGCAAGGGAATAAATGATTTAAGATGAGTTCTTGAGAACCCACTCAACCAGGGTGGAGACGCCGAATCCGGTGGCCGCCCGCTTCTTGTCGTTCCACACTGGCCCGGCCATGTCAATGTGCATCCACTGCACCTTCTCATCCACAAACTGCAAATACAAGCATGAGGCTCCATTAGCATGTCACTGCTTACAACTTTATTCAAATGTGCCTACCTAGAGCATGTGGCTGTGTGTTTTGCTTGAATTTCATTCATAATAAAGTGGTAAATTTACCTGTTTCAGGAAGAGTGCAGCAGTAATAGAACCACCCTGCCGGCCACCGGTGTTAACCATGTCAGCAACACCAGACTTCATCGACTCCCAGTAGCTTTCCTCGAGTGGCATTCTCCAGAACTTCTCTCCTGATATCTCAGATGCCGCAGCAACTTCCTTAGCTAGTTCATCACTTGGCGTGAAAATTCCTGCACAAAATATTCATTTAAGCAAGCAGCAATCAAAGGAACACACTAATCTATTCACTTAATGGAGAAGATTGCAAGTGATATGTGATTGGTTAATCTTACCAGCAATGCTAGGCCCAAGTGCAACGACACATGCACCAGTAAGTGTTGCCAGATCAATAATCTACATTTGACATTTAAAGATAAGTCAGTACCTCAAACTAGATTCGTGAGGGACATCAGGCCATAAGATAAATCACATTTCCATAAAAAGGGCCTAGAAATAAATAGCATACAACTATGCTAGGGTGATGAGCTGAGTATCAGCATTATAACTAAAACCAACAATGCCAATAAAATATCTTGCACTAAGGTTTAATTTATAGAGAAATCATCAAAGCATTAAAAAAAATCAGATTGGTAATCATATGGACAGAACATGACACCATAAAAGTCATTACCTTGTCAACACCTTGATTACAAGCGTACACCAAAGCATCAGCAAGTGTAAGCCTTCCCTCCGCATCAGTGTTATTTACCTGAAGAAAAATAAATACAGATGAATACATAAGCAAACGCATTTTTTCACACTATCACTGATTTATGTTAATGAATCATGATTCCTAGTCTTCTACAATCATACGCATTGTATCACAACAAACATACCTCAATAGTCTTCCCGTTAGAAGCAGTCACAATGTCACCAGGTCTCATGCCTGTGCCACTAATCATGTTTTCACAAGCAGCAACAATAAAATGAACCTCTACTCCAGGGGGCTTGATTTGGCCCAAAGCTTTTGCTGCACCAAAAACTGCTGCAGAGCCTCCCATGTCAAACTTCATCAGCTCAATACTGCAGCCTGGTCCAGTCTTAATGTTGTAGCCACCACTGCAAAAAAATCGGTTAATCAATTGTAAGAACCAACAATTATCCATATAAAAGATGGCATATTTATGTTACACAATGATGTATGTTACTGCAATAGTTCACAAAATATGCATATGTTTCACAAACCTGTCAAAAGTTAGACCCTTCCCAACAATGGCCAGCTTTCTCTTGGCATTCCCACCAGGTGGTTTGTAGCACAAGTGGATGAAGTGGGGAGGATTCGCAGAAGCTGCAGCAACTCCCAAGTAGGAGCCCATCTTTAACTCTTTACATTTCTCCACATCTAATATTGTCGCAGTGAATACATCACTGTATGTAGAAGCAATGTTTGATGCCTCCTCGGCAAGCACAGCTGGATAAAGGAGATGAGTGAGTAGTGAAATAAGAAAACATCAGAATGGCATCTATGGAGGAGATCCACTGTTTGGCGTTTAACAAAAGAAATATACCAGGAGTAAGAACATTTGCAGGTGAGTTCACAAGTTCTTTCCCGAATATCACACCCGAGGAGAGATCATTGGCATACTTAAGTTTCTGGTCAACCTCTGGACCAGAACCAAATCCGATAAGATCTACTTGTTTAAGATGCACCTTCTTCGACTCCGACTTGTATCTGCTGTCCTCGTGCAGCCCAAGCACAGTTCCTGCAATCCAGATACAGATAAAATTCAGCATCAAGCCAATGCATCCCACAAGATCACAACAATTCCATGAAAGGAGCATCAAGATCACACTACCTGAAGCAATTGCTGCCGCAGCAGTCAGCTTAAAATCTTCCTGGATCCCACCCACTGAAGCAAAAACAATAGCCGCGCTGCTAGCTTGAGCAGACTTGGCAACTGACGCGACGGATTCGCCGATGCCCTTGCAAGCCGTTGTGGTGGAGGGGGCGTTCTGCCCAAGGCCGATCAGACCCACCCTCTTGAAACCCTGCCCCGGGAGGCGGAGCACCACTGATTGCCCGGCTTTGCCGGTGAAATCCTCCTCCGCCGATGCCTCCGACAGGAGGCCGCCGAGCTGGCCGTCGAGCTTCTTCAACACCGCATTCTCGAATTTGGAGTCTGATCCTTTGACCAGATCATTCTCTGTCACTGCGATTGCGAGGATGTCTCCCTTCCATTCGGAGAATTCGACGTCTTTAGCAGCAAATGAAACCTGAAAAAAAAACAGTAGTGCACAGATTGAGACTGAGCTCACTTGCAACATCGGCAAATCTAAACAAAGATGCAAACGTAGTTTGCGTAGGAGATCACTAGTTCGATCTCGATCTAGCAGCTCGAGAGATTCGATAACGAGTCGTGATCAAGTCAACCAAATATAGCAGCTTCATTTTACCACACAGATGGGGAGTTCAGGAATCTGCAACAATCCTAAGCACCAAGCAAGCGACTGAACCTGAAATTGAACCCGAACCCCATCCCGAACACGCACCTGCGGCGGCTCGACGGCGTTGGGCTTGGTGAGCCCGAGCGCGGGGCCCGCGGCGGCGGCGGCGGCGGCGGTGTGTCCCATCCTAGCGCGGTGGCCGAGCGGCTGCCGGCCGAGGGCGACGGCTGCTGCACCGTACGACGACGACGACGGCGGCGACGGGCGAGAGGCGGCGAGCGCCGCGCGGGGTAACCGGCGCAGCAGGCGCGGCGGCGCGCGGCGGACGAGGAGGCGCGATGCGGCGGCGACGGCGGCGGCGGAGGTGGATGCGGCGGTGGCCATGGACGCGGAGGCGGAGGTGGATATATACTAGCCGTCCGATCCGAACCGCCCTTGTATGCGTCACCCGAAAGGATACGACTCCGGGAAAAACTCCACGCACCCCGAGGTCAACACTTGTTTTCTGTTACGCCCACTGACATGTGGTGCCCGGAGGAGTAGGGGGCTAGGGGCCCTCTTGTCATTGTCAGTTGGCGATAAGAGGATAGTAGCTTGGGTTTCGGGGATGAGGAGGAGACCGTAGTGTACGGTGGCGTAGAGCTCTACTCCGTAGTATTTTTTTTTTAAAAAAAAAGGAAAACTAGAGTAGAGCTCTAGGATGATGAGAGTTTGTTTGAATTTATCGATTGGGGTTCGGTTTTACGGGAAAGTGTGGAAATCCGGTGATCGATTCGGGGAGGGACCAAGCTCAAAGAACAAACTGAAGAACTGAGCCGCGAGAAGAAAGGGGACTCTCGAGAGGGAAGAGGTTCCCCTGACTTTGATGCACTAATATGTGAGTCCAATAGATATATGGTCCACATGTCAGTGACACAAGTTAGAGAAAAGTAAGTTAGATGAGCTTAATCCCTCTTGAAAGTCACTAAGGACATAATTAGAACAAAATGAATGAAAATATCTCTTGTTTAATTTATGGGATTGTCTATAGATCATTTGACAGGAAACCCCCTTACAAATCTTGCAAATTTTAGACCACCCGATTGCTTTAAGATTCGTGCAGGCAACCAAACCATAAAAATCCTCTCTCCTCTCCCGATTCCTCACGCCGCCGCTCCTCAGCGCTTCCGCCCCGCCTCCGCCACCGCCACCGCCACCGCCGCCTGAGCACGCCACCGCCCGGCCTCGCCGGCTGGCCGAAAGGTGTCAACGGCGTCGGCGAGGCCTCCGGGCCGGCCCCTTCACCCTCCCCCTCCCTCTCCTCTCCTTTGCCTCAAGCCGGCAGCGGCGAGCTGTCTGTTGTCTTCCCTGTCGCCGGCGGGGCGCCACCACCAGCCGCCTCCTCCTACCACTCTTTCCGTTTTGCCCCCGCCGCCCGCTCCCGACCCAGCAGCTACGGCGCCGCCGCCGCTGCCTCGCCGCCCGCTCGATCCGCCGCCCACCGTCGGGCTGCTGCCTCCCACAGCCATCCCTCTAAAGCCGGTGAACTCCCCCTCTTCCCCCTCCCCTCCCTCCCTCCCACCCCCACCCCACCGCAGGACCCTAATTCGTCGGCCCTCTGCCGGATTTTGGGTTCGCTGGCGCAGGAGAAGAAGAGGTGGACGCCAGAGTTGGAGAAGAAGAGCATGAATCATGAAGCACATCCAGTGATCCAAAATTTACAAGATTTGAGGTTCTATTTTCTGTCAACAGAAGTTTAGCATTTCCGTTAATTTTTTTTTTACTTTGGATCGAGTTTAAGCTAATGAAAACGTCTAAGTTTACATTGAAAATAGATGAGTTATAACTAAAAATTTTCTTTACTGGTTCCTTGGCACGCCTTCATATACTCTAGCTTTGCCCCTAGAAGTCGCACATTGATTTTGTTAGCTACGAGAGCTTATAACTCCTTGCAAGTTGCACATAACATAAGAATTTATGGAAAAATAACATGTGTTTCTAAGGTTACATGGAGTAGTTGTTCTTTTTTTTTCCTTTGAGATTCGTATGTTAGTAGCATCACGGTGATAGAGTAGTGGGCGCATGGCTTCATCTAGCAGGGTTTAAATCCTAGTGCTCATGAGTTTTATGCATATACACAGTTATGTTTAACTATTTGTCTTACTAAAAAGGGGAAATTACAAAAATCACCCCAAAAATCTCTTGAAGTTTGATATTCCACTCCATAAGACATTTTATTGTAAATACCCATCCTACTTAGTTTTATTGGTAAAACCACCCCATTGCACACATGCTTAACCAAATAAGTCAGTTAACGCTGATGTAGAACCACCATAGGTTACGGAGGTCAATCTTGTCATAGTATTTACATTAGATTTATTCTTATATATTTCATTGATTTCTTTCTTTTTTTTGGCATATAGCAAAACTCAGTGCAACAATTTTAAAGCTCCCATTAGCTATTCTATATATCGAATCTCATAAAGAGTGTTAAAACTATACTCTTATAAGTATTAATTTTATGTAAAAAAAACATATTGACGGCTCACAATTTATGAAAACATATTGATTCGGTTATGCATGTGTGCACTGTGGTGGTTTGCAACAAAACTGAGTAGAGGGTGGGCATTTGCAACAAAATGACTTATGATGTGGTTTGCAACAAAACCGAGTAGTGGGCGGGCATTTGCAACAAAATGACTTATGGTGTGGAATGTCAAACTTCAGACTTCTGTGGTGGTTTTACAATTTTCCCTATTAAAAAATAGTAAATTGTATTTGCACCAGGTAAAACGCACCATGTTTCACTTTATACCAGGTTTAACATATACCTTCACTTTGCACTACATTGTCTTGAAATAAATTTCACTTGACACTATCATCAAACCATAAAAAATAATGAAATTTTATAATATCTAAAAGCAATGTTGTCAAACATAGTTTAAATTTAAGAAGTTTCATATGTTTTACTCATATTTCGATATTCTCTGATACAAAGTGAAAATATGTGTTAAACCTAGTGCGAAATAAAACAAGGTTTACTCTACCGGGTGAAAAGTCAAACAAGGTGTATATACTCTACCTGGTACAAAGTACAATTTACTCTTAAAATGATATATAACTATTATTAAATATGTTTTAAGCATGACTTATATTTTTATTTTATAGTTGCATAAAAAATAAATAAGATGAATGATTAAAATTCAAAAGTTAACAGTGTCGAACATTAAAAATAGGAGGGAGTACCGACCAAGCATGTGATTCACAGTTTGATGGATTATGATCGATTCATAGCACCTGACAACATAACTGATAAGGTTCAGAGCATTTGTCTATCCTTCCAGACAAGGAGGAAAAAACAAGATACAAGCTGCCTGTTCCACAGCTCCAGCCAGATGAATGAATGATCAAATGGCCACACATTCCATTTGGAAAAATATTGTTTTATTTGTTCTACTTACAGTGTTATACATCGTAATGCACAAAAGCATCTCTACAAATGTACATATTTTGCGGGCACAAACATTGCAAAATTTGTTCAGCACCAGGGAACCGGTGAGTTGCATAGCTGCACTTTCCTATGTACAGTAAGAACCACTGAACCAGTGAAGCTGTATCTGTATTGCTGTATAGTCTATCTGCTAAGTAAACTGTCATATTAGCACTACATAGTGAGCTTATATTTGTCTTTCTCCCTCTGTCTGCAGGGCAAAACTGTAAGAACCAATAGTAGTCCAAGCATATAGGGAGTAACTTCCATTGATGTACCTGTCATATGTGCTAATTTTCTTCACCTCCAATTTCACATGGTTAGAAGCTTCGAATAAACCGCTACAAAATTTTCTGCCGTACTGTCCTTGGTCATGAAGCTAAGGCCGCAATATGAAACGGCAAGAAATCAACGACAATGCATACTTTGCCAACTCATCAGACCAAAATTCATGGCTCCAGCAAATCCTCCTTGTGAGCTGCTGCTTTCACTTTCTCCTTTTCTGCTTCCATCTGGGCCCTTTTCTTCTCCAGCTCCATCTGTCTGAGGTTCTCGGCATGGGCACGCTCGAACGTTTTCACGAAGCTTAGCAAAGTAGAGACAACTGTCCACATAAAAAGGTCAGGAAATCATATAGCTGCTGCAGATATCCAAAAGCTAACTGGTATTAATCTGAAGATTTGGTGGATGCAACAATTCTAGTATCTATCATGGCAATACAAGTTCACTAAGGAACAAAGCACACAAAGAACAGCAGCAATTTGGATGATTCTGGTAAAACCACCAGGGACCCCCAGAATTGTATGCCCCTTCTTAGTTTGATTGTACAACCCCAAAAATGGCAATACTCAATTACTCCTAAGTTATCCAATTGTGACAGGTCATACCATGGAAAGAGGAATGCAGTGCCCTCTGTCTGAAACATGATGACTAACTCAATTATCATAGCACCTTTCGTCACATGCCTTGCATATAAATACACGTTTCCCATTCCCTTTTGTATCAGACCCACTTATCTTTGATTTGTACATTTTGTAGAGTAGTTAGGAATATTAATTAAGCCTTATATATAAAAATAAAATACCTTGTTCAAATGGACACCGCACTGGATCTTCACCAAAATAATGTGCTAGAGAATCTGCACTTTTCCCCTGAAAATAAAATAACAAAAACTTAGTACAAATACATGTTAGAAGACGTATGCAGCAAGGTAATGAAACTATTTATAGTCTTTGCATACCGCAGTACTGTAAAGAAAAGCTAACGATCTTCCTTCAGCTTGAGCATCAGCAAGAAATTCCTTCAATTTCTGAAACGAAAGCTCTTTTGAGTATTAGTATTACAGTTAATAATATACTAACAGCAAAACATTGTGCAATGATAGTCAACTAAATGACTAACTGTTTCAGTTATGGGTGTCGTCATGTTTGTTCTTATCCATCCTTTTATGACAATTTGCAAACTATTAATAGAATATACTCCCTCAATTCCAAAATATAAGCATTTCTAGGTTTTTTTAGCAAATACCAAGGTTAAGGGAAAAGATTCCCTTTCAGTCACCTCAGTGGTCAAATTTTGATTTTTGAATCGCTTAGATTCGTCTCCTAAGCACCTGATTGGCTAAAAATGTATGGATTTCCATGGAATCAGTGTCCCATAAAATGCTTATATTGAGGCACACATTTTGAACCCTAGAAATACTTATATTTTGGAACGGAGGGAGTATCTATAAAGCCTATGTACTGATGAAGTACAAAACTGCAAAACTGCAATCAAGTGTTATGGTTTCCATAATCTAATAATACAAATGGAGCAGTAAGGACTAAATTGTTGATTCATGTTCATTCCCTTTAGTATGGCAAAGGTCTCTGATCACCTTTTACTTTTCACATTTTGTCACTATCCCTATTGTAGTGTAACTCGGAATCTTTGATGATGAGTTTTACATAAGAAGAATACTTTGAGAAACATGAAATTATATTTATAATTTCCAGTTCCAACAACTACATCCACAAGGAGGCAACAGAGAATCAATGGGGGAAGTTGGAGAACCAAATACCATGCACCATTTTCTCGATTGTAATCAGCGAAAATAAATGAGAAATTTCTGCTCATATGACTAACAATAAAATCTCAGGCAACCGACCTTGTAAAATATCTCAGACCCTGGACCATCCTTTTCAGATGTTGTCAATTCCTGCTCAACCTTTTCCAGTCCCTTTGTTATCGCTTGCATTTCTTCCGCCAACTCTTTCAATTGAATCTGTGATTCACCACCACACTATAAGCAAGCAAAACAAAGCCAACGTGGATCTAGCGTTAATTAATATATCTAAGTTACCTTTGATGCAGGTTCTAAATATGTGAGGTCCTTGTTAAAATCAAGAACTTCAGGAAGCTTGTCAGAAAGAACCTGCGAGCGCAATAAACTTTGAGAAAGAGTTCATGAAAGTGCATACTTATCTGAGCTTGCCACAAAAGTATCAACTTCATGACAAAATATCAATGCAAATATACTGGTTATAAAAGCAACCAGTCCAAACTTACAGACGCAGATTCATATCTACTTTCGTCATATGCTCTTGTTCCCTTTTTTTGAGAAAGACTGATATGATATTTGAAACATGGGAATAAAGGGAAGATGAAAAAAAAGGGCAATACAGTCACTGCTGTCCTGCTCACAGCTGAATGCAAATTTTTAATGAGAAACCACTGTATGCAGTTGGTCAATGTACTGTTTCTAAATGGAAAAAGGGAGCTTTTAGTTTTAGATAATCTTTCTCTTCCTACTGTAATGAACAACCATCAATAATACAATCACAATGATACTATTTAGACATACCCTTGATAGATCCCTTCTCTAGGTCTAACTCATAAGAAATTTAGTATGTGGAACTTCTATTGCTATGCACCAGTAAATTCCCGCAAAACGAGCAATGCTTTCATAACTATGTGGTTCAGTGACACTTCAAAACACAAAAAACGATGGGATTACTGAAATTAAATGCCATACCTTGCATAAATAATGCATGAGAGTCATCCTATTATTACGTGCCCGAATATCAATGAGTTTAAGAAGGCTATCCAATCTAAATCCAACAGCCGACCCTGAAAAACAGGTGTTTGTGAGAAAAATATGAAGGATATAATCAACAGTTCGCTATCAATTTCATGTGGTTAAGAGAGATGATGGTTCAGGACATAATAGCTATGGTGAAATTGAACATGCTGTTTTGAAATAAGAGCGCAGGAATTGCAGTTGTAAGGTCTTCTTCCTGTCCATAAATCCTAGCTACATCTTCACCCGTGACAATTGTTAAATGCTCGAATTTTGTTTTAACCAACATTTTCTATGATATGAAAAAAATGATTTATTGGAAAAAATAGAACAAGATTTTTTTTTTTAAAAAAAAGAGAAACCATGTGCACTGTATTTCTTCATGTTGGAAGATCAATTTGCAAAAATCATATCGTAAACATATCAATCTTAGAACATACTTAATTACTCACCCCTTGCAGTTCCTTGGTTTAATGCATTTCCCAACGAAAGAATTGTTTGCATCACTCGCTTAAGCTTAACAGAGTTCCTAACCTGTCCAAATAACATTATATAACAGCATGTTTAAACTCGTCAAACGGGAAAAGGTTGAGGACTTGAGGTCATATTATATAACAGTGTACCTCTTCAGCAACAGAATTGATAGTATTCAAGCTGTTTTTCAGATCTGCAACCTGAAAGAATGCACAGAATTACTCGGCAAAAAAATTAAACTCTACTTATCTATCAGAACAGTTACACAAGTTCACTGGGGAAAAAATGATGCAAATATTCTGCTGACCTGTGTAAGAAACTTAATCTTAAAGGATAAGATTCTCAGTTTTGACTCCACTCTTGGGACTTTCATCATTTCCAAGAAGAACTACAATTACAGAAGCAAGTCAGATCAAGCCTTTGTGTTCATGCATGAGATTAAGCAAAAAATTAATAGTATAACTGCTGGTACAGGCTAAGCAATAAACAAGCTATATATACATAACATGGCACCGGGAAAATGCTGAAAAAAATGATCATCTTATTAGCTACTCCACTACATAACTTCCAAGAAACATCCAAACATGACTGGGTGAGATAGTTGGTTGTATGATCTCCCACTAAGATTGTGTATATCTTGGGATGAACTATGAAATTCATTATTATTTACATAGTTACCGAAAAAACAAAGCTCATCACCAACAAAAGATCAAGTAGAAAAGATTATTAGTGACCTGTTCACATTTCCCTAGGTTCTCTTTGTTGCCTGTAAACCCCTGAAAAAGTAGGAGGAAAAACCTTAATCAATTAGCAGAATACAGAAAAAATTCCACTGGAACAGACGCAGTAAGAATTTCAAGAGTCCAATGATATTTCAAAGAGCAATCTGCTGAGTAGATATATACTTTGAGTAGTTCCATTTCTTCCTTAGTTGGACAGAACTTTATTAGATAATCTACTTGATCACCATCAACAATGGAATCGTCAAGTGCAAGCACTGAGTTCTGAAAAAAAAGGAACCACTATTATCAACAGAAACCACTAGTTCAGTACAGCTGCCAAATACTTTATGCTCAGTAACAGTTGCAACAATAGGTAACTAATATAACCCAAACCAGGTTTAGGAAGTGGCATTAGTAAGATTAGCTATTCTAGTCTATCAGCAAGGGTATGCATCAACTATGCCAGATTACTTTTACTTTTCAAGAGCCATATCCCTTCAACAAAATTGTTTAGTTCGTTACCATCAGATCTGGTAATGGCATCTTAATGTTTCTCAGCATAATTTCACAATTCTTTGAGCGCTGAAGGTCAATCTGCAGAAGAAAAGGTTAATCTTGTTTACTTTTCACTTGAATTTTCTCACTGCTTGTGAATATTTGCAGTAAGGAATGTGAAGTATAAGTACCAAAAGAACTTTTTCTTGTTTCGCTGCAACAGAAGGACGTTGGCGTGCCCGTTTCTCCTCCATGTTTGGCATGGCTACCGAGAAAAGACTTTCAAGTTCCGAAATATCTATCTCTGGGGTTCTGGTGAAGACATAAATGGACTAACATGTTATAGTGCTACCATTAGCATTTACCTGGAAAATAATGGCATAAAATGTTTGGAATACCTTGATGCTTCATCAGACTTCTGTGTTTCAGCCCATAAGCTTCCCTGTGTAGCTCTTGACACTTTCACCCAGTGCAACGGCTTCAATGGTGTCCTCTTAGATGACTGGTTGGGCCGCAAACTTCTAGGACTTCTGGACCGGGCTGTGCTACGGTCCTTTGCGCCAAATGAGAATGTAGGAGGTGGGGGAGGAGATGAACTGACAACATTACCCTTACTTGGCAAAGAGTTCGAGGAATTCTTAGGAGGTGGGCCTGGTGGAGGTGGTGGTGGCCAGGTTATCATTTGCTCTTGTGAAGGTTTGCTGGCCCCAACTAGCTTCGGAGGAGGCAATGGGGGTGCAGGTGGTGCTGATGGTGCAGAAGTGACATGAGATGACCTGGAATACAGTGGTGGGGGAGGTGGGGGACGAGGGGCTGCCACATCATTTCCTTTCCTTGAGGATGGCAATGAAGAAACCAATGAGCTAGTTTGAGATGGAGGAGGGGGTGGCGGTGGAATTCTTTTACTTGTGGATGGAAATGAAGAAACCAAAGAGTTAGTTTGAGATGGAGGAGGTGGTGGTGGAATGGGCCGCGTTTGCATCCCTGGAACCATTGGAGGAGGTGGAGGTGGAGGTGGCGGTGGAACAGCTGGTGCTTGCTGCCCTGGAGCTGCTGGAGGAGGTGGCGGTGGGGTGGGTGGTGTTTTCATCCCTGGAATCATTGGAGGAGGTGGAGGTGGCGGCGGTGGTGGAACAGGCGATGCTTGCAGCCCTGGTACTGCTGAAGGAGGTTGCGGCGGTGGTTGCGGAGGAGAAAATGATGATACGGGAAATGGTGGGGGTGGGGGTGGCGGCGGCGGAGGGGGTGGAGCTGGAGATTGGCCTCTCTTTAGTGGTGCAGAAACCACAGATGAAGTAGATGAATATATCGAGTTTGAAATCAATGTTGGTTGTATTGGCGGTGGAGGTGGTGGGAGTGGAGGCTGAGTTGGTGCAGCCTTTTCTTTAGTGCTTGCTACCTCTTTACCATATGACAAAGGAAACATCACAGTAGATGGTTTTAGAGGGGGTGGCAGTGGCGGCGGCAGGGGTGGGGATGCTGCAGTTGAAATTGAAATTAATGAGGTCCGAGTGTCTGAAGTCAGAGGCATTGCAGGCAAAGCTTCTGGGACATATGTTCTTGTACTGCTAGATTCCTTTTCTATGGACAATAGAGAATCTGATGACAATGCAGTGACACTGGAAGCTCTAGAAAATTCAGGTGGAAACTTCTCAAGGTTTTCACAGGAAGGTTCTTGAGATTTAACTAGCTCTTCATTTCTTGCAAGAGCTAGTGGAGAGGCTGATGATTCTGGAGGTTGTGAAGGGGAGGGCATGATCGATCTAAGGGAAACGCTGATTATACTTGTACTAGTATTTATGGGTAAAATGGGGGAAACAGGGGCTAATGAGACAGTGGGCGGCGGAGGAGGAAGAGGCGGAGGTGTGCACAAAGCTATCAAGGATGCGGTCGATGCTGAATTATTTACGGTAAGAGGTGAAGGTTCTTGGTTTACTGGAGTTTGTGAACCAGAGTTCTCAGCTGATTTTGACGCTGACTGTGCTGGTGCAATTTGCACTGCAGAATCTATCAGTCCCTGTGGCTGAACTGGTGAGGACGGTGCTTGGGGTATTACCGTGCTTGAAGGTAGTGCCATTGATGAAGCACTGGTCTTTGGCATCTTAACCTTAGTAGGTGACAACAGCACCGATGGAGGCCTTGTTCGTGAAGGAGCTACTTCTATTGTTTGTATTTTGGATGGAACTTCAGCTGAGGTTGAATGTAGGGGATCTTGTTGAAGTTCAGTGCAACCAACCATAACATAGTCATCTGTTAACTTCAAAACAAGCGAAGACGAGCTTTCACCAGAGAGACTATCAAAGTCAAGTTCTTCTTTAGTATCGAAGAAAGTCTCGGACCCATCAGCAGGAGATTCATCTATATTTCCTTGAGAAGTGGATGATGCTTTTCGTTGAGGTATGTGAAGCGAAGTATCCTTCTTCCCATCCAACCAGTCTAAATGGTTGAATATATCAAGCACCTTAGCAAACTCTTCAATACCAAGTCCTTGTTTCTCTTGATGACTAACCGGCTCTGTTGTGATGTGTGAAGTAGTTGCATCCATATCAGAGAAAATAACCTAACATAATAGAAGGTGTATTTAAAAATCCATGTATAAACAGAAATATGCTAGTTTGCCACTTGGTATAAAACACTTGCCTCAGCTCGAAAATCTTTAGGGAATTGGTCTTGTGTGTTCCATAAAATGTCTATTTGGTCACGATTAAGCATCAATATGTTTGACCTGATGAAACCTGTATTGAACATGATCCGGAATACCATGTCCTCACGATCCAGATCCTCATACAGATTGATACATTCTAGGACAACATCCCCTTGGACATGACATTGAAGGTTTATTTTCACCAGTTCATCTGCCTAAGATCATAAATGGTTAGTTCAATTTCATGAAGGTTAGACCAGAAATTGTACAAACTTCAAATATAATCAACATAGAACCCTATTAATGATACAGCGAAGTAGTTTTAGCTATACGAATGCTGCAACGTACGTCACAACGCGTCCACTTCAAAACAACCACAATGCAAGACCAGGGAAAAGACAAGGCAATTACCTGTGAATAGAAACGGACAACGTTGCTTCTCTTTGGAGTCGAAAAAAGAACTTTAGGAGTCTGATCAGTAGGCATAAGCGGATCTGGGCCATATATCCTGAATATTGGACGGAAACCACCTTGACCATGAAAATCTGGAACCATCCTCAAAATCACAGAATCTAACGTCAGGGCTCTATCAGCTGGAGGCCACTCAGGCACGACATTCCTCATCGAAACATAGCGCAAGTATCTCAATTGCGACGGCATGGGATTCAGAGGTGAAAACATCTCCAAGAGCTCTACTGGCGATTGCTTGTAAAGCATATCCAGTGTTTTCTGCTCATCAGAATACTGTCCCAGGTATATCAGGAGAGCAGCTAACATGAAAGCCAGAATAGGCCAGCATCCTTGTTCACAGTGCATTATCAGAAAGTTACGCTGACCCAAAGAGAGCCAGCTTTCGCTCGACTTCAAGATGCAGTGGACCATTTCCATGGTGAGAAGTGGACACCCCTCATAGTGGCCAGGGTAGTCCAGGACGGTCATACCATACTCAGATAAAATGTGATATATGGGGCTTTCTTCATCTCGAATGCCGAAATTCGAGATCATGAATGAATGATCACCAAAATTATCTAGAAGATGTGCTGCAACACCTCTTATGTGGGCTTCAAAATGGTCTTCTTCCATCTCTTTCATGGAGAAGCAATGATCAAAAACTGAAATAGATAAAAGCTACATGTGTCAAGCATCCTCAGGACCTCGGCTCTATTTTGAGTTCTTTTATCTTCACACAGTTAACTAATGAACAGATAACGAAAGTATGAAACAGTTCTTTTGGAATATAACACAACTTTTTAGGGAGAATATAACATAACTGAAACGATTAACCATTCAAATTGCAATAAACAGACAAAAACACAAATCTTCCACCACTACATTACGTATAACTCTCATGGCCCTAAAAGTCTCTAATCCATATTGTGATACACTATACTACCAACACTTCAGAAGTGCCAAATCTTAATTCAACTATGCTTAAATTAGCAGCCTATCCATATCAATCAAGCTGAAACCTTTTCAAAAGAGAAGCTAGGTTGGATGAATCTGTCCATGGTAAACTTGGCAAGCAACATAAGTCATGGCAGTGCAAAAGGAAATACTTCCATTACCGTATATGTTGTCCGTGATTAGAAGCAACCCATCGGGCGGTTTCTTGAAGAAGAACTTCCGGAACAGCGCCATGGCGCAACCAAATCAAGAGCTCCAATCTGCGAACCAATCAGCGGGAAATCCAAGAACTCCCGACCCGTAGCGACGGATTTGGGTCACCAACTTGCAATCCACCCCAAGAAGACGCTTTTTTTGAGAACTCCACTTTAGAAAATGCTCCGCCTTTGAGGATTCGGGCAGCTAGTTGCAGCATTAGAATATAAATATCGCGGAAGGAAACAAAAAAAAAAAAGAAACGCTCGAAAGCTCCGAGCAATCTTGTTGCGGTGAGCTCCTAATTAGATTAGGGCCTTGGAATCGAAGCGCACGGAGAAAAGGTGGTCGCTTTTGTTGATTCTAGGTGGCGATATGGGAAATGGCGACAGGAGGAGGAGGAAGAGGAGAAGAAACTCAAGGAAGCAGGAAGACGAAGCATTGGGCGTTTGACTAAATTTAATTATTTTTAGGCGCAGCTGTTAATCTGCTCTTTACTCTACCCCTTTCTTCTAAGAATTTATTATTATTATTTCTCCCATTTTTTTATTTGGCTTGTCAATGAAAAAAATTGTGCTTGGTTTCAAAATAAGTATTTTAGGTCAACTTCATGGAAAACCTACCCAACCTGACAATCTTTACTGATGGTCAATGTGCTTGTCCAAAAAATCTTGAACTTTTTTTTTAAAAAAAAAGCAAATATAATGGTGCAGTAAATTACATTTTAGGAAGGTTTTGCATGATAAATCTGCTTACTGTTTGTTTTAATTGTAACATTAGTTATTAGAAAAAAAAAGTCAGTTTCATCCTCCTGGGGAGAGCAAGCTAAGCATCCGTTGCTTTCGCAATTGTTCCCTTTCAGATTTCGTTTTTGGCTTTTTTGTGCTGGCTGCTGGGTTCTCTAATTTCTTTTTTAAGGGTTCTCTAATTTCTACGCCAATTAACGTGACTAGGATGATTTTGTTAACAGAAAAGGAAGATGATTAGAGAGTGAGTCACGGTGATTTGGGGGATCCGGGTGGGGGCGGCGGTTGGTAGTTAGCATCTGCCGCCAATTTCAGAACAAGCCACATGCTCTTCAGTCCTTCACCCTGAGCTTGTACTAGTAATCCTGTAAAAACCAAATTCACCTGAAGGTTTCAACCGAGCTGCAAGAGATTAGATTTAAAAAAAGAGAGAGCTTTACAGAATCTTTGTATCTCCTAGCAAAAGAAAAAAGAAAATCTCTGATCCTAAACTCTGCAGTGAGATAGTTTTCATGTGCTGGATCTTGATCTTGACTCATATTAGGAAGCATTGACACTTTGACAGTAATCTTTATCAAGGCAGCTGGGAGCTGGAGCTTAAGATGGCCGGTGGCCGGTGTATGACAGCAACAATGATCATGAGACTTGAGAGTAGTTATTAGTATTAACTAATTGTAGCCTGCTTCAGTAAGCTTGTGCTGCGCCCAAAGGGGTTGGAAGCACGTCACCTGTCTGCAATCTGCAATGGATTTCTTTTTTCCTTTGGCATCTTCTCAAGCTTCCTACTACTACTCCGTACTAGCACAGGAAAAAAGCATATATGTAATTTGTTTCTTTGTGGTTGCTGATTGCTACCTGCATCAGAGTTGTTTGGTTTCCCGTGGCCAGCAGTCACCGACAAGTCGACGGCGAGTCGCCGGCGTCCACCATCAAAAGGGACATGCATGCAGTGATGCAAGAATGCATCGAAGATTCAGAAATTCAGGATCAGATTGTTTCTTTTCTTCAGACTAGTCACCTACGGTTTACTATTGCTCCCAGCTAGTATGACCGATTAAACCGTGACTACAGAGCAAGCAAGAATAATTCTGTAGGTAATATTTTACGTATGTATCATTTGTGGTTTAAAAGCCTATATGAAAAAAATAGAAAATAATAAAAATCTTCAAAATCACCTTTAAATTTAAATTTTGGCTAACGAGAGCGGATGAAAAACTCTTCAAGAACTGCATCGTTTCGCCAAATACTAATAATACACAATAATAGTAATTTATAAGTAAATTTTTTATATATGTGTTGTTAGCGATTCAAATGTCATTGTTGGAAAATAAACTTCGATTAAAAAATCAACTTTAAAATTAGATTTTAAAAATTAATTTTTGGCATTAGCTGATGCGAGGAGACGATTACGACTGCAGAATCGCTCACCTTCTTCTTCTTCTTCTTCATGGGCAGCGCGTACAAAATCGGAGCTGATTGCCTGACTATCTCTGTCTCCACCGAGAACGACAAGGTCGCGCTCCAATCCAGCGTTGCCAACATGGGTTGATGCGTCAGGTTGGACGAATCCCCAACCCCAACCCATCTGGACACTAGACTATTTTGTCTCCCTCTCAACCGTCGCTTTCTCCGGCGACACTCCGGCCGCCGCCGCGGCGGCGCTGCGGTTGAGCTCCGGCCGCCATCGTGGGGGGAGAGCTTCCAAAACCGAAACCAATCCAACGGCCCATATCAGTCCATAACCCAATCCGTTCAATCCCAGCCGTCCATCCGTACAAGCCACGTCGGTTATAAACCCCACCACCTCCCACTCTCACCTCTTCGCCTCTCTCTCTCTCTCTCGCCCACCAAATGCCGAGGCGAAAAATCACACTATCCAATCCCAAAATCGATCGAAGCCGCAGGTTTTAATCCGAGAAATTGCCCCGAAAATCCGGTGATCCTCCGATCCGTGCGAGCGCGAAAACCCTATGATGGGGGAGGCGGAGGAGGGGCTGATGCACAGGAGGATTGAGTTCCACGCGGCGAGGAGGCCGCCGCGTGCGGTGGAGGGGGCGGGAGGGAGGTTTTGGGTGGAGATCCTGAGCCCGGATGCCGATAAGGCGGCGGTGGTGGCGGCGGCGAGGAGCGAGGGGCTGGTCAGGGGGTTGGAGAAGGGGGAGGGTAGCGGGGGTGGGATCGACCCGGAGCTTCGCGTCGCGAGGATGTACTTGCGGAGAATTGTGAGTGTGTAAGCCTGCAATTTTTCGTTTCACATTTTGTTGAATCTAGGTAGCATAGTATATACATGTAGGGTAGGTGGTTTTAGTTGTTGCAGTTCAGATTATTAGAGGGGTTTTGGTTTACGAATAGAATCAGTAATTATAAGATACATTTTATGAATTTTCCTTCAGAAATGCTGGTTTGTTGTTCTGTAATGAAAAAAATATATTCACGTTTAACTGTATTATGTTTTGTTTAGAATACATTTTGGAATAGTTATGCGCAAAAATTTGCATCCGCGTATTGAAGGTCCTTTTTACTGGAGTAATCTGCTCATTCACCTGAAACACGAGGCTTTGCAAGTGAATACTTCACTAAAGATGCCCTATTGCCCTATCTATGTAAAACAGGGAGCTGGCTTGCAAAATTTTGGCAATACCTGCTACCTCAACTCGGTTCTGCAATGCTTGACGTATACCGAGCCGTTCGTGGCCTACTTGCAGAGTGGGGAGCACATGTCCTCATGTAAGTTCATTGCGTCTGGTCGCGATCAGCAATTCAGATACTCTGCATGATATGATGATGTTGTCAATGAAAGTCGAGAGTAGTGAACCATCCTTTGTTGCTGTCTGTGAGCACTCTGCATTTTCTTATCGGATGTTCTATGGTGGTGGTTATCAAATATATTTCCTCTCTCTATAATCAGTCTCGAGGCATCTAGAGCTAGAGCTGCTTCTTATCTATTTGGATTGAACGAAACAGATATAAATTTTAGTTTACATGCCTTGACCAATGTACTATGTCTCATCACCTGTTCTGGAGCAACCTCTGTTTTTTGCGGCTGTATCATTTCTCCAGAGAACAATATAATAACATTTTCTGTTTTCTTGGCAAGCCCTGTTTCTGTAGTTACTTATAATATCACTTTATTATTTTTTAAGGTCGGACTATCGGATTCTGTGCTTTATGTGCTCTTCAAAGACATGTAAATTCTGCTCTACAGTCAACTGGGAAGATATTGAGACCTGTGCACATTGTCAGAAATTTAAGATGTATCCTTTCATATGCTATTGCAAAATAATTGATCCACTTTATTTTGAAATACCGTATCTATCTATAATTTTATTCAACCCTTGTGCAATCTTTAACTGCAAGGTAGGCATTTCTCGTAGTTTCCGCATCTCAAGGCAGGAAGACGCACATGAGCTAATGGTTAGCTTGCTTGAGTCCATGCACAAATGTTGTTTACCTTCTGGTGTACCAAGTGGGTCGCCAAGTGCTTATGAGAAGAGCCTAGTTCACAGAATATTTGGTGGTCTCTTAAGAAGTCAGGTAAATTGCCAAATGCTTAATTAACTTATTACTAGTATAATAGCAAGTAAAACTTTACCCATATGGCCACTGGCTGACTATATCTATATGCATGACAGGTGAGATGCACAACTTGCTCACACTGTTCCAACAAATTTGATCCTTTCCTGGATCTCAGCCTTGAAATTGCCAATGCTGCTACTCTGGTAAAAGCACTTCAACACTTTACTGCGGAAGAGCTACTGGATGGTGGGGAAAAGCAGTACAACTGCGAGCACTGCAGGCAGAAAGTAGTAGCCAAGAAGAGGTTTATGATTGAGAAGGCTCCCTCTGTGTTGACAATTCATCTAAAGCGCTTTAGTCCTTTCAACCCTCGTCACAAGATCGACAAAAAAGTGCAGTTTCAACCAACTTTAAATTTAAAGCCATATGTCAGCAATCCTGAGGTATGTAATTTTTAATGGTGTTCTTTTTTTTTTAACATAAGTTTGGACATGTTTTTAATAAGATTCTCTTTCATGCTCATAGTCCTTAGTTTATGTGTGTAGGGTATGGAGTTCAAATACAGCCTTTATGGTGTTTTGGTTCATGCTGGTTGGAATACACAGTCAGGTCACTATTATTGCTTTGTTCGGACTTCTAGTGGCATATGGCACAATCTTGATGATAACAAGGTTATTCTTTTTTATGTTGTGATGAATTTATTCTTACTGTTTATCATTGACACAACCCTTTTTTACATTAATGCAAGTCACATCCTTGTATTGTGCCATATTGCTTTTTTAAAGTTACTCTTTTTTTTCTTTTGCCTCCATCAACCATGTCTTGTCCTGTGTAATAACAAATACCAGCCAAAATACACCATGTTATATCCAAAAACATTCAATGGTGAAGTCGACCAACTCTATAGTCTATACTTATGTCCCTCACTCTCTGCTCACAAGAGTTCACCTTGTAATATGTCTTCTTAAAATAGTACTAGTACTTTATGAATGCTAGAGAACTTGTTTTGTCAGGCACCTTCTTCGTGCACTATATTATGTAGTGGTCTACAGTCAACTTAAGGGAGGATATGGGGAATGTGTTCACTTTGAGGGATGGAGGGTAATCCTTTTCTTTGGCCTGTTTATGTGTTCATTTTCTGTTGGTGGGATTGGTACACCAAGTTGTAGTTGAGCTGATCTTATGTTAATTCAGTACTTTCTCATCTGCACTCCTGGCATTCTTTATTCAGTTTCTTCCTCTCTTTTTTTTTATTTTGAAGTTTGTTTTGTTGATATACATTAATACACCCAGGTTTACCAAGTTCGTGAGGCAGATGTGCTGAGGCAGAAAGCATACATGCTATTTTATGTGCGCGACAGAACAAGGAGCTCAGTGATGTACAGTGATAATTGTACTGTTAATTTATCAGTAAATAAAATGATCTCCGAGAAGATCACATGTATGAATGGTTCAATTAAAAAAGATACAGTGGAAACGAAAACACTGAGAGTTCCCTCACTTGTCAAAGAAGATGTGAACTTGAAGAAACAGAACTCAGAAAATGGTCAATCTAGCAATATTAGCAATGCTCCACAGGACCAGTGTTCAAAAAGTCATAGCAACACTGAAGTGCTTGAAGCTGCAGCATCCCCAAACAATGACCCAGCTTCAACACAGAAAGCTTCTTGCATACGTCCAGATACAGCTGCTGTTAACTTGCCCATGAAAACAGAGCAAACAGCTCCAGACAATCGAAGGGAAATAACATCTCCAGCACAAGCTGATGTTTCTGTTCTTCACAATGCAAGTTTCAATCAGAAGTTGTATGAGAAGCAGCTACAGGAGCATCAACTAGAAACTGATGATGCACTTACTGATTCCAGGAAAGATGCCCCTGCTGCCTTGTGCACATATGGTGTTGGGGATGGTTTGTTGGGGAGAAATGGCCAGTCTTCTGAACCTCACATAGGTCCATGCCCTGCTGCTCTTCCTATACACAATGGTGGTGAAGGATTGCTGGGGGCAAATGGCCAGGCATCTGAAGCTCACTCAGGTCCTTGCTCTTCTGCCTTTCCTATACATAATGGTGGCGAAGGATTGTTGGGGGCAAGTGGCCAGTCTTCTGAACCTCACACAGGTCCATGCCCTGCTGCTCTTCCTATACACGATGGTGGTCAAGGATTATTGGGGCCAAATGGCCAGGCTTCTGAACCTCACACAGATTCTTGCCCTGCTGCCTTTCCTATACACAGTGGCGGTGAAGGACTGTTGGGGGCAAATGGTCAGGCTTCTGAACTTCACACAGATCCTTGCCCTGCTGCCTTTCCTATACACAGTGGCGGTGAAGGATTGTTGGGGGCAAATGGTCAGGCTTCTGAACCTCACACAGATCCTTGCCCTGCTGCCTTTCCTATACACAGTGCCGGTGAAGGATTGTTGGGGGCAAATGGCCAGGATTCTGAACATCGAACAGGTCCAATCCCTGCTGCCTTTCCTGTATGGAATGGCACTGGTGTAATATTGGAGAAATATGGTCAGGTTTCTGGGCCAGCAGATCCATTTTGCAAGCCAACTCCTACCATAAGTGATACAGTGTCTATTGCACAAATCATCCCAACTGAGGTAACTGTATGATGTTTCCTATTGATCTCTCTCTCTTTTTAATTTTTAAACACATTATTAATGTTAATTCTGCTGCTCACATCACAATATGGCAGCATGCTGCTGTTTCTAATGGAACAGTATCTAGTAGTGATGATTTAACTGGCAATACTGAAGCTAACGAGTCATCAGAGTTTGTAAAGAATTACGGCGAACAAGTTATGGTGAGGGATCTTTCTGCAGAGACCTCTGGTGATAGAGCAAATGCAGATGAGCAGGTATTTCCTCTCTACCTTTTATGTTGTTTGCAGATGTATTTTCATCCATGCTGTGGTCCCATATTACAATGGATATACCATGTGTTCTCTGCTGTTCTATGCATGAAAACAGACCTTTTATTCGTATTGGTGCATGTAAGTTTATTTGTTAAAAACTACTTTGCAGACTTCAATGCAGAATAACACACTGGAAGTTGGTAAGGATGTTGCAAAGGACACTGATAATGTGGCAAATGCCGAGGAGCAGGTATTGAACCACCCCTTGGCCGAGCAGGTAAAATCTGAGAAGCAAATATATCCTGGAATTTCTACAACATTGATTTGCTCTGAAGACACAACACAGTTGATAGATAAGGATACAGGCAGTGGCAAATTAAATAAAAAGATGAATTGCAAGTCAAAGAGGCAAGTGAAGTATCCTGCTGTTCGCATGTTTTTTGGGCCCAAACAACTGTTACTGGCATCAGTAAAACTGCACAAGAAAAGGAAACACAAGAGATCCAAAAAACACCATGCACTTTCTGTGCACATTGAAAGCATCATCACTGATCAGCAGACATCAACATCAGAAACTGTTTTCTCAAAGATCATATCACATAAATCCCGTGGACAGAAACGTTCTTGTGCCAGTGCAAGTTCTGAGGATGGCACTCAGCTGTTCAACAAGAAACAGCATATCGAAGGAACCACCAACAGTGTTCCCATGGACAACAACGATACAAAACTTGCTAGCGCTGACAGCAACGATGCAAAACTTGCTAGCGCCGAGCTACCAAGCTCATGTACAAACTCTCTGGTGAACCAGACTGATTCAAGAAACAATGTAAATGCAAATGAGAGAGGCCCCTGGCATTTTAATCTCCTCACAAGGGGTTTAAGAGAAATTACTGGTTAACATCTCTTCGCAAGAAATTTCTCATTTTCCATCCTGCTGTCAACACTAGAAATTTATAACTCATTGTTTTGTTTTTGCAGTGCCACGTTGGGATGACACTGAGATTAAAAATACGAAGGAAACAGAGATACTACATCCAAGGACTAGAAGCATCGGCTATGTGCTAGATGAATGGTAAGCCTGTTAACTGCAGTTAAATTTCTTTCTGATGGTGATGTTGGATGTCTCAATTCTCTTGATGCTGAAATTCGGAAAATCCTCCACCCATACCAAATCTTTGCTAAACTTCTGAGTAATATACGAACAACTGGCAGGAACATAACACTGGTTCCTAGGTCCGACTTGAACTAATTTTAGAATCCTACTAGAATATGCAACCAGCAGCAGATTCTTCTTTGCTGTGACTAAGATCTGAGATGAATATAAAGCCCTCTTCTTTTTTTGTATATATCTCGGTTTTCCTCTTGCCTGTTTGTTATCCTTGAAACTGTCTTATTCGGAAGATAAACATGATCCTTAACAAGATGCACCTAATCGTTGTGTCAGGGACGAGGAGTATGATCGCGGCAAGAGAAAGAAGATCAGGAAACCAAAGCATGGCTTCAGTGGGCCGAACCCTTTCCAGGAGACGGCCAACATCAGATCACGGCAGAGGATGAGACTACAGTCTGACCAGACCAAATCTGGGAACCAGCCTCTCAGGATATAATTGATATACTGGAGCAGCAACCTGTTGTTGTATCCTTCAGTTTTGGAACAGTAACTACTTCTCTAGTAGAACTATTATCCTCCCCATGTTTTTTTTTTCAGTTATGTGTAGTGTCATCAGAGAGTAAGATTTAGGCCTCATGGCTCAGTCATTTGTCTGATTGATTAGCCGAGGAACGAAGCGGACTCTTGTTTGTTGTCCCATTTCTGTCGAGCTTATCATGCCAATTTTTTTTTACGTCAATGCATTCACACGTGTTATTCATCCCGGTCCATTCGCACAATAACCGAGCAATTAAAAGTCGTGATTTCTGATCTGTGACTTGTATTCTGCATCAACAAAATTCAGTAAAAACTGCAAACTTTGCCAAACCGGTCTGTGTAGCCATTGTGAGGCTCAGTAAGCACGCCATCACGACCGTCAGATCGTGAGCGAACGGTGTTGATTGCCAATTTCCGGACTTCCCCTGAAAACGCGGGACTCGCACCCAAAATGCCCAATATTACGTACGTGTAATAGTTAGCCCGAAAATGATTGGAAGAATAATTTGCGATCCAATTTATTGCGGTGAAGAGGGTGAGGCGCACCGAGTTAAGGTGGCTCACGCGTTCGCTGTGATGACGGTTTTACTGGCGCGACCGACCGGACCGGACCCAACGCGCGCACCCAACTACCAAACGCCGGCGATCTCTTGCAGGCAATCCATTATCCATGCGAGGCTGCATCTACCGCATCAGTTTGGTCATCGATCTTCAGAAAGATGTACAAGTCTGATTCAATGCATATCAAACCAGCAAAGTTAAAATAAGCTTGACATTCAGAATTCCAGATATACATACTCCAAATATCTGAATGCCGCATGCATCTATTGTTAACCTATGCTAGCTGCAAATTAAGGGTCTATTTAGATCCCCTGCTAAAATTTTATACCCCGTCACATCGAATATATAGTATTAAATATAAACGAAAAAAATAACTAATTATACAGATTGCGTGTAAATTGTGAGACGAATCTTTTAAACCTAATTGCGCTATGATTTGATAATGTGGTGCTACAGTAAACATTTGCTAATGACGGATTAATTAGGCTTAATAAATTTGTCTCGCGGTTTATATGCGGATTCTGTAATTTGTTTTGTTATTAGACTACGTTTAATACTTTAAATGTGTATCCGTATATCCGATGTGACACGTCAAAACTTTACACCCCTAATCTAAACACAGCCTAAACCAAAATGCAGCACATAAAGCAGTGATATTCATATGAACTGATCGAGCCAACGGAATTGGAAATTCGACGAGAACTTCATTCACGATGACGAGGAGGTTAGCTGGGGGTTGTAAATGAGACGAGGTGCACCGTGCACGCGCTTAACGAGTTAATGGAAACCTACCATCCAAACCCAAATGAAACGAATCACGAAACTGGGCCACAAAATTTCTCCAAATTTTGAATTCCAGAGGCGACCAGTCCGGCTCGAAATCCCCGCCTTATAAATTACGCACGCCGACACGATACGCCCCCATCGAATTCAGGCGCAAAAACCTCCAAAACCTTTGCAATATTCCTCGTAAATCGTAATTCCCCCTCGCGATCGAGCTCGCGACGCCCATGGCGATGGAGAGAAACGCGGCGCCGCGCGTCTCGGCCTCGTCGTCGGCGGCGGCGTCGCCCTCCACCGTCGGTGCGCTCCTCTCGAAGGCCTCGGTGGCTGCCGCTCCCGCACGCGAGATCCCCTCGCCGCGGTCGCTGCTGTCGCGCATCCTCCATAGGAGTGGCGGCGGCGGCGGCTTCGGGTGTCGCCTTCGCCTCCCCCGATACTGCTCCAGCGGCGCGGCCGCCAAGGAGGACGCCGCCGCCGAGTACGTGGAGGTTGAGGTTGAGGCGGAGGCTGCGGCGCCGAAGGTGGTGGGCCGCCAAGCGGTTGATCGCGAGTCGCCTCGGAGCTCGCTCGGTACGTGTCCATGGCGAGAGCGAGTGATCGGATGGCGTGGTCTGGTTCGATTGATTTGGTTGTCCGTCGTGTGCAGGGAAGAAGGCGGCGGAGGAGGTGTCGCCGGCGAGCCTGGGGCTGGGCGCGAGCCTCATGCTGCTGCTCTCCAAGAGCGCGGCGGAGCTGAACAGGATGGCGGAGCTCCGCGCCCAGATGGAGCGGCTGGTGCTCGACACCAAGGGGGAGGAGGAGGCGCGGAGCAGCAACCACCCCAACGCGTCCGACGATCACGCCGACATCACCAAGGAGGAGCCCACCGCCTTCTCCGGCGGCGCATTATCCCGCTGCTCACGCACGGCCGCCGCCCCGGGAAACGCAGGGCACCACGCCGCCGTTCCAATGGACCAGATGGAAGCGGAGCTCGAGGCGGAGCTGACGCTCCTGCAATGCGCGACTCCTCGTCGGGATCGTCAACTCGAGGTCGAACAGCTAGAAGCCCACCGATTCGGATCAATTTCGCCGCCATTTTCTAACATTTATTTCCTCCAATCCATCTTCGCAGATCGGCGACGACGAGGAGGAGTCCACGGACACCCACGCGGCCACCTTCGCCGACGCCGACGATGACACGGACGGTGCTGACGACGAGGAGGAGGAGGAGGAGGAGAGCGGGGCGGCGGCGCAGGGCGGCGTGTCGGCGAGGGAGCTGGAGAGGAGGCTGCACGAGCTGCTCCAGTGGCGGCACGAGGAGCGGATCGCGGAGCTGGAGACGGCGCTGGAGCGCGCCAGGAAGAGGCTGCAGGAGAAGGAGCGCGAGGTTTGCTGGTGGCGCAACACCGCCAAGCTCGTCACCCGCCACAAGGACGACTCCCGCCTCAGATAGCAAGAATTAATCCGCCATGAGATGAGATCAAACAAGAACAAGATCAAGATCGATCATCTCGCCTCGCAGTGATCCGTTTTGTACTCTGGTGATCATGCTGCAACTAGACTAGAAGAACAAATTCCAACCAGAAAACATTGATTGCATAAACTAACTGGGATCACAGATTCACAGGATTCGGTTGCTGCAGCCTATCAACATTTGGAGCAGATGGTAAGGTGTTTTTTACCTATCTAGTCTACGGATTGATTCCAAGATGATTGTGTTTCGGCCTTTCATTCGACCTCCAAACGTGACTAAATTAAGATGCATGGAATGACGCACAATCTCTTACTAATTTATACTGTTCGGTTCGGTTCGGTTCAATCACCATCGCCGCGCGTAAATCGAATTATTCCTACTCTACCTGGGCCAGCAAATCAGGCCTCTCTTGGCTCATCACTTTGATATATCATATCACAAAATTCAATAAAATAAAATAAAATGAATTGAACTACACCACCATCGGCTATGCAAAACCTGCAGACCATGCAACGTTTCCAAAATTATGTGGCTAAATTCCTGTAGAAACATAATAAACTAGCTGTATTCTGCACAAGTCAAATTTGCATCAGTTGCGGACTTTGCCAAGCAAGACTTGCTTGCCTTCTTGTCAAAGATCCGTCTCTCACAAGGTAAGAGCAAAGAAACCTGATTTCTTTTTGACTTTTGAGATTCCTCATCCAGATTATCTCAATTGCCGCTAGAATATGCAAAACAACTTAATTTGATAGGGCGATACAAAACATCTGTGCTGTTCTTTTCTTATATTATATCATCAATAAATATACAGTGGGATAACATTCACATAACACGGCAGAGGCAACAAGGAACCAGTACTTCCGAGAAGTTTCGTCTCCGTGGTGCCTCAGGGCTTAAGAGGTGGCCATCTTGACTCAAAGAGGTCTCCGCCCGTGGCAGACACAAGAAACATATACAACTTGAAAGTATTTATTCTGTGTCGCAGCAAACCTCAAATACACACCAGTTACCATTCATTCTGGAGCAACTCCCTTCCATATGCATCACAGAGACTACTGGAGCTGATCCTCGTTATGGATAGTACATATATCCTGTGAGTGTGCTCTTCAAAGAACCGTGCATATCACTTGTCATCCAGTTGTTTTTGTAGAAAGTCGAGAACCGAGAGACGCTGCAAAAGTAGCACAGTACATGATAAAAGTCAGTCAAGAGCACCACAAATAGGAGCGCATGGATGAAAGGCAGTACACAAGGATAAGTAGTAGCTACCCGCTGCTCAAGACTGGCCTCTCCAGATTCCAGCTTCAAATTCTCAAGGCATTTAATTGCTTCCTCAAAACCCTCAACTGCCATGCTTTCGTTCCCAAGATTTCTATCGACATCCGCAACTTTGGCAAGAGAAGTTGCTACATCAATGACCTATATCCAAAAGTAGACAGATCATGAAATAGCGGCAGCTAAAGGAAAAACACTCAAGAATATGTCTGTTCCATGTAGCAGCTAAATCCTACCACAATCTTACAAAATGATTTGTGATCTTCTGTTGGTTCATCTCCTGACATTAAATTTAGATAAGATAAAGGGCTTGTTTGGTCTGCAACCAATTTGTGCTGTACAAATTTCTGTAAAGTTGCTCATTTGATTTGTTGCCAATATTTTTTTTGTGTACGCGCTTTAATTGGTTTTCGTTACCAAAATTTTGTCAGTGCCAATTTTTTGGCCACAGACCAAGTAATGAAATAAAGCCATCATCTCAATGGTATTGACAATTTTATTGGCATGGTTGAATTGGGAACAAGCATAAATATAGGTTAAAAGATCTGTTAGCCATCATTTATGGCAAATTGCCAAACTTCCTAGTATGGTCTGGCACTTGCTACCAGACTTCAGACAACAATTTGCTTCAGAGAAAGGAATACAAAAATTCTGTGTAGGAACCCCTTTTTTTACATCCATTTTTTTCTGCCTACTATGTATTATGTGCAATGTCCATCAGTACCAGGACCATGAATTATGGGATAAAATAGCTACTGGTCCATGTGTAATTGGAGCACTCATTGATATGGTATCTAATACACATTTAAACACTTAACATTTCTAATTATGTCTGGATAATAAAAATCTAAGATAAGGAAGAACTTTTGATCAATATCTGTTGATATCATTTTCATGGACATATGGTACTCTACTAGTGTAATGATATAGAAGAGCTAGCACAAAAGAGCAGGGACAAAAGAGAGTGATGAATAAGGTTCCTTCTGTTTCTAAGATGATAACAGCAGCCCATTTTGTATTTATAGCTAATCTTAATCAGTAATACAGTAATCACCTGGGAAGCCACAGCTGAGTGTTCTTTTACTGCACTTCTGCGAACGTCCAACGAACGCGCATAATAGCTTCTTGCTGAGTGGAGGTCCCCATCATAATAGCAAAGATCTCCAATTTTATTTAGTGAAACTGAGAGAGTATGGACCAACTGTAGATGAATGCAAAAGTTAAATTAACATGAGAACTTACTATCATGCTATTATGATCATATTAACAACAAAACACAACCTCCAGATCCTTTTTGGGCAATTTCGAGAGGAATTCAGCACTTTCTTCATAGTAAGTGATTGCTGAAGGAGCATCTCCCAAGGTCCGACTGTGGCATGGAATGAGGTCAATTATGAACAAACAAAGAAAAAATAAGTTAAATACTGCCATGATTATGTGTCACAAATATAATGAAAAATAATAGAGCACAATGAAATTCATGGAAAAAGTTCAGCCAGATATTATAACAGAGGGATGAAAACAAAACACCCTCCAGTGACATGGAAACACAATGAGTTCAGCAACAACTTATGACAGACCCTAAGGCTTTTATATGAGAAGGTACCAGACATCCTGACTAGAACTAGGCTCTTGGTAGCTGGTAGTTGGCTATTACACAAGCTATCAGCTTGCTATTGGCATCAGTATGCTGGCTGGTGTAGGGCATGGTTAAAGGTTTCCCACGTTTTCCGAGCTGTGAATATACTATTCAGACAAATTGCGACCAGTCATAATTGGCATCACTATCAGCCCACAACCTGCTAGACAACCTCTGTGGTCTGTGCATCAGTATTGTAGAACACACTGAGGCACATAACAGTTTAATATTTTAATGGATAACAAACGTTATTACAACAAGATTCTCCTTTCCCTTGTTTGGAAGGCAAGTTCTATGCCTGGTCGAAACATAGAAAATTCAGGTATTAGAACACATGAAAGATAACTAGGTTCTGAATGAGCAGAAAGATGAACGGGCCAAGGCTAGAATGGGCCCTTGTGCACAACAGATACAAATCATTGAGCATTGAGCATCTCTCTTCTTTTGAGGAAAGCTACAGACATTTCAAAGTTAAGAACTGTTCTCTCAATTAGAAGGAAAAAAAACATGCAAGAATTTAGCTCAATACTCCCTTCGTTTTTAAATGACTGATAGCAGGCACGATTCACTTTTGAACTTTGACCACTCGTCTTTTTGTTATATATTTACAAACACAAGAAATGATGCCATGTTATTAAAGTGTGTTATGTCCTAAATATTAAGAATCAAACTTTTGTTCCATTAGGTCTAACAACTTAAGAGCAAATAATGGTCAAAGTTTAAATGGGAAAGTCAAACGTGTCAATTATTTAGACACGGAGGGAGTAGGCAATAAACGTATCAATAGCAGGTTCACATATCCTCAAGTCCCCAAGAGAAAATTGCCGTACCAGCAGTCCCCAAGCATTCCTAACACAGCTCCAAGTTGAGAACACAGTTCTTGGTTGTCTTCTTTAGATTTCAACTCTTCCCTGATGTCTTCTGCACACATACTGAGCCTTGACTTTGCACTTTCAATGTTCTGTGCGCGAAAAGCCTGGATATGTAAAAGTCAGAGGTATTGTTAAAATATATAGAGCATTAATAAATTAATACAGACCAGAGGATGAAGGATATATGCAAATTTCAAAGGTAAAAGAAGCTCAGAGTAAGAAGCTTATGGGAGTTGATTTGGTAACTGACCCTCATCGCTTGCTGGACCAGAAAAGCTCCTCTCTCCATGGAGACATGCTCGTAAATGACCTTGGTCTTGTCACTTGCGGCTTCACCATCGCCTGCAGCATGTGATCTCTTGATTCGGGCATGGCCATCAATGAAGCGGTCGACAAGGCCTTGAAGCTCATCATCAGGCTCGATCCCTTGGATGTCAGCACCACACAATGGACAGTCCTTAAAGCGCAATATGCATGCCCTGAGAAGGAAATCCAGTGTTTTGGAGAAAGACAAGGAGATCAAGTGAGAAGGTACATATATTGACAGAACGAATTAGAAAGCTATTGAAATATGATACGCACTTGCAGAACTTGTGCGAGCACGGGGTGCATTTGCTGCTTTGATGTAGCAGAGCGTGGCAGACCACGCAGCTGAGTGGGCCAAGCTTGAAGGTGTTGTTGGAGTCATAGCCAAAGGGGCACTTTGCTGGCACCACACGAGGATCGGTGTTAGCATTGCCAGTTTTTTCATTATCGTCGTCGTCGGTGTGATTGTTGGCTGTGACAGGACATGAGGTGGTTTTGTTGTCTGATTTTACGGGGCATGTGGCGCCAGCAGAGGCGAGTTTGGCAAACGGGCATAGAGAGCTCATAATCGGTTGGTCTTAGGTGGATTATTATTTACCTGCATAAAAGATTGGTGGCAAGCAGTTGAGTGAAAGCATGAGACTAGATGCAGTAGTAGAATTGAATTGAATTGAGAAGAATGAGAGAGATTGTTAAAGTAGGGAGCTAAGCAGAAGCTTGATTATTAGATAGAGGTTGGGAAAAAAATTGGGGTTGGTTTATTTTGTAAGAACAATTTATCTATCAATCTCTATCTATATCTATCTATAACTAAATCTATATCATCCCAAAATAAATCCAGCACATGAGACAATCCAATCGGAAATTGCAAATCACAAAATAAATCACACATAAGATGAGAGAAGAGGTGGAAATCACAAAATAAAATCACATCACGTAGGAGATGAGAGGAGAGGTCGCCGGACCTTATCCTCGCCGCTGTGGAGGTCCCGAGCTCGGAGCCGAATCCCGAGCCGCGGCGCCGCCGGGCAGCCGCTGCGCCAGGGAGCCACTGAGCAGCCTCTGCGCTGGGAGCCGTTGACCCGCCCCTGCGCCGCTGCTGCCTCGGGAGATGCCGAGAGGGAGAGGGAGAGGGAGGAGGAAGGCGGAGACGACGAGACCGAGGAGGCACGGCCACGTGAAGGGGGCCGGTGGCAGCAGGCGGATGCGGGCCGGCAGAGGTAGGGGAGGTGGGCGTGCGGCGGCGCTGGGGGTGGGGCGACGCTGGGGTGGGTGGGAGTGGGGCGGCGCTGTGGAGGCGTGCGGCGGCGCTGGGTGGGTGGAGGAGGAGGAGGGGCGGTAGTGTGGATAAGGTTGGATGGCTGTGAGCTGTGGGAATCAGGTTGGTTTTCAAAAAATTAACACAAAATTTAAAACTTTCGATTAGGATTTTCAAACTTTCAACCCAAATTTTTGAAGCTTTCAAGTTAAAATTGAAAACTTTCAACTCAAAATCTAAAATCTTTCAACTTTCACCAGAACTCAGCCGCCTCTACGCCCTCGAGCCTTTCCTGACGCCGGATCTGCCGCTCGCGCGCCTCGGCGACCGTAGCTATTGCGGGGCCATCATCGAGAGGTCGCCGGACCCGCCCCTCCCGTCGCCGTTGACGGTGGATCCGTGCGAGAGTGAGGCGGAGAGACGACAGGATCCAGGCGGCGGCGGCGGATCCACGCAAGTAGCAAAGACGGCTTAAGCCGGTGTTCGATATGGTCAACGACAACTCGGATGGAGGAGGGAGACAGACGAAGAAAGACTGGATCACCGCCGTCCACTCTCTTGCGTCGCTGGAGGTTGGATCGGGGAGAGTAGGAGAGAAAGGGGATTTTATCGGAGATCAAGGTTTTCGGACCCTGCCCCCTCTGGCCGGCGATTTCATCGGCGCGGGACCGATCCGAGCCATCCATCAGATCTGATGGCTCAGATCAGCCCTGGGTCAGGCCGCCACCGCTGTTGGGCCACGTAGTCTTTGGGCCGCGGATGACAACTGGGCCGTGCTCAGTTCACCCCGCGATGGGCCGTTGCCGATAAATGGCCAACTCGATGCGCGATCAACTCGTGCGCTTGCGCTAAACGGGCCGGCCAATTTTTTAGGCCGGTTAGTCATGTACATAATTTTCTTTGGCATTATTTTGAGCCATTTAAAATTGTTGGAAAATTATGATCAATTACTTAGAAAATATATATCTATATCTATATATACCTAATAAAAAAATGCAAAGCTTCTGGTTTATTTTGGTCAGTTGGTTTTTTTCCCAACGCTGCCGGGGCTGAATCCTAGCACAACCCCGCCGCCATGTCGATCGTGCGTTTCCTCCTCCAATTGATTGCAAAAATTGATGCCCCACTCCTTCATCATCAGTGACCTTCCTGGTCTTTTTTATCGTGAATTTTACGTTTTGATTTGAGAAAAACGGAAAGAGTAGATCGAGTGGATTGAAAGCCCTCATCTAATTTTGGGAGATCAGGAAAGATTCGGCCAGATTTGTGGGGAAGATCTGCTCTGGCATCGTATGGGCACGAGACTCTCTTCGGACGTTGAAGACGGAGTCGACTGTGGGAGCAAGGCCTGTGGCTCCACTTGGGGACTGGGCTGAAGGGAGGCAGGTTGAGTTGAGGGAGTTAGCATACTAGCCTAGGGCCTAATAGGAAGGAAGGAATGGGCTTTCGGTCCAAAACCAAGAAAATTTTTTTATTAACTTTTAAATTATAGTATATAGCAATCCCAATATTAGAATTTTCATTAACGTTTTCAATCGTAATGTATAGCGAGAGAGATAAGCCTATCTGACCAGGCAACCGATACTTTTTTAAAAAATACAATTATAGTAGAAAAATAATTGTTAAGGTACACGTACATACTTTACAGACGAGTGATATTTTTAATTATTTTTTAATTTTTGACATCATAATCATCGAAACTTTTACTTTAATATTTGTTTGAGATAAAAATTTCCATGAAACACGACATATTAAAGTATGCGCGCTATATATCATCCACATGTCACCACTACGAGACTATGTGTAAATATGCAAAAGTATTTTTGATCGATCGTGGTTTTCATTAGTTTTATAATAAACTTACCTGTTTTAAATACAAATTTTTTAATCATACAAATTTTTGTCCATCTACTCTTGCGTGAAAGTGACCTAAAGAATTCACCATTTGTTCCTCCCATGATACAATCATTACGCTAACACGTTAGGAATGTAGTTGATATCATACACATACATGTGGAATAATTGTCCAAACAAAAAGAAAACCTTTGTGATTAAAAAAATCCTTCAATTAAACTTTATCCAATGCGACATTACCCGGTGCAACACACGGGCATTTTGCTAGTAACTAATATAAATATTCGTATTTTTCCGGTCGTCACATCTAAATTTTCGTCCGTTTTTCGTCCATACCCAATCTGATTCGGTTAGCAATAGCCATGGAAAAAAATTGCAAAAAAAAAATCTGCGGCCGTCGACGCCCGCCTCCACGCCGTCCGGGCTGCCACCCCTCCCGCTCCGCCGGGACCACCGCCGCCGCCCCTCCCCTCCCCTCGATCTAGCGGAGGGGAGGGCGTCGCCGGCTCTCCCGCCGCTGCCACACACAGTGAAAGGGGAAAAGTGGAGAGAGTGGGGGGGATGGGAGGGCGTCGCGCTGGGGGGAGGGTGCCGCCACCGCCGCCGCTCGTTGGGGGGGAGGGCGCACCGCCGCTGCTGCCGCTGCTCGATACGGGGGAGGCGTCGCCGCCGCCGCTCGCGGGGGGAGGGCGCCGCCACCGCTCGCCGTGGGGGAAGGGCAGCGTTGCCGCCGCCGCCGCTCGCCGTGGGGGAAGGTGGCGCCACCGCCACACCCCGCCGCACCCTGCCGTCGTCGCGCCGTGCCGGCGAGAAGGGAGGGACAGCGCCGGTGGTGGGAGAGACGACGCTAGTGGCGGGAGAGTCGGCCGGCTGGGGGGAGGGGAAGAGGCGCCGGTGGGGAGAGGGAGAGGGGGAGGGGGAGAGGCGGCGTCGGGGGTAGGGGAGGAAGAGGCGGCGTCAGGGGCGGGGGAGGAGGAGGCGGCTGGCTCGGCTGGGGGGAGGGTGAGGGGGAGGGTTAGGGTTAGGGTTTTCATCAATTTTAAACTTATCTGAGCCGTCTATCAAAACGAACGGCTGAGATCGATCGTGGGTTTGGGCCGCACCACTTGGGCTGCACGTGGGCCGGCGGTCCACTAAGTGAGAGGAGGAGTATGGGGGTATTAAGTAGACTTTGGTCTCTTGCAGGCTGAAGAAGAAAATGGGCTGAAAAAGGCCCATAGAGAAAAAAAGGATTTTTATTTAGATTTTTATTTCAATAAATTCTGAAATGATATTTGTATTATCAAAATTAGCAATTAAGCTATGTAAATTCCAAGAAAATTTCAATGAGTGTAATTAATATAGAAAATTTAATAAAAGTTAAATCCAACCATAACATTTTATTTCTTACACTTACTTTACTTATAAATTAATTTAATTATATACCTACCTACTTAAAAAATACCCAAATATTTCAGAAAATTTGTATTTCATTTAATTATAATTTAATATGTTTTAATTCAATTTTATCTGTTTTTTTCTTTTCGTTGCAACGCAATACCACTTTTGCTCAGAAAATTTTATATTTCATTAAATTACAATTCATTTTTTTCATATAAATAGTTCAAATCAAATTTCATTAACCATATCATTACCCTGTGGAACGCACGGGCATTTTGCTAGTAAGATTATAATATAGTAATAGGGAAGAGAATTAAATCGCATGAACGATTCATCCTCGATACATGAAACCCTAGAAATCGTATGATGGGGGATGGGGGAGTAATCAATACTTACGTACGTAGGAGGAGGAGAGAATGAAGGAAGGGGGCAGGCGGCGGCGAGAGGGGCGCCGGAGTCGGCGGGAATCTGGGTGTGCGCCGAGAGGGAGAAGAGAGATTGTGAGCGGAGCGGATGAGAGAGGGGATCGATTGATTGCCAACCGCAAGCTACAAGCTAAGAAGACGGGAGGAGGAGGAAGACGCGACGCAACGCAAACGAATCGAGGAGTAGGCCCACCAGACCAGAAGCTTACAATGGAGTATGTTGGGCCGATAGCCCATTTGCATTTTGGCAACGCATTCCATGCATTAATGGTGGTAGTCCCCACCACAAGTCAGTCTGGGACTGTCCACCACCGCTTTTATGACTCCTGTATCACTTTGATGTAATTATCTTGATATCAATAGAACTCCTTTTATATCTCTAGAAAGAAAAACATTTGCATCAACATCATTATTATTAGAGATTAACTATATCTAATTAATATTCTACATTACAAAGCAACAACTATTCTCTCAATTGGGACATTGGCCCGGTCCACCGAAGAACACATGCATACCCATCTTGAGAACACCAAAACCATCAACAGTGTAGCACAATCCCCTAGTGGTCACTGTAGTGGCCTTACCAACGTTTGGATTGACAAAGTTGTTGTCCTTGTTGGCTATCCTGATACCCTTCACAAGTGCGGCTTTCCTATACCCCTCTTTGGCGAAATGGCCGCTCCCCATTGGTGGAGGATCTAATGAAACAGTTGGTCCACGAACCCATCCACCCCAAAATGCATATGTAGCCTTCTCTTGTAGGGTGTCAAAGAGCTTACTCGGCCAATATCCAAGTGGTCGATATCCAATGGCACTGCTCTTGTCTAGGCGTGCTAGCCACCAATCTTTAGTCTTTCGGTCCTAATTATATAATTAACAAAAGAAAAAAAATTTATATGAGTACCCTTAGACCGGTTTATTACAAGAAACTATTCTAAACTCTTGAAGGGTTGTCCCCTAGTTGTTTGCATGTCACTCAAATGGTTATAGAAAAATTCAACAAGATAGTTTAATATGTGATAGATCACTACACAAACATGTAAGATCAAATTTAACTTCTACATATTGCAGCAGAAAAACAAATTTAACTAGAATATACGTTAACTAGTTGTAGTTTAATTGACTTATATAAGTTAAATTTTAACTTACATGTTTGTAAAGTGATATATCATATGTTAATACATTTTCTCAAAAATTTTCAATGTTTTTCATAACTATTTGAGTGATATACAAATAACGAGGGGACGTCCCCTTGAGAGTTTAAAATCCACTCTCGTTTATTGCCTTTTGTAAAATCACACTATGTAGTCACAAAAGTAAATAATCATGTAGAATTATTAACCACAAGGAAAATACCTGAAACAGCATGACGGTAATTATATACTGAGGCCCATTGTAGATAGAAACCGGTGTTATTTTCCCTCCAATACCAGCAAG